CTCGTCGAATTTTTGCTTTTTTACTACTTTGTATGTCGCCTGCCATTAAACAATTAGCTGCAAATGAAGCCCGAAAAACAGTTGCAATTAGTGATACGCAAATTGCACTTAATTATATAATAAATTCAATTGACAGCTGCACTTTTTGTTCGAGCCATTGCACTATGGTTTTTTTTTCGTTTTTTTTGGCATAAACTCTAATTTTAAACCTATTGAATTGAAATTTGGTTTGTATACATTTTTGAAGCTCCTAAGATTACATACCAAGTTTCAAATGATTTGGGGCACTATTTCATATAGCTGCCATATAACCGATCTGGCCGATTTGCCCCAACTTTTTTGTTTATCAAGCTATTGCTTTGAAATTAGGTTTGTATACATTTTTGAAGCTCCCAAGATGACTTACCAAGTTTCAAATGATTTGGGGCACTATATCCTATGGCTGCCATATAACTGAATGATCGGAAATGACCCAACTTTCGTGTTTTTAAAGATAGAAAGATGGAACTTAGTACAGATTATATTTTTGGTCAGTTAATCCGACCTACCAAATTTCATAACGATCGGTCGACTATATCTTATAGCTGCCATATAACTGAACGATCTGAAATGGTTTTTTGTAGAAATACCAACTTTGGTATTTTTGAAGATAGAAGTTTGTGACTTTTTTAGATTTTATATTATAATAAATTGAGTTATATTATCATATTCTCATAAGGATCGGTCCACTAAATCCGATTTTTGCGATAAATATCCGGTTTTAACTGAACCACTGAACACATATTGTACTAGAAAATTTTGATTTTTTCGAAAACGTGTGGATTCGGACAAAAAGGGTTAGTTTTTCATTAATCTGCACACTTTGGTTAATAGTTTCTCGTTTAAAACTTTTTGCAACACTTTGCCATGCAAAAGTACTGATCCACAAAACACAACTACACTTGTTTAGCTCGTTCTAAAAATACACATAAACAAAACACGGTACAATTGGACAAAACACATAAGAACGACACAAACATTGGTAAACTTTAGTTTTACATACCTGGACAATCGTCTTCCATATTTATTCAATTAACTTTTTCTTATACTTTTGCCACAATAAACGATCAAAGTCGCAAAATTTTTCCTCCAATTTCATAAAAAACTGGTGTTACTTAATCACCTGACTTTAACAGCTGGCCAGCAGAACAGTGTTGCTCCATATGTTAAAGTTGCATATTTTTTTATCTGTCTAGGGTGTTTAAAAATTAAAAATAAAAAAATTTGTAAGATACAAACAAAACAAAAAATCGACTTTATGCCAAAAAAAACGCGAAAAAAACCATAGTGCATTGTCGCTTGGATTTCGTGCATAATTTCTGCTTTATTTATGAGCTTAGCCTTATCTTTATTTATGCACTTGTTTGCCATTATGATACAATTATCGTACACATTTAATTCCTCTCATTTTGGCGGGGGGAGTGTTGGTACTTCGACAAGTTTGTTGCCGACTAATTGGCTTTTGTGGTTTTATCAGATGCTCGAATGACGTTAATTGTGATTAAATCTTTTCGCAGCACCCACCTCCTCCCCAAAGAGCGCCTCCAGCAATTTGCCAGCTGTAATTGAAGACGTTGTCCGGAAAGTGCCTATGAGAATCCCATCCTCATCCAATTCCCTACGGCCCAAATCTCTAATTTGCCTCGGGCTCAAGGCACAGAAATGGGAAATACAAAATGGCAAGCTGAAAATTCAATCAAAAGTGTATACAGAACGGAATTTCATCAGCATTCCTCTCCATATCGCCATATCGAAGCAGAAAAAAGAAATATTACAAATAGATTTCAATATCTATATAAATTTATCAGAAACAAAATGCAGTACCCGAACAAACTTTTTCTTTCCTTAGCCCAAAAATTAACTTTTTTTCCGATGGATGAAAACTTTTGGGGGCTAAAAAAACTTTATTGTTGTGCGCAGATTTCATTTGGATTTGTTTAAAAGCGAAACATATTTTCTTGCCAGTAGCGGGAACGTACAGAAGGTATTTGCATGGAGCGGGAGGATGGACAGGAGCGGAGGTTGTAAATTGTGAAGCTGGAAAAAGGCCCGGCACAATGGCAAACGGCAGGTAAACTCGCGCGCCAGACTGAAGACCAACAAACATTTGCATAGATACTTCACTTCGTTTACATATTTTTTAGTCCAGCTGATTGAGGGGTAGCCAGGGACTCGGGGAATATTGGCTCAGCTGAAGGGTTCAGCTGTGGGATGGCCGCCATTTCGTCCTCGAATTAGACAGCGAAGCTATCCAAGATTGACAGTTCTATTTCCAACAACTAATATTTGTAAAATGTAAATGGGTTTATAGAGATTCGAGCGGAAATCCGCTTGAAACTAACGAATAGATTCGTTAGAAAAATGTAGGTCATCCGGGATTCGATCATTGGAACATTTAAATCCTGGCGAGTCGACAATGTGCCCATTGGAATTTACATGCAAATTTGTTTTGTGCAATTTCCAATGATTTCTCATTCGCTGATAGCTGATGTCTGATACAAGCCGGGGGCAGCAGAGACGAGGGCATGCCAGACAGGATACCGTACTATTGGCCTGCGGCCTAAGGCCTCGGGCAGGATTAACGAAATGGTCAACTAACTGTCAGTGCATATTACGCATACGCCCATATGCCAGCCACTAGCCTCGCCGCAAGATAAATGACGTCAGCCGTGGGTTGGGTCAGGATATTTTGCGATGTATTTAGCAGCTAACCAAGCCGTATTAATTAACTTTTATGATGATGGGCGGAATGTGGACCAAGCCATAAGAGGACCAAGGGATGAGTGGCTCTCCACTAGGCGTATGCGTAATATTTCATTATGCGGCCATGGCAACCTTAACTCATCTCGGGCCGCACTTCCTTTTGATTCCGTTCCAGGGCTCCTTTGGGGCTCACAAGATTTATTGCCTGCTCGAGAGATAAAGTCATTATGATGGCATTATGAAAAGGGAAAGACACCCGACCAGGCCGCCGTGCGGCATTTAGGAGATATGAATCTTTGATGCATGTAATTGCGGCACACACTATACCCGCGCCCATAAATGCGCCATCCAGGGATAGGATCCACGTTTTATCATTGATTTTCCACAGCGCTGACATTTATGGAAATTTTTTGGTTTTGATTCTACTTGAGTCGTAGATATATTTTTATCGCTTGTCTTGCACTAATTAAAATTTCATTAGCCACACTTCGTCAGGCCATTCATCCCAGTCACCCGCCCCGTTGACTTTGCGATTCCCACCGATGAACATTAATTATGCATGCCAGAAGTCAAGGCGGCTGAAACGCCAACTGACAGCTGTCACCGCAGACAATCAACCGCGACCCGCCCCCTAAGAACACATAATCAATAATTTTCATGGATATATCCAAGGGATATGTAAGCAAGCATGCACTATTTGTGGGACTATCTGGTTTTACAAAATTTCATTTAGTTTCTCGTATATGACACTGGCATCTCAGATAATTTTATATTATGTCGCCCACCAGCGAACGGAAGCGCCACCAAAGTGCATCTAAGCAAACGTTTGACCTGAAACGCTTGGCTGTTGTCCTTTGTTTTGCTTTTGCCGCTGAAGTTTTCCGCTTTTCTGGCATTGTCCATTTGGCAGGCTTTCAAAACTGCCAGCTCCCAGTAAGTTGCGAAGAAATCATGCACAGAGACATCCAGACGGGGAAACCGAGACACACTCAGGCACACAGACACGGAGACAGAGAACATGGCGCCTACACACTGCGCGACAAAAAAATGGCCGACAAAATGGCGTCGTCGATTTGAAATGGCAGCGGGTCAGTAGCGCCAGATATTCAAGGTGCACTCTTAAAGTGCTCAAACATGCGACCAAGTAAATGGCTCACTTGAATTCTCTATCAGACTTTTTAAACTTTTCATATTATCTGGCGGGGAAACTTTTGAGCCAGATGACGAGTATGGAGAAATTGGTTGTCCAAAGTTTGTAAGAACTACTATGCAAATGATACGCATTTGTGCAGTTGAAGCTTCTTTATTTAAGATCTTTTTTTTTCTGTTACTACTTTTGATAAACCAAATAAAAATTTTATAAAAACCTCCGATATATTTTATAAATTTCTAGCTAGCAAACACCGAAAGTGTATTCAGAGTCCTTACTTCTCAGTTGAGTTCAATTTCCGTTTTTGTTCCTGCATTTTTTTGTTTCCTCCGGGTGCTGATTGAATTTTCCGACTGCCAGCGGCTGCATTGCTCCGCATATGTTGCCACTTGCTCGCATCGTGTGGCAAGAAGTTTATTGAAATCGATCGAGCGAGCGACTTCCAAAAATGTCGACCCGCAGCCGCACCCGTGCAGTTCGCCATTTGCATACCAAGTGGAATGAGCGGCGGAGTGCCAGCGAATTTATACAGATTTATGTTAATTTATTGAATTTAATTTGGTTTTTCTTACACTGTAACGATATGTGTTGTACGGCCCAGAGTCCGGACTCGAGTGAATCTCGACTGCGAATAAATTCAATCAAGTTTTGCGCATAAATTACACCTTTTTGGCGCCACGAAAATGATGCGTATCTTTAAGATACGGAACCAAGAGGGCAAAGCCATTCGAATACCAACAATAAGGCGGCCATTTGTTGCTTTTATTTTATGTTTATAATGGCAAAAGTTTTGAGGGTTGAGGACGTAGGGCTGAGGCTGAGGGTTGCCTTTTTATGTTCCGTCTGTGATATTTGAAGAGGCCGAGAACGGTGAGGCGAAGGACTAAGGTCATTAAAATGGCAGAACCTGAGCCAAAAAGGTTGGATGCTTTGCATTCATTAAGTAATTGGGGGGAAAGGTGTTTCGTGCTGTGGGGGAGAGGTCAAGGCATGGACACAAAGCATCTGCGGTTCTGCGGCATGAATTATTTATATACTAATTTAATTATTATTTAATTTGCCATGAACTTCATTCAGCGTTGATGATGAGTTGCGTGCGATAACTTTATTAGGCTTCCTGTTTGAAGTGTGTCTGCAAATGCCTGATTTCCATTTGCTGAGCCAAGTAAACAATGCCGGCCGAAAGTGCCAGATTCAAGAGATGTCTAAACTGTCTGGCTACTGTTTTGAAATCAAGATAGGATGGCTTCCGTTTCTTCAGCTTGTCGGTCAAAAAGCAAACGGAAAACGGCTGTCTTTCCGAAATGGAGATTCCCGAAAGAAACTACAAAGAGAGTCTTGAATGTTGGATGGATTATACATTTTAACTTAGTAGCTTACCATCAAATCAATAATATCCAGTTTTTTAAAGGTTAGGCCATTACTGGAATTTGAAGCTACAAGCTTCTTTGCCTCAGAGTCTTTACCGTCGAATTCGGCTTTCCAGGTCTCCTGCATCAAGGAAAAGTATTCTCCCTGCTGGCAGTAGGCTGCGGCAATTAAAAGCATCCACATGGCCAAGTGCCAGGACAGTAAAATAAAGGATGTTATGACGCGGGCTTTGGTACCCTGTATTTTTTGAATATCCTGGCCATCCCAAACAGCTTCATCTTCCAGATCGTCTTGGGTCTTCAGTTGCTGTACGACTTCACGGGATTCAAAGCTACAAAACTGCAGAAAGTCCGCAAGCCGAAGTCCCACAATGAACATGAAGAGGATGTATGTCATTTTAAAATAGGAGCCAGCCAAGACATTAACCGACTTCTGAAAGGGTAGAAGACTGTGTAGCTGAAACTGAAATAGTTTCAGATTCCTTTGAAGTCTCAGTTCTTTCAGGGATCGCAGCCACCCTGCACATATCAGGTGGTACAAAACATGAAGGGCCATAATCAAGACGAACAGCAGACGTGCCAGGCCAACCAGAAAGTTTATGACGTCGAACAGCTCTTTCATAGTAAGTATTTTGGCTTCACCTTTATGTTGCGGAAAGTCCAAACAAAGAGTTTTTATCAGAAAGGTGGCTAGCAGCATGACCAAAACTATTCCATAGATAAACACGAGCCAAGAGCATTCAATTTCCAGATGTTTTCCAACTAGAGATCTTAACCTTTTGTAGGCCGACTTGGCCTCGTCTATCAGTTTTCGCAATTGCCCTCTGTACATCACAGACCAGATCATGGTCATAAAAAAATATATACTGTGAGTGCTTTCGCTCACCAAATCCAGTCTATTTCTGAGGGGCCTGTACTCAATATTCAGCGTATTAACCAGTAAGTTCTCTTTTTCCACCTTCACACTTAAAAGTTTATGATAACACAGGATTAATGTGATAAATATGGTCGCGGCATATCTACAGCAGTTGCAATTTTCTTTCCTGGATTTCCCAAGCTGCAGAAACCCTAGAATAAATAGCGGAAAATGGAAAACTTTCACCAAAGTCAAAATAAAGCGAATGCGTGACATCTCTGATGGGAACTAACTAAAGGTTTTTGAAAAGGAAGTTCCCAATATTACGCCATTAACTAATTACTAATTTAGTAAATGTGTCTCATTTTCGTGTGTGATGGTGCTATTATAGAACTTAAGTCGAGCGACTAATAATTATACCTAGTAATTATTAAGTAACTTCCATTTAATCTTGCTATTCATCATCTCTTACAGTCCTTCAGCTTTTAAAACTGGTACTAAAATAAGCATCGATTGAGAACGAATCGCACATCCTTTTAGGCACCATCCATATGCTAATTGATATTACTAATGAACTTAATTCGCCCACAATCAACAATTTTAAAATTCCTTTTTGTTCATAAATATGATACATTGTTTCCCCATCCCCATCAATTACCTGGGATTGTTAACACAACTTTGAAACTGCTGCCCTTGTCAGAGCATTACTTGAAAAAATAACGACAATAATATTTTATGCTCTGTTTATTTGTGGAGCTGCTCTTTGGACCGCTTTAATAGTTGTCACTCGGATGTGGATGTGGATGTGGATATGGACATGGCTACCAAATGGGTGGAGCACTTAAAATGGCATAAAGCCATACGGGGTCGTCGCATCCCGCCGCCACCCCTATCTCCGTCTGGCCATTGCCGTCACTATCGCACCGGAGCTCACTCTGCCCGGTTGCTGGCATCTTGGTGGAGGTGGTTTTTCCGTTCCGTTCCGTTCCTTTCCTTCCTGCCTTTTTCATAGCCCGGCAAATGGTTTTACACGCGTGTAATTTCCCCGACATACATATATGAATTCGGTGCACTCCGCATGGTGTGGCAAAAAGTCCATGTTTTTATTACAAATTGCAATTGTGAAAAATTTTATACATGGCCGCATCGTTGTCCTCTCGTCGCCGCAGCGTGTCACATTCCGGGGCCTTCGTCCTGTAGCCTGCCTACGAGGAAAAAAAGGAATGGAACACTGAAAGAATATACTCTGAGACTAGAATAGAACCGGCATATAATTTAGTTTTTGCTTCAAATATTGTTCTAAATAATGAAAACTTTAAACAATTAAAAGATCTACTTTCTCCAAAAACAATCACAATATTTTTTTGACGTGTAGAAGGAGTTTCCAAACTGGAAACTGCTGTTCCAGTGATACTGAGTCCAAAAATAAACTGCCACATAAAATTCCTACCGCATATCCTGTCTGTGTCCTTGCCACTTGCCACTCGGTCTCCACTTTTTTGCATGCTGCGTGTGGGGCATGGCATGCATAAAGCAAATGAATTTATTTTTCGACTGGACTTTTTTCAATATTAATTCTTTCTGCCTTTTGGCTAGTGGAGAGTCTTCCTTCTTTTATTTTGTGCCTTAACATTTTTTTCTACGATTTTTTTGTTTGATTCGCTTTATTCACAAAATTTTTTCCGTCGATTTCGCCGAGCTATAAATTTTTGCATATTTTCATTAGTTGTCAGCGCTGCTTTTGATGATTTATGCATGTTTTTGATGCTCTTTCTCCCAGTACCCTGCTGGTCCTTTCTGCATTTACTATGACGGAGACCGACCTCCCCGCGCCGGAACAAGGCCAGCAATAAAAAATAAAACAAACAAACTTATTAAAAATTTAGTTGGTAAGGCAAAGTTTTTAAGCTAATGAAAATTGCTGCAGTTACGGGAATTTGTTGAACGAGGATAGCATAGCACTGGAATTTTCCATGGATTTAAGGGAGGGAGGTGGTCTTAGTTTTGTGGCTTAAATTAGGGTAGGTTTTTGGCCAATTAAGGCAACGAGTTTGTGGCTACAGTTGCCATTGGTAATATCAGATATTAAACCATAGTTACTTTCATGAAAGGGGTTTAAAAAGAGCAGAAAATTGGAACCAGTCCTACGAATATAAACCATCCATTTTGGTTTGGTGTCGCAAAGCTCAAATGGCTGCTGCTAAAGCTGATTGTGATGTTTTCCAACGCCTCCATTCATGCTTCTGCCCAGGCTTCTGTTTCACATTTTCCACCGACGACTGACGTCTCTAATGATTGTTTGACAAACATGCCAGGATAACCGTCTGCCTTTCTTCCGTCCTTCCTTCCTGGCAGCCAAACTGCCTACTCCCTGGTTTCCGGCTGGTCGAAGCTCTTTATTGAATTCCAACGCGGCGCCTGCCTAGTCCTAGGACCCTAGTCCTTGGTCCCTGGCCTTCGGAGTCCGTGCCTGGGCCGACATGTACAGGATTTTAAAAATGCCACATAGAAGCGCTGAACGCTACGACACGAATTCAAAATTGAAACGACAAAGTAAACGGCAAGAGGTGAGAACTAAGCAGGAAAGTGCACTAAAAGAGTTCCATGCTAACGCTTTGTCCATCGGAAATATTAAGACTTGAGTTTGTTTCCAAGTTTGTGGTGATTTTTGGAGTGTAGGGCGTGGGTGGGAGAGCTGGGAACGCGCCCAAGGAGCCGCTTGAGTTTGACAGTTTTGGGTTATGCTGCGATGAACATGGCCGATATGCTGCCATGCAAATCTCCTCGGCAAGTGGCAAGTGGAGTGTGGCGAGTGTGGCGGGGGTAAGCAGCGATTGAGACTTGAACAAATTAATCGCCATTCGGGGCAGAGCCGACAGGACAGAGTCAGGTTTGACCGAGTTTACACACTCTCCTTTGCATTTTTTGGTCGCTTTTTGGGAAGGTGAGTCGCTCCCGCCACCGACTCGGCGAATTCCCAGTTTGCAAATAAATTAGTTTGCTACGTGAGCGACACAAATCTGAAGTGGGTCTGACAGCGGTCCGCCGGTCCGGGAAAATGTTTAAAAAATTTAAGCGTGTGCAACGTATCGATTTGGGACTGACTTTGGCTCCGCTAATTGAAGTGGTTTCAATGTATGGCAATCCCATCAATTATCCGCAGCTAGGAACGCTTTTTCGTGCTGAAGGCAAATGCCTTTTCATTCCACAGGGGAAAATTAGAGTAGTGTTCTGTGTAGTAAAGACCCATTTGATAACCCACCATATTTAAGGTTGTTTTTGTTCCATTCGCACATTAGAGCTAAGCACTCATTAACTTGATGTAGACCTGGAGGGCTTTTTTTTGGGCCCAAAGCCCTGCCAGACCTTTAGTCGGAATCATGCACTTGTCGCTGCCCAAAGTGCTCTGCATCTGCTACATTGTCAGTATCTTCCGAATCCAGAAGCGTGTCTGCAATTTTCTGAGTCTCTACCATGTGCGATTCGACGGGGTCGCAAAAAGATTCCATCAAGGTCAACAGTTCATTTTATACTGTATCTACGCGTACAATCTGTTTTGTCTTTTCCCTTACTGGTTGAACAATGAATCCTTTAGGATAAACCGATACAGCCTTTTCATCTACTTGGGGCCCCTGATCTACTACGTTCAGCACAAGAATGCTATGCTCACAACCCTGAATAAAATGACAGGGGTACACCTGGAGCTCCAGTCCCTCCTGGGCCAGCTCTTCTGTGTGGAGGTAAAGAGGGCTGTTGTCTGTTCCTTGGTAGTGGTCTTCGAAATATTTAGTCTGACCTGCTGGAAGTTGGCTAACTATGATTTCATTCAGCTGATCGTTACAATTGGCTATCCTTTATTTTGGCTCCTGCAGCCGCTGCTGCAAATAAACAGCTACATTTGGCTACTAGCCGTCTATAAGGCCATGCACCCGGTGCTAACTGCCTCCGAGCTCACCCGCAGGGAGCGTTGGAAGATTCTGAAATCATTACTGAAAATCCACCGCAAATTGGGATTCATTCAGAGGGATGTAGCCTCATATTTCATTATGTACCTTATGTCAGTGATGGTGATCCTTTGGGAGTTCTATGCCCGAATACTAATCTTCCAAACAGGCTTTAGTGAGGAGCTCAATAGGCTCATACTAGTGAACCTCAAGCTTTGGCAGATCAAGTACTTGGCACTCATACTCTTCCTGGTCGCTACTTTGCTTTTTGTGATGGCAGACTTCAAGTCCCAGCGGGATAAATTCGTGAAAGGTATGTGGCATTCCGGATTGCTAAATCAAAGAATCTGTGACTTCAGGGAACGCAAAGTATATAGAAGACGCTGCAGGCAGACTCTGGACGTAGTCGATTTGTTGGTAAGCCTTCTCCCCAAATACAAAAAAAAAAGAAAATACTAATGAAAGAAATCTTAGCTGCGTACTGGAAATGGGCCTAAAGATCTGCTCTGTCCAAATCTATCCCTCATGGAACTTCGAATCAATGAGGATACTTTATTTGTCTTGGAATCGCCAGCGTTTATATTATACCTTGTTCTGTTGAGTTTTATGGCTTGCCTTATTCCTTTCGTGGCTATCTTAAACGGATTTCAATTATCCTTGGAATATTCGCCTCAAATGGAATATTTCTGCAACTATGCCTCTAACTATACGTTTTCAAATTATACGCCGCCGCTTTCCGTAATGCTGAGCTGGGCATTAGGCGAATAAAATCAACAAGCCTGGACACTTGCCAGAACTCTCGAGAAATAATTATGCAAAGCACGTTTGCTGTGTGGGCTGCCAAACCGAGGCGGGCACCAAAAAACTGAAAGGCTAAAAAGAGCTGAAAGCAAAACCAATAAATCAAAGGAAAAATGATGCTAACCCATTCATTACACAGCAAACACTCAACGGACCTTTTTCACTTCCAAGGCCCCTCCCCGGCGACTACATTCAAAATGTCGAACTGGAAATCTATTAAATCACTCGAGATATCCACTGCCTCTGCGACTGGAGTATTTCGAACCTTAATTAGCTCATAGCTGTGCAACGTGGCGTATGATTAACACGCGACTAATGAACGTCATTGCTGCACCGCGAAAAAGCTTACGATTTTCACGATATTTCTATTTTAAAGAGGATCCTTTTTTTCTCCATAATTTATTTGTAATGTTATCCTTAAAAAACCCAAGGGTAGCCATAATAATAAACAAAGATATTCCAAGGTGCAAAGTTAGTATCCTTTTTTCGGTGCATCCTGTCTTCATCCTGTCCTGGCTGGCACTGCCGTTGACATCGCTCAGCTGTGAATGATTGAATTAAAACCCATTCGGCGGACCTGGCACAATCAATGGAATTATTACCCGGCCGGCCACGCCCACTTCAGTTCAATGCACAAGCCTTCTGCCATTCTGGAGTGGCGAGTGCCGAGTGGCGAATGGGGAATGGCGGAAACTATTTCCGTGATTTCTAATTTTCGAACCGAGTCCCCTCGACGCCAGTTGACTGGAAAATCTTTCGATTAACTGCATTCGGAGGGGCCCTGCAACATTAATGAGGCACGCCCCCAGCCCATTAGCAGCTTCATTGTCGCCCGCCCACATCCCAAATCCCACACCCTAGTACCACACGCCCCCACACAAATACAAATACACACATAGCCACGTATGGAGGAGTCCAGGATTCGAACTTAATTGATATGCATGTGTGTGCGTAGATGGGGGGGATGGTGTCCTGCAAATGCAATTTCCTTGTTGGCAGTGCTGCTGTTGTTCTGCCGCTGCGCTCTCTAATGAGTTCGAAATAATTCCATGTTATGCCCCAGCTATCTATCCATCTTTATGCACCCCATTAAAGCCCCCGAAATCATTTGATATGCGACCCAATATATATTGTTTAGCTACGAAAAAAGATAAAAACCCAAAGGATCCAGGGAACAGCAAACGGAAAGGATGGCAAGAGCGAAGCAGAGCTTACGTATTGCAATTTGTGCAAAATGCAAATTTCCTCACTGATGACAGCCGCAATTTTGTGCCCTATTGTTGTTAGTGGCACTCGGGTTTTTGTTGTTTTTTTGCTCGACATTGTTGTTGTTTGCAAACGTCCATTGTTAGGGACATGAGTGTGAGCATGATGGTGTGTGTTTGGGTCGAAAGTGTCCACACATCAGGGCAGAAGATTAGGGACTACAGATCAAATAGTAGCTAAATCCTTGCTAGATTACTCTATATTTGTATATAGCCTGCTGCCAAGAAGAATAGAAACTAATTAATGGTTCTAATCTTTTGGCGATGGGTGTCCCGCATGCCGACAGGACAGCATGACAGCCGTCAGGCACATACCAATAAACACAGCAGGCCGAAGACCAAGCCAAAAGCCAGAGCCGATCTGAATTCCTGACTGGCAAATGTCTGGCCGCCGGACAACACAACAATGGCTGACCAGCGTCAGCATTAGGGTTACTATCCCCCATCCTCGGGCCCCTACCGAGAAGACATGGTCTTGTTTCTCTTTGATTAACAATGATGGGCATTATTTTTGCAAATAAATTCAACTGAGGCTAAAGGACCCTCGCCGAGGAGTTCAAGGCAAAGGAATGCTTTGTTTGTCCTTTCTGCGCCCAATCGTTGACATTTTTCCATGCTCAAGTTGCACTTTATTGATTTATGGCAGTCAGCGTCAATCATTGTTGTTCGGCCAGGCTCGTGAATGCACAACGAAAAATGTGTGGCTCTTTAAGAGTACGAAACAAGGATAATGGAATATCTTGAACTTCAAAGAACGGGGCTATAAAAGCTGTACTCGAGTTTACTTTAATTCATGTCCAGTTGACAACTTGACAAGTTACTAACTTTTATTTTCTCCGGGTGTGGTCATAATTGCACATTTGCTAAGAGCAACAAGGACCGCCGCACACACACAAACTGACACATACTCAGAGGGAGGCGGAAGCTTTTAAGCAAACAGGATGTGCCGTACATGTGTGTTTGTGGAACAGCTTGCGAGCACAAGGGACAAGAGGGAACAATACTTACAAGTCCGAGAACTTGAAGCGAAAACAATGCATTTGTTATGCAAAGCCTTTGATGTTGTCCTTGAGCAAAAGTGCTGAATGGAGGAAGGAGCTGCCGATGTGAATCCTGCCAGCAAGTTGTCAATGACAAAATGATTTTGCAGCAAAGCTGGCAAAAGTGTTTTGCCTTTTTATCGGAAAATGCTCTTAAACTTTCGTTTCGGGCCTCGCCTGCCAAATGGGTCAACAGCGAAAACAACGTGGCTGCCCACACAAACTTTTGTCGGCTTCTACGAGAAGGATGAAAGAGCAGGAAGCCGATCTAGACAGAGGTCCCAACAAAATAATTAAGGTTCTTCAAACTTATTGTCGATTTTTTTTCTAGCAGCGGGGGAGCTAAAGTTTGTTTTAAAAATATTCTAGAGATAATAATTAGGGCAGCGCCGCAAAGAGAAAAAGTCCAGAAAGAACAAAAGCCAGGAAGTGGCCAAAAGTAAACAGCACAAAAAAGGGACGCTTAATAAATATAAAAGGCCAGCCAGCCAGGATGGCGAAGAAAATTAGAGGACGGAGGCGGCGAGGAGTTGGAGTCCTTAATACCCTGCAACATGCCGGCTAAATTTCAACATAAACGAACGCTGGGCGCACTTAGCAGGCAATTGCGAGATAATTTAATTATGCGCACTCCTGGCAGAAACGGCAGTGCCAGGATAACCGGATAATGATAACGAAATAAGTAAACCAAAAGGGCTTACACCACAGGCCACAGGCACGCGGCCATAAAGAGCCAAACAGCCACAGAGCCAGATAAAATGTGTGCGGTGAATGGAATGAAAAATGGCCAACGAGCCAAGGACAACAGCCAGAGGAATCACAAGGTGTGTGTAACGCTTCGATAACAATAATATCGGCCGGCGGGGGTGTGGCTTAAACAAATTGCACCCGACTTAGTTGCCAACCGGAAGCGGGCAGAACTTGTCGCCGGATGCGATGTTCTATATGTTTGCCACTGGGCCCCACTGGACAGGTAGCAGCTGCAGCCCTGTGACAGAAACCGTTGCTATGGCATTAAGCATAATTAGCGCGAAAATAATTTATTCAAGAATTGGAAAGGTCAATTGCGACCCTAATTGCCATTGTCTCGTTTTGTGCATTTTCAATTTTGAAATTCGCCATTCGGTTTCATGTTGCATTTGCATTGCAGATTATGCAAAGTTTTTCCAGGGTGTCACTCGTGTCATCTAGTTCCCCGGATGATGAGTTGCGGTGGAGCTAATTAAGCGCCGTTCAACTCTTTTTCTCACATACCAATTAGCCGGGATAAGCGTTTGTTAATGGTCAAAAGTTCAACTGTCCAGACCACTTCAAACTTAAAGGCTAATTACTCCAAACATGGAACAAAGCATGATAGATTGTTAATGCTTTTTGTTATAGTTTTTAAACTCTATCCTTATTATGGAATTTTGTAAATTATTTTCCCTGCCCCCATTCAAGTGTGCTCTTTAAGATCGCCGGCTGCTCCCCTTTTTGTATTGAAAAGGGGTCACGCCCAAACCATATTACCAAAAATGTTCCGTTTTCGGCACTTCGTTAGAAACTTTGCTTCCCGCTGGGACGCATCGAGGATGTAGTTCTTGCCGCGCTTCCCGCCGTCGCACCACCTTGCAACCAGCCAATGGGCAATTTGGCTTTAACATTACGGTTAAGCATGCATGTCAAGCACATTGCCACACTGAAAAGTTTGTTGCCCGAGTTGCTCCAGCGGCAGTGGTTGTAGTTGCCATTGCAAATTGCATTTGCAGCAGATGCAGCTGCAACTTGCAATGCCCCATGTTGCATGTCTGCGACTCCGGGTGGGTGTGTGTCGGTTCTTGTGTTTGTGTTTGTATTTGTGTTTGTGTCACCCCCAGGCCAAACGCCTTCGTGCCCCCGTTTCAGTTCCTTGTGCAATAATTAAGTGAGTGCCAAGTAGAGTGAAGCGTGAAGCATCGCCGCCGTTCCCATTTTCCTACTTACCGCCCACGCCCACGCCTACGTCGCCCTACTGCAAATTCATGCGTTAACAAAACAAGCGGGAAGGTTACATTACCCGAACCGGCTAGACTGCGAAATACCCAATAAATTGGACATAAACATAAACATTGCCTACTTTTTTGGGTAGGGTTTGTATTTTGATTCGGAACCGGCCAATAGTGTAGCTTCAACGGTGTAGCTTATCCCACTACATACATTACAGGGTAAGAATTGCTCGAGTTTCATCACCAGCTTGCAATGAAAGAGAACCCAAAGAAGGCGGTATATGTTCTTGGGGAATTCGCCTTATTTTGGCTATGCTCGCGGGCACCGAACGCGGCTGAGTAAACGTTGCACGCATGAGAAATCAAAAGCAGCAGCACCCCCAGCACCTACAGCATCGGACTACGCCCATGCAACCCTCAAGTGGCAGCTCCTTATGCTCCTTATTATTCTTATTCTCCCTTCTCGGCGGGGACTCCTGGGTGCCCGTTTCTGTTGCTCCTTCTAGGGTCCTGCAAGTGCTCCAAACTGTAGCCACATGCACATGAAGGGTCGAGCCGGAGGACTGGGCCAGAGTTGAAGGAATTTTAAATTACAAAAACGAATTGAAAGTAACCGGAGTCTGGACGAAAAGGAAAATGGAAAATTAAACGCTTAATCGAATCTGGGGGCACTTAATAAGATAACCAGCAGGAAAAATGGAAATCCTCAGCCATGATGTAATTGAAGGATGGTGAAAAATATACCATTTACACAGGAATCGAAGATAATAACTTAAATAAATTCCCAGCGGTTGATTTGAGTTTTCTAGACAGTTTAGAAAGTCCCCTTTAGTTTTTCTTAAATGCTTTCCAGTCGCTTCGCAACAACTTTCTCCTGCCAAAGTCACATGCCTGAAGTTGGGCCATAACAAGGACACGTAAGCTGCCGCAACACGCATTCACTTATTTTGCCATCAAATGCTGGCACTTGAAATCAAATTTAAACACACCCCACGACCCCGCCAACCAAGCCACACATCCACATTTATTTATCCCCTGTGGTAGTGGAAAATGTGCGTAGTTTTTGTACTTTTTCTAAGTATATTTTTGCACCATCCTGGTGCTTTCTTTTGAGGCGAGCGACACGTACTTCCGCTCATAAGCCAAAGGCAAACTAGGCGAGAAGCAAAATGCTGGCGAACTAAAAAAGCGAAAGAGCTACACAAAAAAATACCCACTTGTTTTTCCAGATAGAAAAAATATTATGCATTTTTTATTAACTTTTTTATTTTTAAATAAACATAAATAAATTTCCCCAAAGTTTTGCAAGCTTGAAAATCTTAAAAAGGCAGCCGTGCTTTTGCAGCATTTTATTTAATGAAAATTGTGGAACGACTTGTCTTAGATGCATGTGCTTAGAATAGGAACTCGGCCTTATGACTTAGGCACATCCAATGTTATGGCAGTTTATGGAAAAGTTATTTTAATATTAAAATAGTAGGCTATTCTTATATGTGGATTTATGTGGTTGCGGATAGGATTGCAAAACTTTCTCTGAGTGCACCCACTCATACTTTCTAACATTGTAACGAGATAATATTTTTCCAACATATTCGTGTGAGCCCAGGACAAGGCTAAATGATATTACCTGGAGTAACATCAGCCTGAATGACAGACAGGTACTGCAGCGGGGGGCGTGTCTGGTTCCTAGCAGCCGAAGGGCGGGGCTGGAGAGGTGCATGCACATCTAACGGAAACCGGATGTGCTTGGCTTGGCAGTTGTGAAGTGATGTTTAGGCCAGGATGGTTGGAGGGGAGGGCGACTGCCAGCCGATGTGCGAACTCGCCCATAGGCATCATCGAGTGCCACGTTTTATGTCTTGCCAATGGCAGCCCGGAGCTCGGTAGACCCAGTGAATCCAGTCGTGTCACACACTGATGTGCGCGGTAGATTCGATCTGGCCACCAGTGCTGCTCATTTTTGCGACTATTTTAAACTATGTAGATTTATTTAAAATTTAATTTGTAGAGCTAGCACTATTGCTTCGAACAAGTCTTCAAATCCCCCGACAGCGAATACTATGAATGCTTTTCTTCTATGAATAGGATATCCATTGCTTTCCCTTCAATGGCTGACATGGCAGCACTATTGCGACTGTTTGATTGTGACTATAGCGGTTATGGCCCCACAGGCGCCGCTCACACTTGTTCCTCCTCACGCACTCCCCTCGCACCCACCAGATGTGACAGCATAAATCGCTGCCACTGCCAGCGGGGGAGCAGCTGGAAGAGAAGTCGAGTCGGGAAGTTGCTTGCGAGTAGGGGTAGGGAGTCGGGCTTCAGGAGAAGGAGGCCGAGACGGAGACGGAGGCTGAGAACAATAAAGCCATATTGGCAATTTAATGTGCTGCAAAACATTTGAACATTCGATTGGGGTGCCGAGGACAACAACGACATCTCGCATACGCAGCGTGTGCCGAGGAATGCATTTTAAGCGGCTAAGCACGTAAACAGAAACATTGGCAGTGCACTTGTGCAGCTGGAAGCCAAGTTTACCGTTTACTTATCTTTGGCAATGCCCAACACGTATCCACATTAACTCGCCCACTAAGCCACCCCGCTCTGGCATACTGGGAACAGCTTCATTTTCAGCTGCTGCCTGCCAGAAAATTTAAGGAATTTTTTCTTGCCACTGCCAGGCAGCTAGGCAGCCAGGCTGCCATGTTAGCCATGACCCCCTCATTTCGGGCCAACCAAGAGCCCTTCCGTTTTGGCATACGCAACATTCTCGGGGAGGGCCGCTACTACCGCCTTTGTCATTTGCATATTTGGCGCTGCAATTTTCGTACCGAACTTGTAAATTTCGCCTTTATATATGCAAGGTGCAAATCTGTTTAGCGTCCCCCGTGTGCGGCAGAGCATCAAAATGCATTTATGCAAAGGCCAGTGGAAGTTGCACCAAAATGAAGTCAGCGTGGCCGGAACCCAGCGACTGATGACTAAGTTGAAAGTGTTGTCTGATTACCACATTTATCAACGGAGCTTAACGCAGTGTCTTTAGGAAGTTGTGAAATGGCTAACCATTTTTCATAAGTTATATCCTTTTGAATTATTCAGCTTAGGAGGCAAAATTATCCCTGCTAACGCTTCCATGAAGTGTCTCCAAACTATGCCATTTGGTATTCAAAAGTTCTCCTCAATATTATCTTTACATTTTGAAAAATAAATATGCTCGTAAATGGTAAATCACCATAACTAGCTAATCAGCCAGGCTCTTTACAACACCAACCTAACAAAGTTCTTGCCGATAAATGCAAATGGTTTTTCGGTTTTGGCCACAAACTCAAACTCACATATAACTTTTTACGACGGGAAAACAAAGTCTGCCGAGAGGCCGTAAAATATCAGATACCATTTTGTCTATCCCCCGAATCGGATGCTGAGAACAACAGCGACGAGTGCAGCCTCAAAAGTGTGAAATCACATTTTCAAATAAAACTTAAAGTCATTACTTGCTGATTAGTTTATGATTGAGACTTTAGTATATTCTTTACAAAGCTAATAATGCTTTTTATTATTCCTATTACAATGTCTGGTATATTAACATTAATTTATATTTGAATACTCCTAGCTAATAGTTGGCAAGTTGACACATACACGTATATGAAGAAGAAGGAGAGACCCACAACCTCGGACCCCAATCGCATTACGTATACGCCACGTTGAGCGCATTTTGGCAGACTAGCAATTGACTTTAATTACTTTGCCTCAAAAAGTCATGCAGACTCCAGGGGCGGTATGTGTGGCTGAGTGGGGGTGTGTGTTTAGGTCATGATGTCATCAGCTGTGCAAAGGAAGCTTTAGTGGCAGAGGACGACAGACAGGGTGGCCATGAAAGGAAGCAGCAACATCAAGAACTTTCATTAGTTTTTGGGTTCCCCGGCTGGCTTGGCGGAAGCCACTAAAAGCCTTTACATGGCATTCAAGTGCACACCGCCCCTGTCCCGTAGAGCTCCCCCACCCGAACGTGTATAAAAGAAAAACAGTTTGGGAAATTTAATTTTCAGAACACTTGATTTTTAAAATGGCAACGTGCCGGCAAATGGGAAGCAATGAAATTTGCTGTTAATTTGTACAAAAATGTCTCTATTAAATTTTAAATTGGTTTTTTGGTAAATTTTATGAGCCGCCTCGATGTGTGGACACCAAAGGTTGTGGGAGTGCATGTAAAAAAATAAAAGCACGCTGAGCAAACGGCATGTCCTTTTTGCGGATGTTGTCAATGCATTGAATGGAAAGGAAGCTCCTGAAACGGGCTTGGGTGTGTGCAATTCTGGCTAGGAGAAAAAACAGATGCACCGTGAATAATTTGGCTTCCAGGAGACATTTGTTTAATATAAGGAAATATTTATTAGGAAAGTCACTGAAATCTTCACAAAAATGTTTCTACAAAAATATATAAAAATTCTCTAAAAGGCTGAAATTCCGAATGGAAATATTTTACGTGCATTAAGTTCTACCAACAGCTGCTGCAGGATGCGTATGCAATCTGGCAATAAATATTTTATATTACAATATGTTGCTCCGTGGGGAACTCGTGGCAAAGCAGAGCATATTGATTGTGTTCCATGACGGAAAATGTAAACTGAAATTTTATAGGTATTTAAATCCCGAAAAGCGGTCGACTCTGTTCTTAACGATCATAGCTGCACTTTGGTTTTAGTTTAAGTAAGACCATTCATTCCTCCGGGCACCGTAACTCTCACTCGTTTATTGTATGTTTTTCTTAACTGCTGGCCCTCTCTCGGTTTCCCCAACGGAAATCGGTTGAAGCTGCTGTCCTGTCGGCACCGGAAGTTGTGTCTGTTTTTTATTTTATTTCTTTATGACGCTGCATTTTGTGGCATGTAGGGTTGCTCTTGCTAGCTTTATTGCCGCCGACTCCTTGGTCAGAGCAATTACATATATGTACAATATATAGCACTTTCGGCGGTTATTTGGGGACCCGGGCTGACCGTGTTGCTTGTCGTAAATGAGTCTGGATATTTTAACGGGGCTAATGTCTTGTGGAGCAGCCTATTTGGGGGTGCCTAGTATGGGATAATAAACTATATGGGGTAATTAACATTTTATTACATCAGCCGTGACAAGTTAAATAGCCGAGAAGCTTTGAATAGATTATATATTATAAAAACTTGTAGATTTACAATAATATTCTTGATTAGCTTAGGAAAACTAAATCATATACATTTTATTTATTTCAAATGGTTTTCAAAAGGTTATACTCTTATTAGGATTTACTTCTTTCTTATTACTTTCTTATTACATATTACTTTACTTCTTTACTATTCTTATTAGGATTCCTATATACTTTTAGGATTTCAGATAAAAGGCCAGCGGGATGGTTAATTTAAAACCGGATCATCATCATCAATAGGGCCATTTAAATTTCATCGATGTCTCAGCTTTCGTTTCTGTGCCTTTTGTGAAATGAGGGCCATTAAAGTTCCATTTTCCCATGATATTACAAACTTACCTTCGCACGCATTTGCTCCTTATGCTCTTCAGAAAGATTCATCCATTCTCTGGCACCATTTTGGATCGAAAGGATCGTTGCCACATTTGAATTGTTTTGTCGGCGCTCACGCAAATAGGTAACGAAACCTTCGCTTAAAGCAGGTGATCTTCTGCGTGAACAGGAAGTCTTTCGCTTGAACTTCATAATGCTACTTCGCTTTATACTCTTCAGAGATGACTTCAAGGAAGAAATGACAAATTTGCTCTTTCGTGATTTCTTCAATTTATTTTTGACTAATCTTTTTTTTTGACGGGCAAAGGCCGAAGCCCGAGGCGGAGGTGCAACCTTAATTGGAGAGATTCCTTAGAGTCCTTATCCAAAAAAAAAAAAACACTAGGAACTTACAGAAAAGCAGAGTTTGTAATCTGGCCACATTTTCCCCCATTCATTGATCGCACGTTCTTCAAACTCGCACTTCTCAAGGTCGCGGTGGTTCTTTCTGTAAAACTTCATAAAGTTTATAAAAGCCAGGGTCTCCGCTGGCCCAAGCGGCTTAGGTAGTTTATGTCCCATAGTGTATCGGGTTCCTTTAAATGTTACAAGAATTTCGATAACTGGCTCTTAGCTAAAATATGTGTTATTGTATCACTCTCTCTTACTAATGAATAATTCGTCCCGGCCTGCTCAAATCAAAGGTTTTCAAGCAATTACTTAAGGCCGCATAAAAATTAGATTTTCAGCAGCGTTCTCCTCCCGACACTCTGATTATTAAATTTGAAGGGGAAACGACTTTCTTGTTTCTTCTCGAAGCGCTCATCTCGGCTTAGCTCTCATCATTATTATTTTGGGAAGTAATTAAGCAAACTTTCTACTGTCTTTTCTTAGGTTGTTGGAATTTGTTTTTACTCCTAGACCATCACGTTTGACGGGCCTTGACAGGGACAACCAGAAAACGAACGAATGAGCTGGAGGAGTGTGGAAAAACGAACAGAAAAACAGAAAATAAAAGAAAAACCTAACTTAAGAAACAGGCCTCAATTTTCTACGTGCACACCATAAAGTTGATGTGTAATTTGTTTTTATATGCATTCAACAGAACTTGCCAAATTCTATTACAAGTTTACAATTGTATTACGGCAGAGAGCTCTTCTCGTCGTCGTAGGTCTCGTCGTGCCTTCACCTAAATAAACCATAACTAATGGGGTCGCACGAGCAGAAGTATCTGGGAGGGCTCATACTTGTGGGTTGTGTGTAAGAATGTGAAAATGTTGCAAAATGCTTTAAAGCGTCGAAAGCAGCTTAGCAACTTCCAATGCTGCACAATAACAACAGCCAAGGCACTTGAGTGGGAGTGGAGGCCAAAAGGAAAAAAGCAAACAAGCAAATGAAATTTCCGCTGGAGCACCCCAGTCCAGAGCCAGACCCGGCACGAGCACCAGAAGCAAAAGCTTCTTCTCCATTTCGATCGTTTAGTGTATCAATAACTGAATAACAGGCTAAGAAGGTTTGGTTTGTTTGTGCTGCCAATCGAAGCCTGGGCGCTTTGTTTGCCCTTCTTTGTGCAATTTCAAGTGCCGGAAATACGCTCCAGCTTTATGGATACCCTGTCTGTGGGTGTCCCACCACAGCTCCCGCGTACTCTACTTTCAAAATACTGCGTCTAGCCACACCGAGAGTTACTAACACGCCAGTCGAGATAATATCTTTTGATTAGTGGCAACCGCAAAAACTTTAATTAAATTCGCACACAATTCTCTGCTGGAACTGAAAAGTTTATGCAGTATTTGCCATGTCACCGAATAAGTTTCCTTTCTCTCCCTCCCAGTCTGGACACATACGCATGTGGACGGCAGGACTGGGCTTAAGTTTTACAATTCGGGGAGGGAATAAAAAAAAAACCTAACTGAGAAAACTTTTCGCCCAAAAGTTATGCCGAGTTTGGGGGAGAAATCTAATGAATTAATTAGTTGATTTTTGCTAAAGCCAAAAGTTTCAAGCTTCCGCCAACCCAAAAACCACTTGAAGCTGTATTTTGTTGAAAAGTTGATGTTCCAGTATGAATATTTTTATTTTCCTTTGTTTAACTTTGGTTATCCGATATGTGAAAATGGAGGAATATATATTTTCAATTGAAATCAATTTAAGAGTTATAAATCCTTGACCTTTAGCCTTTCCAGTTTATACTTTACCTCCTATAAGGCCTTAAAAAAACTTCATTTCTTGGTAATATTTTATTTATTTAATTGACTTTGGTAACTTTAAAGAGCCACACAAGTGTAACCTCTCACATTCCTATGCCATAAATTTCCGGCAGAACGAATCCAGGGCAAAGGCAAGGGCGGCCAGCGACTCGCAGCCCTCCCCAGAAATAACTCATATCGAATTGCACCATTTGTTGTTTTGTCTCCCTAGAGGATATTGAGCTACACTGGCGGGGATTGTGATGGAATTGGTTGTTCGGAGGTCTGCGGCTCGTTGGCCACCGTTGCCCGATGCCGGATGGATCGCCTGCTTTATATTTTCTCGCTCGTTTGACGCTTTCGATTTTGATAGATTTATCACAGCTTACAAAAATAAGGCGCAAAGTAAAATACAATAATAAAAACAAAACAAACTTTATGCAAATGAAAAATCGAAATGATGGCCACTAATTGGATGGTGCAATGGACATCCTCACTGAGCCACGACCACGGGCCCGAGCATTAAGTTTTGTCTTCGCTCGCAACCCTTTGACCGAGTCCCGTGGTCATCGCTGGCAATGGGATGCTCTTCACATTGCACTAACCTTACATCGTTAGTGTCTCTTCTAAAGTACAAAAAGCTATGAAATGAGGGTCTCTCCCCTAGGGGGTCATCCTCGCTTGTTTTTTGGTATTTGTTATATAAAATATAATTGAAATATGCTTAATCTATGACTAAAGTGTTTCTTATTTCGTTGTCGTTCCGTTTAACGACTATTTGGAGCTCTTCTTCTTTTTGCTTTTGGGAATTTCTGCCCACAGTCGGAAGAAGTACTCATCGCGCTGAAGCAGCCTGCCGCGGGCGTATGAGTGGATGTCTGCATCCATGTGGTGGTCCCGCAGCCACGAGGAGGTATTGCACGAGCTCATCTCCGTTCGTGGCTCGTCTGGCAGGCTCTCATGACCTGGGAAATAGGAAAGGTGTTGGTTTTGTGCAGAATATTGTATCGACACAGGACACTTACCCGCTGTCATGATCTTGTAAGGCTCCTCCGATTCCAGAGGCTCACTCAGGCCAATCTCGTTCTTGGCAAATATGCGAATCATGTACTCGTGATTCTCCTGCAGGTCTCTAATCTGGAATTTCTGCACACCGGCTGGCACACGACCCACCTCAATCCACATGGTCTTCTTCATGTCCCTAATCGCAATGTGGTAGCCGAGCAGAGGCGCACCTCCATCTGACTCGGGTATACCCCATTCGAATATGTGGGCGTTCGCGGCAAGTACGCGCGTTTCAAGTGGAGCAGTGGGTGGCGACGGTACGGCTAAAAGAGGATAAACATATTTTAGGTTTTTCCATGACTATCAAAGATAAGAGGGACTCACTAGCATGTGTCTTTAGCGATATACTCTCCGTGACGGCTGGTGCACCTAGTCCAGCCTCGTTCTCGGCAGCGACACGGAACCAGTACTCGCACCTCTCCTTGAGGTTGTCGATGGTGTAGTGCAGCTGATGAGCATCCAGAGTGATGACCTTTGTCCAGGTGGTGGATGTTGAGGAACGTTTCTCCACACAGTAGCCTGTAATAAAGGTAAAAAGTTAGCACTTCTCTCAAGCACTTAATGAGCTTCAATTTACCAGTGATTTCGGAACCACCATTGCGGGCGGGCACCTCCCAATCCAAAGTAACACTTCGGCTTGTGACATCCGGCGCTCTCAGGTTTTGAGGTGGCGATGGAGGCGCTAAATTTAAAAGAAAGTGAGTGTATTAGAAAACCATATTAATTTAGTTTTAAAACTCTAGATGTTACTTTTACATACCCATGTTTTCATTATCAATATCAGCAGCTGTTGTAGGGGTTAGCATTGGCAAAGCATTAGTGGCGTTTTAAGAAAAAGCGTTTTGCAAAAAAAGCAATTTTGATAAACTGATACCTTATAGGAAAACTTACTTATCTTGCGGCCAACGACAATCTTTTCCGTGGTCTCGAACGCCTCACTGGTACCAGCCTCGTTTCTCGCATAGATGCGGAACAGATAGCCCTTGTTCTTCACCACCTTCTCCACGTGAATGTTGGTGACAGTGCCCAGGCTTGTGCCCACCTTTCGGTAGGTTGTCTCAGTCTCTTCCCTAATCTCTACAATATACTCTATGATCTTGGATCCGCCGTCGTTCTCCGATGGCTCCCAGGCCAGATTGAAGGAGGTGTTGTTCATACCCGACACGGCCGTGGGACCCCGAGGTGGGGATGGTTTTTCTGAAGAAAACATGAAAAAAAGTGATTATTGAAAAATGTACCAATATATTTGTTAATTTTGGGAATATTCCCAGAGCTCAACTCACCAAACTTCTTGGTTATTGTCACAGTTTCACTTTCTGTTGGCTCGGACTCGCCAATGGGATTGGCGGCCACCACACGGAACATATACTGTGAATTAATGGATAGCTTTTGGACGGCATACGAGTGAATGTCCTTGTCGAATTCAGAGACCTTCATCCAGACATTGTTTTGGGTGTCGCACTTCTCCAGAGTATACTTGTTGATCTCCAGACCGCCATCGTCGATAGGCGGCGTCCACTCCAGGGTGATGGAGTCCTTCTTTACGTCCTTAATCTCCAGCGACTGTGGTCTGCTGGGCTTGTCGATCACCTGTACATTGACCTCCACGTTTGTGGATCCGGATTCATTGGTGGCTGTCACCTTGTACTTTCCGGACTGCTCGCGGGTGACCTTCTTCACAGTGTATGTGGAGGTGGTTTCGGTTGTTTCGATTGTGACCGTCTTGGTGGTCTTCTGCTCGACCGTCTCTTTGTGCCAGGTCACAGTGGGCTGGGGATAGCCGCGGACCGTCGCTGGAATGGTAAGAGAGCTGCCCGTGCGCAGTTTCTGAGTCAGATACTTCTCCTCAACCTCAACGGTGGGCTTCTGCTGCAGCTTCAGACGGCACGAGGTCTCAACAGAGCCCTTCTCGTTTGTAGCCACGCAGGTGTAGGTGGCTTCAGTCTCAATAGTTGTCTTTTCAATGATGTACTTGGCCACGCGGTTTTCGTAGCGCAAGCTGCTCGACTCGATAACCTTGCCGTTTCGCTTCCACGTCACCTTTGGCTCAGGAATACCGCCAAATACGCAGGATAGCGTAACCTCCTTGTCCAGTTCGCTTACCACATCTTGCAGGGGCTCGCGAACGCTAGGCGCCTCGGTTTCCACCTTGGGCACTAAACGGATGGGTGGCGAAATGGGTGACGGCGGCGAGGGTCCCACTTCGTTGACCGCTATCGATCTGAAGACATACTCGCTGTCGATTTTCAGCTTGCTGATGGTATAAGTAGTGTCCTTAATCTTTCTAATTTCAGTCCATCTGCAAGATTTATTTTCAAAAGAATTATCTTTTAGATTTCTCGTCAATTTTCTTGAGGGTCCCTTTTAAAAATTTTATGAAGTACATGAATGGGACAATATGAAGGACAGCAAGGAAAATGCGTTAATCGGCAATATGGCCCCCTGGGATGGTCATATCTTGGGTAATTTTCATCCGATTCTTGAGCAAAGTACATTCTTGAGCAAAGTGAGCAAACGATTTGTAGATGAATTCTCCACCATTCTGCATCAAAATCTAGCAACAAAATATTTTTGAGATTTTTTGTCAAATTTTCTGGGGGACCCCCTGCAAAAATGGGAAAAACTCTTGGAAAGGGAATATGGTCCCCTGGGATGGCCATATCTTGGGCAATTTTTATCCGATTCTTGAGCGAAGTACCTTAAACGATTTGTGGATGAATTCTCCACCATTCTGCATCAAAATCTAGCAACAAAATATTTTTGAGATTTTTTGTCAAATTTTCTGGGGGACCCCCTGCAAAAATGGGAAAAACTCTTGGAAAGGGAATATGGTCCCCTGGGATGGCCATATCTTGGGCAATTTTTATCCGATTCTTGAGCGAAGTACCTTAAACGATTTGTGGATGAATTCTCCACCATTCTGCATCAAAATCTAGCAACCAAATATTTTTGAGATTTTTTGTCATATTTTCTGGGGGACCCCCTGCAAAAATGGGAAAAACGCTTGGAAAGGGAATATGGTCCCCTGGCATGGCCATAACTTGGGCCATTTTTATCCTATTCTTGAGCGAAGTACCTTAAACGATTTGTGGATGAATTCTCCACCATTCTGCATCAAAATCTAGCAACAAAATATTTTTGAGATCTTTTGTCAAATTTTCTGGGGGACCCCCTGCAAAAATGGGAAAAACGCTTGGAAAGGGAATATGGTTCCCTGGGATGGCCATATCTTGCGCAATTTTTATCCGATTCTTGAGCGAAGTACCTTAAACGATTTGTGGATGAATTCTCCACCATTCTGCATCAAAATCTAACAACAAAATATTCTTGAGATTTTTTGTCAAATTTTCTGGGGGACTCCCTGCAAAAATGGGAAAAACGCTTGGAAAGGGAATATGGCCCCCTGGGATGGCCATATCTTGGCCATTTGAACCATTTCTAGAGCGAAGTACTTGAAATGATTCGTGGATCGATTCGTGGAAATGTCGTGAAAAACGTAAAGATGTGCAATAGGTCCCAAAAGGATGACTATATCGTGCTTAATATCTTTTAAAGCTTTCAAAAGGCTTACGGTTTCTTCAAAAATGCTAAATAACTCATGGAGTGTCCTATATTTAGTGTTTTCTGTCAAATATTCTAGTGATTACTCACTTTTCTTCCTTAACATCGTGGTACTCCAGAATGTATTCAATAATTTCTGACTTGCCATCGTCCTCTGGCGCCTTCCAATAAAGCGTAATAGAGTCGTGCATCACCTCCAGGGGCTGGGGAGTGCCAGGTGCCGTAGGCTTGCCTAAAAGTAAAAGGGGATTGTCGTGATTGGGGTTCAAGTTCCCAAATATCTAGTTTGCAAAGTACTTACGCATAATGACCAAGTGCAGACTGGCTTCCGCATCGCCGACTGGGTTGACAAGCTTGACGGTGTACTCGCCCTCGTCATCGTCAACGACCTTTTTGATGGTCAGTGTGGCGGATTTCTCATCGATGGTCGGTATGATTCGCTTTGACTTGGGTATGACAACCTTCTTGGTGGTCCAAACGGCCTCCGGGGTTGGCACGCCAGTGTACTTGACAGTGAATGTGGCATCTTCGTTCTCCTTCACCTTGATGGTTTGATCCTTGTCAGATGTAATGACGGGTGGCAGTTTCAGCTCTTCGACGCACAGCTTAGAGCTGCTGGTGACATTTTCGGCCACGCAGCTGATCTCGCCGGCGTCTTCATCAGTAGCATCGTGGATGACCAACCTGCGGACTGTGCCTTTGACAAAGACCTCGTGCTTCGGGTTGGGCTTAATGGGCTTGGCCTTCTTGCACCAGGTGACTTCCACATCGGGCTGCGACAACTGCACAGTGAACTCAGCATCCGTGCCCTTGGTGACCAGAGTGACGTCTGGCAGGCGAACAACAAAGTCAACCAGGGGTTCTTCGACCGTCAACTTGGCGTTGGAGGTCTGGTCTCCCACTTGGACGGAATACTCGCCTACATCCTCTGGCTTAGCCTTAACAATGCGCAACGACTGCTTCTTGCCATCAATGGAGAGCTGAACGCGGTCGGTAAAGGTGATCTCTTTGCCATTCTTGAACCACTTGACCAGGGCATCGCCCTTGCTGAGCTCCACCGTGAAGACGGCGTTCTCGTTCTTGGTCACGGAAACATCCTTCAGCGGTTTCACAATCTCAGGTGGCAACTCGATAACAACCAGTTCGCAACTGCACTCCTGGCCCTCGATCTTGCATGTATACTCGCCCTCGTCGTGGATGGTCGTGTCTCGAATCACCAAACGACGTGCCTTTCCGTCTTTAATGAACTCCACGTTCTTGTTCTCCTCCGTGATCTTTTCGCCGTCCTTATACCACGTAACTTCGGTGGACTCCGTAGTGAGCTCCACGTCCAGAATGGCAGTATCCTTTTCAGTGACTTCGTAGTCCTCCAGCACCTTGATAAAGTCTGGCTTACGCTGCAGCACCTCGACCGTGGACTGGGTTTCCTGCTTCTTCACCTTGCAAACATATGTGCCTGTGTCGCGCAGGTTGGTGTTTCTAATCACCAGCTTGTGAGTCTTGCCGTCCTCCACCACTACACGGTGATCCATTCCGCTCAGCTCCTTGCCATTGAAGAACCATTTGGTGGTGACCACGTGCGATGTTTCGCACTCCAGGGTCAGCGACTGGACTTCTTCAATGGTGATAGTTTTCTTCAGCTTCTTGGTAAAGGTAACCTCGTCGACCTCGACAATCACACGGGCGCCGTGCGAAGTCTTTCCAACTGGGTTACTGGCAATGCACTTGTAGTCTCCCGAATCCGTTTCCGGATTAGCATTTTTGATAATGAGCTCAATGTTTTCACCATCATAGACCTGCTGAATCCGTTCGCTGGGGAACAGTGGGGCATTGTTGAAAAGCCATTGAACCTCAGGCACAGGGTTGCCGGAGACCTTAGCAGGCAGACGGATTTCACCCTTTTGCGGCACATTTTGCTCCTCGAAACGCTCCACAAACAGTGGCGGCTCAGCATTGCCACTTGTGGCTTCTGAAAATTAGAGAACGGACGCAAATACTCGTTAGTGGTTGCTCAAAATAATGGAGGACAAAAATACAATAAACACTCAACATACCTTCAATTGTGAGATTAGCAGTGGTCTCCACACTACCCAAAGGATTTACAGCCTTCACAGTATACTCTCCCTTCTCAGGCTTTTTGGGCGTGATGAGGGTCAGGGTGTGCAAATCCTTGTCGGACTTGGCGCCCTTAACTGGCTTGCCGTCCTTGTACCAGGTTACCTTGGGTGGAGGGTTACCCACGATCTGGGTGGAAAGCACTACACTTTCGCCCTCCCGGATGACCATGTTTCGAAGAGGCTCCAGGATTTGAGGGGCTTCCTTGTCTGCAGTTCGAACCTTGAGGGTGATGGGCAGACGAGCCTCTCCTTCGCGATTTGTGGCAATCACCTCGTAAGTTCCCTCCTGGGACTTTTTCACCTTGGTGATGTGCACCACGCTGCAATACATGTGCATGTCAGATTCGGTGACAATGCGGACATTCTTGATCTCCTCCTCGTCGATGTCCTCGCCATTGAAGGTCCAGACAATGTCCGGCTCGGGAACGGCAACCAGTCGGCACTCAAGAATGACGTTGGTGTTTTCGTCCACGTACTGCGCCTTTGGTTTCTTTGAGAACGTGGGTGGGATGCCCTCCAGAATATCTGCCAACGATGATTCTCGCGACATGCTTCTTCGGGAGAGGGCCGTGGCATCAGAGCCGTGATCCGACAAGGGGCTTTCCACAATAAGCTCCGTAGTGCTTGAGGTGAAGCCGGCAGCATTCTTGGCCACGCAGGTGAACTGACCTGCGTCCTCGGGGAATACTTCACGGATGATCAACGTGGCCACATTATCGTCATCGTAGAATATCTGGAAGTCCTGCGATGGTTTGATGATAGCCGTTTCACGGAACCAGGCGATCTGTGGTCGTGGATTGCCCTCGACCTTGCATTCGAACTGAACCGTGTAGCCATCAGGAGTATGAATCGGCTGCAGCTTCTCGATGAATCGCGGAGCGATGGGCTTGTCATCTGGTCCGGGACCTTAACAGTTCACAAGTACGACAAATAAATAGAGTGTTAATAACCAAACGAGGACGACGAACATAAAAGTGTTTAGACTACAAACACAAAAACGGTTGATTTTTGAAGTCTTATTAATTAATATAGTTTGATTTTCCGAGTTTAGAATAAATCCCCATCCTACAAAGCTTTGTTACTTACGTTCAAATACTGGCAGCTTGTCAATCTTCTCGTGCAGTTTGTTCTGCACATACTGAGCATATTCCTCCGGCTCCATCAGATACTGGGCAGGGACCCATCCCTCCTCTTCGGTGATGCTCTTCTTGACGAACCACCACTCTGAGCTGTGGCGTCCGATGACAGTTACCTTCTCGCCCTCCACCAGGTTAATAGCCTCGTCGGTATCGGCAATGTAGTTGCAGATGGAATACATAACATTAATGTTATCCGAATCTGAAAACAGGAAAACAGCACACATTAGTCTCTGGATAAAATAAGATTTAAATTTTTTAACTTACCTGCGAAGTCCATTTCCCGGGTAATATTCAGAGAAGCTCCATCTGATCAAAAATAGGTATTAATTAATATTTTATTGCGAAAAACTTTGTCAGCTTTTAGTTTTGAGCAAAAAATTATTCAAGGGTTATTCGTTAGCAACTGACACTTAGTTTTGGGTAATTTTACCTTGCTACGCGGGATATCATATAAGCTTTGTGTATTATTTGCAAATATAAAGCAGTTTGATATTTATATGTTGTACCATTCATGGTCCTATAAGTGAGCTTACCTTCATTGAAGAGTTGTTGGATAACTTTACGCTTCTTTTTGAATGTGAGGGAGTCTTCGTCGTAGGTCACCGAATCACGCTTTGGTTGACGAATTCCAATTAGGAATTGCTCCTCGTCTTCGTCGTAAACGGAATATTGCGGCTTGCTTGGCTGCTTCTTGGGCTTCAGCTTGAAGTCTACCTCGTCCGGTGGAAGCTCCTCTACGAAGTACTCCTCGGGTTCGTCTACTTCATCGATAGTGTCCTCATCGCCGTGGATTTCCTCAATAATTGGAGCTTCGCCATCGTCGTAGTCTTGCATGATCTTGACACTGGCCTCGTCGGCAGCCTCTGAGTATGTCTTTTTGATTGGTTTCTTAAGCTTAACCTTTCCAGACATGGAAACTTCCTCTTCGGCGTAGGAGTCGAGAGCAATGTTGAACTCTTGGTCGACATCCTCCTTAGTCTTAGTAGATTTTGCACGGAAAGTGACGTTCTCAACTTCGGCGTATTCGGGAATGTCTACCTGCTTGCGGCGCTTGAGTTTCTTCACAGTGTAGGCTTCTTCATCCTCCTCGGTGATCTGCAAAGGCTTCGTCTTGGGGCGGCCGCTAACGACAAACTCCTCTATATCCTCGCCCTCTTCGTACTCTTCTTCTAGGCGTTTAATGGAGAGCTCAGCGGCAGCTTCATCGAGGGTAGTGGGCTTGACTGGACGTTTTTTCAGGACTGTGGCGGCCTCATCGACACCTTCGTTTATGACATGGGGCTTCTTAAAGGATAGACTGAATTCAGTTTCCTCCAGATCCTCCACAGATGGCTCAAAAGGCTTCTTGGGCTTCTTGCGAACAATCACAGCTTCCTCCACAATTTCCTCCTCCTCGATTTCAACTGGAATCTCTTCCACAACAGTCTGTTGCAGTTGTAACTCATCTGCAGCCTCTTCGACGGGCTTTTGCGGCTTCTTCTTTTTCTTCAGCTGCACCGTTTGGTCGGAAGTTTCCTCCGTCACCTTCTTTTCCTTTGGCAACGACACATCTACCGAGAACTCTTCTTCTTGGACTTCCTTTGGAGTCTTGGGCTTCAGTGTAACTTCAGCTACCACCTCGTCTTCGGTGGGCTTTGGCTTCGGCTTCAAAGTAACTTCAGCTTCCGGTTCTTCAACCACTACTGGTTTTTCTATGGGCTTCTTTTTCGGCAGGCTAACCTGCTCCTCTTCAGGGACTTCTTCGATTTCCTCAACGATTTCCTGAACCTCTACTTCCACAGGAACTTCCTCTGTTATCGTTACTTTGAGCTCGGCAGCTTCCTCTTCTTCTTTCACAGGCTTTTTCGTTTTCTTTGTGATTTTCGCCTCTTCAGTCACTTCTTCTACAGGCTTCTTTGGCTTTATCACAAACTCGGCTTCCGGCTCTTCTACAACCTCTGGTACAGCAGCATTCTTTTCCTTCTTTTGAATCGTCACCTTTTCTTCTGGCAACTCTTCAACTGTTGGTTGCGTTTCAGGGGCTTCTTCGATAACTTCGATTTCCTCAATCTCTTGAACAAGTTCTTGAGCTGGGGCCTCTTCTTCGATAATAGTTATCTTGAGATCAGCAGCTTCCTCTTCCGTAGGCACTTCTGGGACAATTGTGATGCTGGAAACAGCTTCTACTTCTTCGACGGGCTTGGGAGCAGAGACAGTTACTTGAGCCTCGGGTTCTTCCTTAACCTCGGGCTTCGGCTTCTTTTTGCGGATAACTTTAACCTCTTCTTCAACGACCTCCTCAACCACCTCGCGTGGTGTTTCCTCAATCACCTTAACCTTGTGCTCATCATAGACTACGGGCTGTGGTTCTTCGACAATTGGTTCCGATACAACTGGCTCTTCTTCGGCAACAACTTCTGCGGGTTTCTCGGGCTGCGTCTCCTTAATGCCAATTGTGTACGTCTTTTCTTCAACCACTGGAACCTCTTCCTTTACCTCCGCCACCACCTCCTCTTCAACCTCGACCTCTTCAATGACCGGAACCTCCTGTGGAATCTCCTCAGTAATTTGTATTTTTAGCTCGTCGGCCTCCACATCTTTCACCTTCTTTTTCGGTTTCTTGGTCTTGATTTGAGCTTCTTCTGTTACTTCTTCGACAGGTTTCTTTTCCTTCAGAATGATTTCGGTGGCTGGCTCGTCGGCAAATGTCACTGATGGCTTGCGTTTCTTAACCGTGAACTGGGCTTCACTGGGCTCTTCTGGCTTAGGCTCCGTTTCAGATACACTAATTGTAAACTCTTGTGGCTTCTCTTCCACAACTTCTTCCTGTTTCTCGGCCGGCTTGACCTCGGGAACTTCCGGCACAACTTCCTCTGGAACTTCGGGCGCTTCGGTCTCTACAATCTTGATTTCAAGTTGAGCTTCATCTTCAGTCTTCTTTGGTTTCTTTGTTTTCTTCTGTTTGACTTCAGTTTCGACTGTGATGTCTTCCGCAACAGTTGGCTCTGTCAGCACAAACTCAGCTTCAACAGGCTCTTCCTTTGCTTTTGGTTTCCGCTTGAAAGTCACCTCATGCGGAGTTTCCTCCTCAGGCTGCTCTTCTACGACAGCCACTTTCTCAGCTTCAAATTCTTTAAGCGTGACTTCGTATGAATCCAATTGTTCGACAACCTTTTCTTTGGGAACCTCAGGAGCCTTTTCTTCGGGAATTTCCTCAATTACTGGCGCTGGGGTCTCCTCGACTGCCTCTGTTTCAGTTACGCTAAACTCATATGATTTCGGTGCCTTTGGCTTTTCCTCTTTAGGTTTTTCAACCGGTTGCACTTCCTCTTGGACGGGTTGTACCTTTTCCTCTTCTTCGACTACAACGATCTTATCCTCCTTGACGTCCTTAACAGGCTTCTTTTTAGACATTTCTTTTACCTTGATTTCCTGTTCCACTGGCTCTACAGGAGCGGGCTCAGAAATCTTAAGCTCTACAGCGTATTCTTCTGGCTTCTCCTCCGGTTTTTCCTCCGGAATGGTAATTTCCGCCGTAACCTCTTCTGGTTGCGGTTGTTCTTCCTTAGGCTCCTGTAGCGTAACCTCGAATTCTTCAGGCTCCTGCGGCTTTGGCTTCTTCTTGCGAGTAACCACCCTTTCTTCTATGACTTCTTCGGTAGTTTCTTCCCTCGCGTCGAAATCAATGACTCGGACTTGATGCTCCTTTGGTGCCTCCTCAGGCTCCATTACTGTGGTTGTAATCTTGTACTCCACAGGAATCTCTTCAGGCACCTCTTCAGGCTGAGGAGTTTCTTCAGTAACTGTAACTTCTGACACAGGGGTCTCCTTTGGCTTTTTCTGCTTGATCTTTACTTCCTTTGGCTGCTCCTCTTCGACAACCTGCTCAATGAGAGCTTCCTCCTCCTTTACTGTTACCTCGAATCCTTCTGGCTTCTCCTCGGGAATATCCTCCTTTGGCTGCAACACCTTCTTGGCCTTGGGCTTCTTTGGTTTCTTGCCTTCATCGTCGGACTTAACTTCAGTTTCTTTAGGTTTGGGTTCCTCTTCCTTGGGCTTTACAACAGCCTCCTCGGCTGGTACCTCAGGCTGGCTTGGTTTCGGGACTGGCTTTAATTTAATTTCGGAGTCGGTTTCTTCCGGGGCCTGTGTTTCTGGCTTACGGAACTTTACTTCCTGTTCGGGCACTTCCTCTTCAGGCTTCGGAACTCCAGGAACGATCTCCGAAATAATAGTTTCAGGCTCGGGTTGTGGCTTGTCCTTGGGCTTGTATTTCGTTTTGGAAGGTTTCTTTGGCTTTTCTGGCTTCTCGGGACGGTCAATGGGCTCCAATTCCTCCGGTTCATATTCAGGTCGTTCAAACTCAGTAGGTTCGAATGGCTCGACTTTGAATTCTCCTTCCTCAGGCTGCTTTGGCTGCTCTTCAATAACCACCACCTCCTTTGGTTTTGCCTTGACCTCCACCTCTTCCTCAACTTCCTGGGGCTTTTGAGGAATCTTCTTGAGAGTGATGTTCTCAGGCGCCTCCTCATCCACTGGCTTTTTCTTACCCTTGCCCAGCTTCAGCTTCACCTCCTCCTGCTTCTCCTCGGGCTTGGGAGCCTTTTCTGGTTTCTTATAGGGCGCCTTCTCCTCTGGTTCCTCTTCGCTGCTAACATATTTCTCGTATTTTTCCAGCTCCACCTTTTCGCGGTCGTCCTTGATCTTCTTGATTTTCTTGGACTTGTGAGGTTTGAATTTAAGAGCCTCTTCCGCTTCCTCTATATTACGGGAAAGTTCGCCATTGTCTTTAACGGCGCCGATGTGGCTAAGCACTGGAATGAGCGGAGCTGGCGGATATTCAACCATGACCATTCGCGTCTTGAGTCGGAACTTGGGTAACTGGACAGACTGTTCCTCTGCAGGCTTCTCCTTGCGTTTTCCGGGCTTGAGTTTGACTGTTTTGGGAACCTCCGCAGCCTCCACGATTGTCACCTTTGTAGGCTTTTGTTCCTTGCGCTCGATTTTCTGGGGTTCGAGGCTGGCGAACTCGGGCTTCAATTTCTTGGGAAGATCGAAATCAATTTTCTCGTATTTCTCAAGTTCAGTCTTTTCAATTTCCTGCTCCAACAGCTTCTTGATAATTTCATCATGATCGTCGGTCTTCTTCTTGACCACCTTCTTCTTTTTGGATTTTGGCTTGGTTTCCTCCGGTGTTTCCTCTGTTCTGGGCTGCTCTTCTTCCTCCTCAACTTCCTCAACAATCGGCTGGGACTCCTCAACTTCGGCTTCTTCATCGATAACTCGAACCTCCAGAATCTTCTGGGGCTGCTCCTCCTCCTCTACTGGCTCCTCGTGTATGATGTTTATTTGATAGTCTTTCTGAACCTCTGGAACTTCACCTGTTACAAAAGATGAGTTTACATTTATTTAAAAAACATTCTCTGAAAAGTGGATAAAAGTCCTGCATGAATACATTCATCGGCCTTGTAAATCGATCGTCCAATGACGTTGTCCAGGGATTTCAAAAAACGCACAAACCGTATTACTTTTTTAAGGACAAGTGTGAATGCTATCATGCAGGACACAGCTTTGGTCAACCCGGAGACAGTGATTTGCCTTTGAAACGCAAGCAAATCGTTGAGCTGGACGATAGACATAATTAACGGCTATATAGACAGCAATTGAAGGAAAAATTTCAAAACTACCAATGTAAACGGAAAGTTTAGTAAAATTGTAACATTTAGTTAGGAATTTGGTATATGGCTTAGCCTAATAAAAGTGTTAATGTAGTAGGGTATAAATAGAAAATATTTTCAATATGGAACAGTAACATTTTAGTAATTATAAACAGTTAAAACATTATGTACTTAAAAGGTGGAATAGGCAAAAAGAAGAATGTTTAAAATTTTTCCAGGGAAGAGGGGTAATTTGTTGGATTGTAGGCAAGGCTTATTATTAAAACGTAATGCATGCATGGAAATAAATGGTGTAATATGTTAAAAGGTTTATAGAACAGGAAAAAATTGGGTCCACTGTAAAATAGGCGAAAATCTGTGGCCCATATTCAACGGCGAGAGAATAAAACATTTGGGAGAGAATTTTGGGGGAAAAATGCGCAAAAATTGAACATCCATATGGACTTCAAAAGAAAAAACAAAGGCGAAAGACACAGGAAACGGAGCAAAAGGTGGCGCATGGGCGGCGGGAAATTGTAGGCTCCAAAAAACTCTCATCTATGAACTTACTTGTTTCAACGCTTTTTTGTGTGTCTGGCTTTGTTTTCTTATGTTTAACTGTTTTCTGAATTGTATCTGTAGTGTCATCTTGAGTAGGTTTCTCATCTTGTGCGCTTGGTGTAATTTGTGCAGTGGCTGTGTCCTCGGGTTGTGCAACTTGTTGTGGTGTGATTTCTGTTGTGTCAGTGGTATCTACAGGGGTTTCTGTTGGTACGTCCGGTACTGGTTCGTCAGTCACTACTGTCTTGTGTTTTGGTGCCTTTTCTTTCTTTGGTTTGGCTGATTTGGTCTCCGTTGGTGTTTGGTCAGGTTCTTCCTGTTTAATGTCAACCGGAACTATTTCCTCTGGGGTAACTTCTTCAGTCTTCTCAGGCATGTCAACCTTCTCATACTTTTCGAGCTCTACTTTAGGAATTTCTTCTTCGATCAGTCGTTTAACATAGTCATCCAAATCGTCCTTTTTAACCTTCTTTACGGTTTTCTTTGGCTTCGGCTTAGAAGGTTTCTCTTCGGGTTGATCTGGTTCGTCGGTGGGCTGTTCAGGAGCAGCTTCCGGTGCTTCATCAACTATGACCACGACTGAATCATTGTCCTCGTCTTCAATAGTAGTGATATTGTAGGTGGTTTCCTCCTTAGGGCTCTTTTTCTTCACCACCCGTTTGGTAGTCTTCTCCAGAACTGGCTTGCCCTCATCGGTAACAATCTCTTGGACTGTAACCTCTGCTGGTTGAACTTCAATTACCTCAACGGGAACTTCAGGAGCAACCGGAGCATCTTCCTCGACTACCTTGATCTCCGCCAATTGTTCTGGCACGGGAGACTCTTCCTTCGACACTTCCTTGGGCTTGCTCTTCTTATCCTTTCGTGGCTTTTCGGAAGGAGCTTCCTCTGTCACCGATATTGGTTTCTCCGAAGGCTTATCCTTAACCGACGCTTCGAACTCTATTTTCTCGTACTTTTCGAGCTCGGTCTTGGGGGTCTCCATGTCGATGAGTTTTTGGATATAATCGTGAATATCGTCCTTCTTAACCTTCTTAGTTTTCTTCTTAGGCTCCTTGGGCTTCTCGGCCTCTTTAATCGGTGTAGGTTCGTATTCCACAATAGTTATTTCTGCTTCAGGCTGATCGTCCCGAACGACTTCGATTATCTCTATTTCACCCTCTCCATCGGGTCGCTTTAGCTTCCGTTTGGTGGTAATCTGCTTGTGGGTTTCCCCAGCTTCGTCAGTGGCTTCCTCGACATTTGTTACGCTTTCAATAATCTCAACCGTGAAAGGCTTGTCTTCTTCTGGTTGCCAAACACTCTCCTTGACAGAAATTTCATATTTTTCTTCGGATGGTTCTTCTTTCTTTTCCTTAATTTTCTTCGGGGACGGCTTTGTCAAAGGTTCAATGGTTGATACATCTTCCTCTTGGACAGAAACACTGAATTCGCGAACCTCAGGCTCTTGAACATCAGATTCCTTAACATCAACCTTGACTGGCTCCTCAACAGTGTCTTCTGTTGGTTGTTCCTCGGAAACTGAAACCTTAGCCTTAGGCTTCTTCTTCTTTTCCGGTTTCTTCACCTCCTCCACCTGTGTGATTTTATGTTCGGATTCATCCAAAGATGGAGCCGATTCCACCACGCTTATAACATCTTCAGTGGTTTTGATGTCTTCTGGAACACTTTCAACAATAGAAACTTCATCATCAATTGGCTTTTCTGTTTCCGGAGATGGTTGTTTCTCGGCTATTGGTTTCTTCTTCGGGGTCTTTGGTTTCGGTTTGGTTGGCGACTCCTCAATAACATCCACTATGTCCTCAGTGTCTGTTGGCTTTGGCACCTCCTCATCAATAACGGCCTTGATAAAGTCTTCAACGTCGTCTTTCTTAACCTTTTTAGTGCGTTTTTGCTTTACTACGGGGGTTTCTTGATCAGGGGCTTCCGTGGGGACTGTGGTTGTAACTGTTACTTCAGCTTCGTTTGTATCCTTATCAGTTATTTCGACAATGTCGTGAACTATTTCCTCAGGACCCACTTTCTGCTTTATCTTTTTAGTCTTAATAACCTTCTCCTTAACCTTACCATCCTCATCAGGAACCTGCTTAGTTTCGACGAATTCCTCGAGGACAACTATTTCGAATGGCTTTTCTTCGGGAGTGTCAGGAATGAATTCCTTTACTGTGAACTTATGAGTTGGCTCATCTGCCTCCACTGGAGAAGGTACCGTAACCTCCTCAACGGGCTTCTCTTCAGTTGTTTCGTCGGCCGATTCTGTTGGTTGTTCTTCGGAGACCTTGACCTTCTTGACAGGCTTCTTTTTAATTTTAACTGGCTCATCTAAGTCGATCTTTTCATACTTTTCTAGCTCTGTTTTTGGAATATCCTGCTCAATCAGCTTCTGAATGTAGTCGTGAAGATCGTCCTTTGCTACCTTTTTGGACTTACGCACCTTCTTTGGTTTTTCTTCAGCTGGAATTTCTGCATCCACAGTTTCGGGCTCTTGAGTGGTTACTATGACTTCATACTCAGGGGTATCTCCAGTCTTTGTTTCCACAATTTCGATGATTTCCTCCTTCGGGCCAATTTGCTTCTTAATCTTACGTTTCGTTATAGTTTGCTTTGTCACTTCTCCCTTATCGTCAATAACTTCATCCTCCTTGGCCTCGGTTTCGAGTTCTTGAACTTGGAAGATAGGTTCCTCTGGTTGCTGATCGTCTTCAGACTCTGTTACGATTGTCTTGAACTCTGTCTCGATGTCTTGCTTCAAATCCTCTTCAGACACTGCCTTAACAAGATACTCCTGAACTTCTTCATCAATAGGTTGCTTTTCAGGCTTCGGCTTGGTGGTCTTTTTAGTCTTTGGCCGTTGCTTCTCTTCAGTCACGGTTTCCTCTTTGACTCCTATTGTGTAGTCAGTGGATTCTTCCGGCTTTTCTGGCACTGTTTCCACAGGCTTGTCCTCAACTTCCTGTTCGGTTTCGGGAGCTTCGGCCTCAGGTTCCTCTTTTTCAGTAATCTTGTATTTCTTAGGAGCTTTCTGAGGTTTCTTTTTAGTTTCTTCCTGAACTTCTTCAACTTCACTTTCAACCGTTTCGAAGGGAACTGGCTGTACAAACTCCTCAATAATATTAATGACATAATTCTCAACATCATCCTTCTTTAGGAGCTTTGGTTCCTTAATGGCCTTCTTCTTCTCGGGCTTTGGTTTTTCCTCAACAACTGCGACATCGTCGCTTGTTAACTCCACAACCTTAACCTCGGCAGTTGGCTGATCTTCTGTTGTAGTTTCCGTGATTTCAAAGACGTATTCCTTGGAACCCTTTCTACGAGAGACCTTTCGTTTCTTGATAGTAACGTCCTTCGTAGTTCCTTCTTCCGTGGGCTGCTGAACCACCTCAACCGTTTGTTCGATTTCTTCCAGTGGTGCCGCAGCTTCGGTAACCTTTTTCTTTTTGATTGGCTTTTCCTTTTTGACGGGCTTCTTTTCCTCTTCCGGAGTCTCGTCGATGGGCTGTGGAGCTTCAATGTATTCATCGGAGATGTTTACCAAGTATTTTGAGGAATCTTCTGGCTTCTCCAAGATCTCTACTTCCTCAGCTGGCACCTCTTCTGGCGATTGGATCTCCTCTGGAATTTCGTCGACATCTTCAACATCAAACTCGTGAACGGTAACAGGAAGTCCGTCGACATCTTGGATTTCCTTTTTCTTGTGAGTTTTGACCTTTAGTTTGGGCTTCTTGGGCTTAGAATCCATTTCAGTCGGCTCATATTGTTCAAGAGGAGTTTTTGTAATTTCCTGTTCGATAAGTTCTTGTATGTATTTGTCCAAATCATCCTTTACAGGCTTCTTCTTCTTTAGCTTCTGAATAACCTTAACAGGCTGCTCCTCCGAAAATTGTGGAGAGTCTTCAGAGGGTAACTCAGTCTTAGTAACTTCAATGACAGCCTCTGGTTTATTTTCTTGATAAGTCTCGGTTACTTCAATAAGGAACTCCTTGGGTCCTTCCTTCTTCTTGAGTTTCTTAATTGTTTTAACTTGTTTGACTTCCTCTCCTTGTTCATCGACAATATTCTCGATAACAGTTTCTGGAGCCAGCTCTTCAATGACAATTTTCTCTTCAACGGGTTTCTTCGTGGCCTTTTTAGGTTTAGAGGTCTTCTCTTTAATTTCTGTAGTCTCCTCTATAACAGCAGGTGTAACCTCCTCTTCCGTCTCAAATGGTTGTGGTTCAGAAAATTCCTCCAGGACATTTACTATATATTCTTGCACATCTTCAGGTTTGAGCTTCTTCGGTTTTTTAATTGGTTTCTTTTCCTTGGGTTGCACAATTTCTTCCTGAGGCTGGTCTTCTTCAATTTCGACAATGGTCACCTCAGCCAAAGGCTCGTCACTTGACTTGGTTTCAGTAATCTCGAAGACCTGTTCCTTAGGACCTTGCTTTCGGGCAATCTTCTTCTTCTTAACTTCCACCTGTTTGGTTGTGCCCTCTTCGTCAGTAACCTTAACTATTTCGACTGTCTCTCCAATATCTTCAACGACTGGTTGCTCGGCTTCATCCGAACTTTCTGGTTTGCGGAACTCCTCCAAAACGTTGACTATGTAGCTGTCAACCTCTTCAGGTTTGAGGGTCACAGGCTTCTTAACTAATTTCTTTGGCTTAGCCTTGGGAACCTCTTCCTTTGGCGCTTCTTCAGTTACCTCGACAATTGTCACCTCGGCCAAGGGCTCGTCGCTGGACTTGGTTTCGGTAATCTCGAAGACCTGTTCCTTAGGACCCTGCTTTCTGGAAACCCTCCTCTTCTTCACCTCTACTTGCTTCGGTACGCCATCCTCTTCCACTACTGTAATGGTTTCAACCGATTCTTCAATGTCCTCCAAAATAGGTTGTGGCTGCTCTTCTTCGACGATCTTTGCTTTGAATGATTTCTTCGTCTTTGGTTTTGGTTTCTGTTCCACAACTGTTACTTCTTGATCTTCGGGACTTTCCTTTATCTGCTCGCGATCGATTTCCTCCACTTCGACTTCAAAAGGCTTTACATCCTCTTGATCTATTTCGAATTCCTTTATAGTTACCTCGTGAACGGTAGTAGGAACGCCGTCGACTATTTCGGTGATTTTCTTGTGGTGTTTCTGTACCTTCTTTGGTTTCTTAGTCTCCGTTGAAGACTCCGAAATAGTAGGTTCTTGTTCCTTGAGATCGGGCTCTGAAATTTCTTGTTCAATAAGCTCGTAAACGAAGTTGTCCAAGCTTTCCTCCTTCGGTTTTTTCTTCTTCACGATCTTTACTTTGTGATCGTCTAGGACCTCAGTGTCTTGAACGGGTGTTATTTCTGTGGTCTGAATTACAATATCTGCTTCGGGTTTATTTTCTTCGTATGTTTCAACCACCTCAATTAAGTATTCCTTCGGGCCCTCCTTCTTTTTGATCTTACGCTTGGTGGTAGTACGTTCGACTTCTTTTCCGTCTTCATTCGTCACGGTTTCTGTTGTTGTTTCGGGCGCTAGTTCCTCAATACGAATCGTATATTCCGAGATGGGTTCTGGCAAAGATTCGTTTTTGGGTTTCTTGGGCGCTTTCTTTTTGGGCTTGGGCACAGTATCCTTCACTTCTACGGCATATTGATCTGCCTGTGGGGTCTCCTCTGACTCTGGAGCAGAAGTGACGAGCTCGTATTCTACAGGTTCTTGAGGTTGCTGGGATGGTTCAGATTCGGATATTTTAACCTTCTTCTTTTTTTCAGGCTTCTTCTTCTTTGGTTTCGGCTCTCTGGCATCTTCTTCAGGATGTTCTTCCTCGGGCAAGGTGTCGATCGCTCTTTCTTCTTCAATAACCCTGGTTACAAAGGAACGGATATCCTCATCCGAAGTGCCCTCTGTGTCGGGAACAACGATCAGCTCTTCAGTTATTTTCGCTATAGTTTCCTGAGGAGCTTCCTCGACAACGTTGACAATATAATCCTTGAGGTTATCCCGTTTGATTTTCCGGACCGACTTTTTCGGTGTGTCCGGTTTAGTCAAAGCAGGCCCATCAGTTGCATCTTCAGTTATTTCAGTGGTTATAACTATCACCTTAGCCTCTTCAGGGGTGTCGTCTGTGGCTTGGGTCTCAAATATTTCGATTTCGTATTGTTTCGAACCCTTTCTGGCTTTAACCTTGCGTTTTTTAGTCTTTTCTATGACCTTGATCTCAGTTGTTTCTTCCACTGATGGAACAGTCTCGATCTCTTCCTCCACCACTACGATAGGCATAGTTTCGGCTAAGTCCGCAATAATTTCATCCAAAGCCGGAACAGATTCTTCCAATGGTGTCTCCTCCTCCTCTTCGGGAACTCGTTCGGAGTCGATCCTATTGATGGTGAACTCGTCAAACTGTGGGACACTCTCGGTTTCGATACTCTCGGCCTCCTCAACAATTTTCTTAGACTTCGGCTTCTTAGCTTTCGGTTTCTCGATTGGCTCATGTTCTGTGACTCCCACCTGCAGAGTCTCGCCTTCGTCAATGATCTTTTCTTCGGTTTTTGGCTTTTTCTTCTTGGGTTTCTTTGGTTTGCCGTCAACGTCGATTTTCTCGTATTTTTCCAACTCTGTTACCGGAATCTCAGCATTTATAAGTTGCTGTATGTAGGCATCGAGTTCGTCCTTCGTCATCTTCTTGGTTTTCTTCTTCGGCTTATCGATGCGCTGGGTGGTGGTACCTTCTTCTTTTGGAGATTCACTAGAAGTCACAGTTATTTCGTACAACGGCTGATCTCCTGAAGTTGGAACGGTTTCTACAATTTCCAAGATTTCCACCTCACCTCCCTTTTCATGACGAATTCGACGCTTCTTGGGCTTGGTATCCTTCTCCTCCTCAGATTGGATTTCTGGCTTTAATTCAGTTAACTTGACCTCGTAGAAATCGGTCATGCTAGTCTCGTAGAACTTTTGTTCTGGTTCTTCCTTGATTTCCGCAACAAAGTCATCGAGCTCCTTCTTGGACATTCGTTTGACCTTTTTCTTTAATACTTTGGGTTCTGTGTTGTCTTCTGGAACAATTTCAGAACTGGTGACGGTGACCTCGAAGGTTTGGTCGTCGGCATCTTCGGGAGATACTTCTACTATTTCAATGATATTTTCCTCCTGCTCAGTCTTAAGTTTGAGCTTGCGTTTTTTCTTAAGAGCCTTAACAGGTTCCTCGGCGGTTGGACTAGTCGTTTCTTGGATTTCTTCTGGCTCCAACTCAACCACTTCGAACTTGTAATAAGGTTTAAGTTTAACCTCTTCTTTTTCATCTTCAGGCTTTTGTCCTTGACGCTTGCGCAGCTTAAGATCATCCTCGGGTGTTTCCTGCACTTCCTTTGGCTTTCCAGGAGTAATATCGTACAGATTTGTCTCTGGCGTCGGTGTGGGCTTCTTCTTTCGCTTAAGTTTTGTCTTTCCTTGTACGGAAGTTTCTTCACCGGATGATACGTTCGACTCTTCCTGAACTTCAGATGTAGTTTCTTCCAGATCCGTGAGTTCAGTGGGCTCGAAGCGAATCGAATCGTCCTTCTTTTCAGACTTCTTGGGTTTCTTTTTCTTGGGTGTTTCTTCTTCCTTGACTTTAGCTGGTGCCTCCGTCACATCCTCCTCAGTGGCATCAAGTTTGACTGGCTTCAAGTGAACTTCTTCAATGGTTTCCACGTTTTGAGGAATCTTGCCCTTGCCCAACTTAAGCTTTCTAGGTTCTTCAGTGGTTTCCTCTTTGTTCTTCTTAGCGCGCTTATACTTCGGCTTAGGTTGTTCCTCATCAGAAGGTTGCGATTTCTCAGAGTCCAATATCTCGAGGTCGACTTCTTCTAACTCTGCCTTTTCTGGCTTGGTATGCTTAAACTTCTTGGGTCGGAATTTCAGAACCTTTTCTGCTTCTTCGATATTACGCGATAGTTCACCACTTTCTTGAACTGTTTCCAACTCGGTTACGACGTACGGGAAACAGTATGGAGCATATGGTATGAACCTGATCCAACTCTTGAGCTTCTTATTTTTGAACGAAGCTTCATTCTTCTTCTTTTTCTCCTCCGCCGGTCGCTGTTTGGGAGCCTTTAGTTTGAGCATTTGTGGGAATTCGGCCACCGAACTGATTTCAACCATTTTGGGTTTCCTAAATTCAACTTTTTCGATTTTCATAGGCGTTAGTTTAACGGGTGCCGGTGCCTTGAAAGACGAATCGCGACGGGCCCTTTGTGGATGCTCCATATCCGTACGTGTGTACTCTTGGAGGACAGTTTTCGGAATTTCCTGGTGTATGAGGAACTGGATATAGTCGTCCATTTCGTCTCGTTTTGACTTAACTGCCTTCTTTTTGGGTTTCGGTTTTTCTTTCTTTTCAACTGGAGCCTCCTCAGCCTTACTCTCGATTTTCTTTGGCTTAACCTTTTTCTTAACAGTCTTGTCCGTCGGTTGCCCTGTACTGCCCTGATCGTCCAAAAGAGTCTCGTCAACCTCCTCTATTGCTGTTTCTAGTGTCGGTTTCTGGCTGGGTTCTGTGGGTTTAACCTGTGTTTCTGTGGCGTCTGCACTGGCCTCTTCTGGTTCAGTGATAGTGTACTCTTTGCTGTATTGGTCTGTTTGAGAGAGAATTATGTGTTTTGTGTTAGCAGTTAACTAGTTTTTACACTTATATTTGCATTTTATACAATGCTTTAGAACGTCCAAAATTTGTACTGCATGGTTTGTAAGCACAAACTTTGGACTTTAAGTCATTCGCTTGCAAATGAGTTTTCGACATGATTTGTTTGTGGGTCGAACGTATAAGGTTTTTATGTAAATTTTCGATTTTGAGTCCCACGTATGTTGGTGTATGTTGGATTAGTTTGTTAGTAGATAATGTAAATACTCTTTCCACGAACAGATTTTTGTCTTTTATGAGTTGTATGGAATGAATAATACATAATGAGATCAATAGTGACTGACTTTTATATTTGTATATATAGGATATGTATAATATTTACACCTCCATAGAGGCTATTGTAATTTTAGCGAAATTCGTGCAACATGAATCGATCATCTTTATATTACGTTTCAAATCTGATTTAAAATTTTTAGAACAATTTTTCTTCTGAATTTGGTTAAGGACTTAATTCAAATATAATTTATTTGATTAATTTCCAGCTAAAATATTTAAAAGTCCTTACAAGTCTCTAAAAAAAACTATTTTTGTAGTAATTATTTTTGTGTGGAATGGTAATATTAGAAACCCCAAACCTGTATTTTTACCAACTATACGGGACTGCTTTATACGCGATTTATGAAACACCATATTTTTAAGTTTAAATGTTTGTATTAAGGAAAATTCACCTGTTGGTTCGCTGACTTCGGTTATCTCAAGGTGTGCTTGTGTAGTGTCTTCTGGAATGGGTTCAGTATCACTGAGTACTTCCTCAACAATGACTCCTTCTTCCTCAGAAACTCGCTTGTTTTCGGTTTGTATGATGGTTTCTCCATCTTCGTTTTGTACGGACTTGAATGTTGTGATGTAAGTTTTGTGTTCCGGCTCAGTTTGTTTCGGTTTCTCCACTGTGTTGTCATAGTGTTAAGTGTTTTGGATTGTGGAATGATTAAAACAAGATTTTATTAGCGGAAAAATATAAAATAAAGTAAATGCCTTGTGGCAATCTGATAATAAACTATTGTAAACTTTAATGTAAATGTAATAAAAATGTTAGGAAGAAAGCTGGAGTACTTCAGTTTAATAGTTGTTCGTGTAAAGTGTATAAGAATAGTGTATTGTTTGGTGTTCTTACCCTTCTGCTTCGGGGACTTATGTTTGCGTTGGGAAACCTTCTCGTCTTCGAGTTTGCTAATATCAATAATATCAGCAATGTTTTCATCGCTCACCACACGTATCAGAGAGTAGGGCTCTTTGCCTTCTTCTTCTACGGTCTGAATCTGGAAGTATTCCTCATCTTCGGGGCCTTGCTTCTTGAAGGTTCGAGTTTTAGTTGTCTTTTTCTTGGGCTTCTTGTTCTGGTCCAGTTCTTCGGTGAAAACAGTTTCTTCGGGGAGTTCGTCAATGGGAATAGGCGTTATGGAGATCTCGTCTACGGGTACAACCTCCACCTGCACTGTGGTAGTAGGTTCCTTGTCTTCCTCCTCAATTATTTGAACTGTGGTAACTTCGTCCAGTTTGTCGTCTAGGTTCTTTTTAAAGGCTCTGGACCTTACAGTCTTCTTCTTTTTCGTTCCATCAGGAGAAATGATTTCAAATTCGGTCACTTGTTCAGGCAACTCCACTGAGTTGCTTTCATCAACCTTTGGTTCCGTGGCGGGCTGTTCCTTAATCGACACAGAGTAAATAGGTTCAGAATCGGGTTGTTCAATAATTCCGATTTCGGTAATTTCTTCGTTATTGTCGGGGACTGGTTTCTTAATGACACGCTTCTTGGTTTTAACCACCTTTGGAACACCAGTATCGTCAACCACTTCAGTTTCGACTACCTCATCTGGCAGTACAACTACTTCAGTAACCTTCTCCTCTGGTAGGTCTGGGAATGGCACCTTAAAGTTCTCGACAGTCACCTTAGTCTGTGGTTCTTTTTCATACTCTTCTATTGTCTGAACTTTAGTGACCTCCATATCCTGGCCCTTTATCTTTTTGATAATTCGTGTTTTGATTACGGTTTTAGTGGGAGTACCATCTTCCTTTTCAGAAAGTATCACCGACTTTCGTTCAGGCAACTCAACGACAGTTACTTCATCCTCAGGTTTCTGCACGATAACTCTTTTCTTGAGCTTGACTTTCTCGGCATTGGGGGCCTTAATTTCCGATTCTTCGATCGTTACTGTGGTTTCTGGTTCTTTGTCATCCTCTTCAACAGTTTCGATTTTAGTAACTTCTTCCTTATCGCCCTTAACCTTCTTGATCACACGTGTGCGAATCTTCTTTTTCTTTGGTTTTCCGTCTTCTGTGATGGTTTCAACAACGCGAACGTCCTCTGGCAGTTCCTCGACCTCAATACTGTCGTCCTCACCTGTTGCAAAAGATGTGTTATGTTGTAAGTATGGTGTGTTTTGAATGTGTATAACCCGAGGACCGTGCATTGCTTTGGCGAAGCAAGTAACTCGATAACTAGGACAGAAGACATTGTATGTAACTTGAAAGGTAAAACTACAATAGACCACTATGGAATAAGTGAACAGGTTTAAAAGCATGCAAAAGGATTAGGAATAAAATGATTGGGATTAAACAATTTTTGAATGAATGAACTGCAACACTACTTTTCTTTATTTTAGTATACTACTTTGTGAGATTATATGATGATTTATCTAATGAAAGTATTTGTAAGGTTTGTAAAAAGCGTGTTGTTGAAAAAGAGCTCGAATAAAATCTTTGAGCCATGAGCCATGTTAGTAGCTACTTTGTATGAGTAGTTAGTATTAAGGAAGTGAAATGTTATTACATTGCAAAGAATAGCATGCAGAATATTACATCGGAGTTACTGTTTTGAGAGGCTGTAAAGTCAGTTGGGAGGTGATTAGGTCCGACATAAAGAGGCTTAAAGTCAGTGCGCCTAGATTCAAGAGCGGGAGGGTAGAGATAGGGTAGACAAGATTGACAAGATGGAGACGAGGACAATAATTGAGAAACAACGATATTTTCAAGAAAAATAACAAATTGGCGAAAGACACGGAAAGGGAGCAATATATACTGCATGGGCGGCGGGAAATCGCGGGCACCTAAACTCTCATCTTTGAACTTACTTTTTTGAACGCTTTTTTGTGTGTCTGGCTTTGTTTTCTTATGTTTAATTGTTTTCTGAATAGTATCTTTAGTCTCATCTTGTGCGCTTGGTGTAATTTGTGCTGTAATCTCGGGTTGTGCAACTTGCGATGGTGTTTCTGTTAGTTCGTCAGGTACTTGTTCGTCCGTCACTACTGTTTTGGGCTTAATCCTCTTCGTTTTCGTAGGCGTTGGCGATTCGGGAACCGTTTCTTCTTCAATTAATTGTTTCACACAGTCCTCTACCTCACGTTTCTTAACCTTTTTCACCACCTTCTTGGTCTTTAATTTATTGAATTTTTCTTCGGTAAGTTCTGGTTGTTCTAAAGCTTCATCTACTAATTCTGTTTTTGTAAATTCGACAATAACTTCTGGTTTGTTTTCTTGATAAGTCTCGGTTACTTCAATAAGGAACTCCTTGGGTCCTTCCTTCTTCTTGAGTTTCTTAATTGTTTTAACTTGCTTGACTTCCTCTCCTTGTTCATCGACAATATTCTCGATAACAGTTTCTGGAGCCAGCTCTTCAATGACAATTTTCTCTTCAACGGGTTTCTTCGTGGCCTTTTTAGGCTTACGAGTCTTTGCTTTATTTTCTGTAGTCTCCTCTATAACAGCAGGTGTAACCTCCTCTTCCGTCTCAAATGGTTGTGGTTCAGAAAATTCCTCCAGGACATTTACTATATATTTTTGTACATCTTCAGGTTTGAGCTTCTTCGGTTTTTTAATTGGTTTCTTTTCCTTGGGTTGCACAATTTCTTCCTGAGGCTGGTCTTCTTCAATTTCGACAATGGTCACCTCAGCCAAAGGCTCGTCACTTGACTTGGTTTCAGTAATCTCGAAGACCTGTTCCTTGGGACCTTGCTTTCGGGCAATCTTCTTCTTCTTAACTTCCACCTGTTTGGTTGTGCCCTCTTCGTCAGTAACCTTAACTATTTCGACTGTCTCTCCAATATCTTCAACGACTGGTTGCTCGGCTTCATCCGAACTTTCGGGTTTGCGGAACTCCTCCAAAACGTTGACTATGTAGCTATCAACCTCTTCAGGTTTGAGGGTCACAGGCTTCTTAACTAATTTCTTTGGCTTAGCCTTGGGAACCTCTTCCTTTGGCGCTTCTTCAGTTACCTCGACAATTGTCACCTCGGCCAAGGGCTCATCACTTGACTTGGTTTCAGTAATCTCGAAGACCTGTTCCTTAGGACCTTGCTTTCGGGCAATCTTCTTCTTCTTAACTTCCACCTGTTTGGTTGTGCCCTCTTCGTCAGTAACCTTAACTATTTCGACTGTCTCTCCAATATCTTCAACGACTGGTTGCTCGGCTTCATCCGAACTTTCGGGTTTGCGGAACTCCTCCAAAACGTTGACTATGTAGCTATCAACCTCTTCAGGTTTGAGGGTCACAGGCTTCTTAACTAGTTTCTTTGGCTTGGTCTTGGGAACCTCTTTCTTTGGCGTTTCTTCAGTAACCTCAATAATTGTCACCTCAGCCAAAGGCTCGTCACTTGACTTGGTTTCAGTAATCTCGAAGACCTGTTCCTTAGGACCTTGCTTTCGGGCAATCTTCTTCTTCTTAACTTCCACCTGTTTGGTTGTGCCCTCATCGTCAGTAACCTTAACTATTTCGACTGTCTCTCCAATATCTTCAACGACTGGTTGCTCGGCTTCATCCGAACTTTCGGGTTTGCGGAACTCCTCCAAAACGTTGACTATGTAGCTATCAACCTCTTCAGGTTTGAGGGTCACAGGCTTCTTAACTAGTTTCTTTGGCTTAGCCTTGGAAACCTCTTCCTTTGGCGATTCTTCAGTAACCTCAATAATTGTCACCTCAGCCAAAGGCTCATCCCTTGACTTGGTTTCGGTAATCTCGAAGACCTGTTCCTTAGGACCCTGCTTTCTGGAAACCCTCCTCTTCTTCACCTCTACTTGCTTCGGTACGCCATCCTCTTCCACTACTGTAATGGTTTCAACCGATTCTGCAATGTCCTGCAAAATAGGTTGTGGTTGCTCTTCTTCGATGATCTTTGGTTTGAATGATTTCTTCGTCTTTGGTTTTGGTTTCTGTTCCACAACTGTTACTTCTTGGTCTTCGGGACTTTCCTTTATCTGTTCGCGATCGATTTCCTCCACTTCGACTTCAAAAGGCTTTACATCCTCTTGATCTATTTCGAATTCCTTTATAGTAACCTCGTGAACAGTAGTAGGAACGCCGTCGACTATTTCGGTGATTTTCTTGTGGTGTTTCTGTACCTTCTTTGGTTTCTTAGTCTCCGTTGAAGACTCCGAAATAGTAGGTTCTTGTTCCTTGAGATCGGGCTCTGAAATTTCTTGTTCAATAAGCTCGTAAACGAAGTTGTCCAAGCTTTCTTCCTTTGGTTTTTTCTTCTTCACGATCTTTACTTTGTGATCGTCTGGGACTTCAGTGTCTTGAGTGGGTGTTATTTCTGTGGTCTGAATTACAATATCCGCTTCGGGTTTATTTTCTTCGTATGTTTCAACTACCTCAATTAGGTATTCCTTCGGGCCCTCCTTCTTTTTGATCTTACGCTTGGTGGTAGTACGTTCGACTTCTTTTCCGTCTTCATTAGTTACCGTTTCTGTTGTTGTTTCGGGTGCTAGTTCCTCAATACGAATCGTATATTCCGAGATGGGTTCTGGCAAAGATTCGTCTTTGGGTTTCTTGGGCGCTTTCTTTTTGGGCTTGGGCACAGTATCCTTTACTTCTACGGCATATTGATCTGCCTGTGGGGTCTCCTCTGACTCTGGAGCAGAAGTGACGAGCTCGTATTCTACAGGTTCTTGAGGTTGCTGGGATGGTTCAGATTCGGATATTTTAACCTTCTTCTGTTTTTCAGGCTTCTTCTTCTTTGGTTTCGACTCTCTGGAATCTTCCTCAGGATGTTCTTCCTCGGGCAAGGTGTCGATCGCTCTTTCTTCTTCAATAACCCTGGTTACGAAGGAACGGATGTCCTCATCCGAAGTGCCCTCTGTGTCGGGAACAATGATCAGCTCTTCAGTTATTTTGGCTATAGTTTCCTGAGGAGCTTCCTCGACAACGTTGACAATATACTCCTTGAGGTTATCCCGTTTGATTTTCCGGACTGACTTTTTCGGTGTGTCCGGTTTAGTCAAAGCAGGCCCATCAGTTGCATCTTCAGTTATTTCAGTGGTTATAACTATCACCTTAGCCTCTTCAGGGGTGTCGTCTGTGGCTTGGGTCTCAAATATTTCGATTTCGTATTGTTTCGAACCCTTTCTGGCTTTAACCTTGCGTTTTTTAGTTTTCTCTGTGACCTTGATCTCAGCTGTTTCTTCCACTGATGGAACAGTCTCAATCTCTTCCTCCACCACTACAATTGGCATAGTTTCGGCTAAGTCCGCAATAATTTCATCCAAAGCCGGAATAGATTCTTCCCATGGGGTCTCCTCCTCCTCTTCGGGAACTCGTTCGGAGTCGATCCTATTGATGGTGAACTCGTCGAACTGTGGGACACTTTCGGTTTCGATACTCTCGGCCTCCTGAACAATATTCTTAGACTTCGGCTTTTTAGCTTTCGGTTTCTCAATTGGCTCATGTTCTGTGACTCCCACCTGGAGAGTCTCGCCTTCGTCAATGATCTTTTCTTCGGTTTTGGGCTTTTTCTTCTTGGGTTTCTTTGGTTTGCCGTCAACGTCGATTTTCTCGTATTTTTCCAACTCTGTTACCGGAATCTCAGCATTTATAAGTTGCTGTATGTAGGCATCGAGTTCGTCCTTCGTCATCTTCTTGGTTTTCTTCTTCGGCTTATCGATGCGCTGGGTGGTGGTACCTTCTTCTTTTGGAGCTTCACTAGAAGTCACGGTTATTTCGTACAACGGCTGATCTCCTGAAGTTGGAACGGTTTCTACAATTTCCAAAATTTCCACCTCACCTCCCTTTTCATGACGAATTCGACGCTTCTTAGGCTTGGTATCCTTCTCCTCCTCAGATTGGATTTCTGGCTGTAATTCAGTTAACTTGACCTCGTAGAAATCGGTCATGCTAGTCTCGTAGAACTTTTGTTCTGGTTCTTCCTTGATTTCCGCAACAAAGTCATCGAGCTCCTTCTTGGACATTCGTTTGACCTTTTTCTTTAATACTTTGGGTTCTTTGTTGTCTTCTGGAACAATTTCAGAACTGGTGACGGTGACCTCGAAGGTTTGGTCGTCGGCATCTTCGGGAGAGACTTCAACTATTTCAATGATATTTTCTTCCTGCTCAGTCTTAAGTTTGAGCTTGCGTTTTTTCTTAAGAGCCTTAACAGGTTCCTCGGCGGTTGGACTGGTCGAACCTTGAATGAATTCTGGCTCCAATTCAACAAATTCAAATTTCCCAAACCTATCATTCTGCTCTTCTGACTTGTCGTGTGGTTTCCCTGAACTATCTTTAACGCCTAAAACAGTCTCGTCAATTGTAACTGCAGTTAGTTTTGTCTTTTTCTGTTTGGGTATTTTGTCTTTAACCAGTATATGACCGGCGTCCGCGCCGGATTCTTCTGGTTCAGTTATAGTGTATTCTCTGTTGTATTTGTCTGTTTTAAGAGAGAATCATGTGTTTAGGGTTAGTTGATAACTAGTTTTACTATCGTTAAAAATCCATCAATGTTGTCAAGTTTGGATTATGGAATGCAAAATTTGGATTAAAATTCCAGTATTGGATTAAGCATATTCTTTATACCTTCTGCACTATTGTTTTGTATTTTTGTATGTTTATTAAGTTTCTAAAATTTTGAAGCAATTATGGAAAGAAAGCAATTATGTTGTATTTTTGTAAATAATTATTTGCTACATTATGTGTATATTATTGTTGGAATAATTTAAATTTAAACCATTAAATATTGAACTTTGAATGTTTTCTACATTTAGATATATTCTAATTTTCTATTAAGAAGATTTATAGGAATTCTAAATAAATGTTATTTTATGTATTTAAAAAAAACTTTATAATAATAAACTGATTTACTCGTGAAATTCTACTTAATTGTCTTTCTTTCTTTACTCTATAGGTTTCTTGAGTTTTATGAGATAGAATATGAGCTTTATTGTTAAGTAACAAAAAATCACCTTTAGGCTCCTCGTCCTCGTAAGCTTCAACGTGTGTGAGTGTTGTGTCTTCTTGAACAATTCCTTCCAAATCTGTGTATGTAGAGTTTATCCACGTAGTGTTGTATTGTCGAATGTGTCAAGTTATAAAATAGTCAAGAAAATATAATATTAACGAAGAATAAGGAGCTGATGGAATAAAATTAAAGAGCTAATACAGAAACCTACTGAGAAAACAAATTTTGCGTATACTTCGATTTACTTTAAGTGTATTAAGTGTACTGTATGTTAAGAAAGTGTTTTGTTTTGTGTTCTTACCCTTATGTGCAACTGTTTTTTTACGCTTGACCTTGTCTGTTTTCTCGACGGTAACCGTTGTCTCAGGTGCTTTGTCATCCTCCTCGACAGTTTCGATTTTGGTGACCTCCTGCTTATCACCCTTGACCTTCTTGATGACACGTGTGCGAATCTTCTTCTTCTTAGGCTTGCCGTCTTCGGAGATGGTTTCAACAACGCGCACCTCCTCAGGAAGTTCTTCAATAACTTCCTGTACGATTGGCTCAGCTTCAGATTCTTCGACGGTAACCGTGGTCTCAGGTGCTTTGTCATCCTCCTCGACAGTTTCGATTTTGGTGACCTCCTGCTTATCACCCTTGACCTTCTTGATGACACGTGTGCGAATCTTCTTCTTCTTGGGCTTGCCATCTTCGGAGATGGTTTCAACAACGCGCACCTCTTCAGGAAGTTCTTCAATGGCTTCCTGTACGACTGGCTCAGCTTCAGATTCTTCGACGGTAACCGTTGTCTCAGGTGCCTTGTCATCCTCCTCGACAGTTTCGATTTTGGTGACCTCCTGCTTATCACCCTTGACCTTCTTGATGACACGTGTGCGAATCTTCTTCTTCTTGGGCTTGCCGTCTTCAGAGATGGTTTCAACAACGCGCACCTCCTCAGGAAGTTCTTCAATAACTTCCTGTACGATTGGCTCAGCTTCAGATTCTTCGACGGTAACCGTGGTCTCAGGTGCCTTGTCATCCTCCTCGACAGTTTCGATTTTGGTGACCTCCTGCTTATCACCCTTGACCTTCTTGATGACACGTGTGCGAATCTTCTTCTTCTTGGGCTTGCCATCTTCGGAGATGGTTTCAACAACGCGCACCTCCTCAGGAAGTTCTTCAATGGCTTCCTGTACGACTGGCTCAGCTTCAGATTCTTCGACGGTAACCGTTGTCTCAGGTGCCTTGTCATCCTCCTCGACAGTTTCGATTTTGGTGACCTCCTGCTTATCACCTTTGACCTTCTTGATGACACGTGTGCGAATCTTCTTCTTCTTGGGCTTGCCATCTTCGGAGATGGTTTCAACAACGCGCACCTCTTCAGGAAGTTCTTCAATGGCTTCCTGTACGACTGGCTCAGCTTCAGATTCTTCGACGGTAACCGTGGTCTCAGGTGCCTTGTCATCCTCCTCGACAGTTTCGATTTTGGTGACCTCCTGCTTATCACCCTTGACCTTCTTGATGACACGTGTGCGAATCTTCTTCTTCTTGGGCTTGCCGTCTTCAGAGATGGTTTCAACAACGCGCACCTCCTCAGGAAGTTCTTCAATGGCTTCCTGTACGACTGGCTCAGCTTCAGATTCTTCGACGGTAACCGTTGTCTCAGGTGCTTTGTCATCCTCCTCGACAGTTTCGATTTTGGTGACCTCCTGCTTATCACCCTTGACCTTCTTGATGACACGTGTGCGAATCTTTTTCTTCTTGGGCTTGCCGTCTTCAGAGATGGTTTCAACAACGCGCACCTCCTCAGGAAGTTCTTCAATAACTTCCTGTACGATTGGCTCAGCTTCAGATTCTTCGACGGTAACCGTGGTCTCAGGTGCCTTGTCATCCTCCTCGATAGTTTCGATTTTGGTGACCTCCTGCTTATCACCCTTGACCTTCTTGATGACACGTGTGCGAATCTTCTTCTTCTTGGGCTTGCCATCTTCGGAGATGGTTTCAACAACGCGCACCTCTTCAGGAAGTTCTTCAATGGCTTCCTGTACGACTGGCTCAGCTTCAGATTCTTCGACGGTAACCGTGGTCTCAGGTGCCTTGTCATCCTCCTCAACAGTTTCGATTTTGGTGACCTCCTGCTTATCACCCTTGACCTTCTTGATGACACGTGTGCGAATCTTCTTCTTCTTGGGCTTGCCGTCTTCAGAGATGGTTTCAACAACGCGCACCTCCTCAGGAAATTCTTCAATGGCTTCCTGTACGACTGGCTCAGCTTCAGATTCTTCGACGGTAACCGTTGTCTCAGGTGCCTTGTCATCCTCCTCGACAGTTTCGATTTTGGTGACCTCCTGCTTATCACCCTTGACCTTCTTGATGACACGTGTGCGAATCTTCTTCTTCTTGGGCTTGCCGTCTCCAGAGATGGTTTCAACAACGCGCACCTCCTCAGGAAGTTCTTCAATGGCTTCCTGTACGACTGGCTCAGCTTCAGATTCTTCGACGGTAACCGTTGTCTCAGGTGCCTTGTCATCCTCCTCGACAGTTTCGATTTTGGTGACCTCCTGCTTATCACCCTTGACCTTCTTGATGACACGTGTGCGAATCTTCTTCTTCTTGGGCTTGCCGTCTTCAGAGATGGTTTCAACAACACGCACCTCCTCAGGAAGTTCTTCAATGGCTTCCTGTACGACTGGCTCAGCTTCAGATTCTTCGACGGTAACCGTGGTCTCAGGTGCCTTGCCATCCTCCTCGACAGTTTCGATTTTGGTGACCTCCTGCTTATCACCCTTGACCTTCTTGATGACACGTGTGCGAATCTTCTTCTTCTTGGGCTTGCCGTCTTCAGAGATGGTTTCAACAACGCGCACCTCCTCAGGAAGTTCTTCAATGGCTTCCTGTACGACTGGCTCAGCTTCAGATTCTTCGACGGTAACCGTGGTCTCAGGTGCTTTGTCATCCTCCTCGACAGTTTCGATTTTGGTGACCTCCTGCTTATCACCCTTGACCTTCTTGATGACACGTGTGCGAATCTTCTTCTTCTTGGGCTTGCCGTCTTCAGAGATGGTTTCAACAACGCGCACCTCCTCAGGAAGTTCTTCAATAACTTCCTGTACGATTGGCTCAGCTTCAGATTCTTCGACGGTAACCGTTGTCTCAGGTGCCTTGTCATCCTCCTCGACAGTTTCGATTTTGGTGACCTCCTGCTTATCACCCTTGACCTTCTTGATGACACGTGTGCGAATCTTCTTCTTCTTGGGCTTGCCGTCTTCAGAGATGGTTTCAACAACGCGCACCTCCTCAGGAAGTTCTTCAATGGCTTCCTGTACGACTGGCTCAGCTTCAGATTCTTCGACGGTAACCGTTGTCTCAGGTGCCTTGTCATCCTCCTCGACAGTTTCGATTTTGGTGACCTCCTGCTTATCACCCTTGACCTTCTTGATGACACGTGTGCGAATCTTCTTCTTCTTGGGCTTGCCGTCTGCAGAGATGGTTTCAACAACGCGCACCTCCTCAGGAAGTTCTTCAATGGCTTCCTGTACGACTGGCTCAGCTTCAGATTCTTCGACGGTAACCGTTGTCTCAGGTGCCTTGTCATCCTCCTCGACAGTTTCGATTTTGGTGACCTCCTGCTTATCACCCTTGACCTTCTTGATGACACGTGTGCGAATCTTCTTCTTCTTGGGCTTGCCGTCTTCAGAGATGGTTTCAACAACGCGCACCTCCTCAGGAAGTTCTTCAATGGCTTCCTGTACGACTGGCTCAGCTTCAGTTTCTTCGACGGTAACTGTTGTCTCAGGTGCCTTGTCATCCTCCTCGACAGTTTCGATTTTGGTGACCTCCTGCTTATCACCCTTGACCTTCTTGATGACACGTGTGCGAATCTTCTTCTTCTTGGGCTTGCCGTCTTCAGAGATGGTTTCAACAACGCGCACCTCCTCAGGAAGTTCTTCAATGGCTTCCTGTACGACAGGCTCAGCTTCAGATTCTTCGACGGTAACGGTTGTCTCAGGTGCCTTGTCATCCTCTTCGACAGTTTCGATTTTGGTGACCTCCTGCTTATCACCCTTGACCTTCTTGATGACACGTGTGCGAATCTTCTTCTTCTTGGGCTTGCCGTCTTCAGAGATGGTTTCAACAACGCGCACCTCCTCAGGAAGTTCTTCAATGGCTTCCTGTACGACTGGCTCAGCTTCAGATTCTTCGACGGTAACCGTTGTCTCAGGTGCCTTGTCATCCTCCTCGACAGTTTCGATTTTGGTGACCTCCTGCTTATCACCCTTGACCTTCTTGATGACACGTGTGCGAATCTTCTTCTTCTTGGGCTTGCCGTCTTCAGAGATGGTTTCAACAACGCGCACCTCCTCAGGAAGTTCTTCAATGGCTTCCTGTACAACTGGTTCAGCTTCAGATTCTTCGACGGTAACCGTTGTTTCGGGTGCTTTGTCATCCTCCTCGACAGTTTCGATTTTGGTGACCTCCTGCTTATCACCCTTGACCTTCTTGATGACACGTGTCCGAATCTTCTTCTTCTTGGGCTTGCCGTCTTCAGAGATGGTTTCAACAACGCGCACCTCCTCAGGAAGTTCTTCAATGGCTTCCTGTACGACTGGCTCAGCTTCAGATTCTTCGACGGTAACCGTTGTCTCAGGTGCCTTGTCATCCTCCTCGATAGTTTCGATTTTGGTGACCTCCTGCTTATCACCCTTGACCTTCTTGATGACACGTGTGCGAATCTTCTTCTTCTTGGGTTTGCCGTCTTCAGAGATGGTTTCAACTACGCGCACCTCCTCAGGAAGTTCTTCAATGGCTTCCTGTACGACTGGCTCAGCTTCAGATTCTTCGACGGTAACGGTTGTCTCAGGTGCCTTGTCATCCTCTTCGACAGTTTCGATTTTGGTGACCTCCTGCTTATCACCCTTAACCTTCTTGATGACACGTGTGCGAATCTTCTTCTTCTTGGGCTTGCCGTCTTCAGAGATGGTTTCAACAACGCGCACCTCCTCAGGAAGTTCTTCAATGGCTTCCTGTACGACTGGCTCAGCTTCAGATTCTTCGACGGTAACCGTTGTTTCAGGTGCCTTGTCATCCTCCTCGACAGTTTCGATTTTGGTGACCTCCTGCTTATCACCCTTGACCTTCTTGATGACACGTGTGCGAATCTTCTTCTTCTTGGGCTTGCCGTCTTCAGAGATGGTTTCAACAACGCGCACCTCCTCAGGAAGTTCTTCAATGGCTTCCTGTACGACTGGCTCAGCTTCAGATTCTTCGACGGTAACCGTTGTCTCAGGTGCCTTGTCATCCTCCTCGACAGTTTCGATTTTGGTGACCTCCTGCTTATCACCCTTGACCTTCTTGATGACACGTGTGCGAATCTTCTTCTTCTTGGGCTTGCCGTCTTCAGAGATGGTTTCAACAACGCGCACCTCCTCAGGAAGTTCTTCAATGGCTTTCTGTACGACTGGCTCAGCTTCAGATTCTTCGACGGTAACCGTTGTCTCAGGTGCCTTGTCATCCTCCTCGACAGTTTCGATTTTGGTGACCTCCTGCTTATCACCCTTGACCTTCTTGATGACACGTGTGCGAATCTTCTTCTTCTTGGGCTTGCCGTCTTCAGAGATGGTTTCAACTACGCGCACCTCCTCAGGAAGTTCTTCAATGGCTTCCTGTACGACTGGCTCAGCTTCAGATTCTTCGACGGTAACGGTTGTCTCAGGTGCCTTGTCATCCTCTTCGACAGTTTCGATTTTGGTGACCTCCTGCTTATCACCCTTGACCTTCTTGATGACACGTGTGCGAATCTTCTTCTTCTTGGGCTTGCCGTCTTCAGAGATGGTTTCAACAACGCGCACCTCCTCAGGAAGTTCTTCAATGGCTTCCTGTACGACTGGCTCAGCTTCAGATTCTTCGACGGTAACCGTTGTCTCAGGTGCCTTGTCATCCTCCTCGACAGTTTCGATTTTGGTGACCTCCTGCTTATCACCCTTGACCTTCTTGATGACACGTGTGCGAATCTTCTTCTTCTTGGGCTTGCCGTCTTCAGAGATGGTTTCAACAACGCGCACCTCCTCAGGAAGTTCTTCAATGGCTTTCTGTACGACTGGCTCAGCTTCAGATTCTTCGACGGTAACCGTTGTCTCAGGTGCCTTGTCATCCTCCTCGACAGTTTCGATTTTGGTGACCTCCTGCTTATCACCCTTGACCTTCTTGATGACACGTGTGCGAATCTTCTTCTTCTTGAGCTTGCCGTCTTCAGAGATGGTTTCAACAACGCGCACCTCCTCAGGAAGTTCTTCAATGGCTTCCTGTACGACTGGCTCAGCTTCAGATTCTTCGACGGTAACCGTTGTCTCAGGTGCCTTGTCATCCTCCTCGACAGTTTCGATTTTGGTGACCTCCTGCTTATCACCCTTGACCTTCTTGATGACACGTGTGCGAATCTTCTTCTTCTTGGGCTTGCCGTCTTCAGAGATGGTTTCAACAACGCGCACCTCCTCAGGAAGTTCTTCAATGGCTTCCTGTACGACTGGCTCAGCTTCAGATTCTTCGACGGTAACCGTTGTCTCAGGTGCCTTGTCATCCTCCTCGACAGTTTCGATTTTGGTGACCTCCTGCTTATCACCCTTGACCTTCTTGATGACACGTGTGCGAATCTTCTTCTTCTTGGGCTTGCCGTCTTCAGAGATGGTTTCAACAACGCGCACCTCCTCAGGAAGTTCTTCAATGGCTTCCTGTACGACTGGCTCAGCTTCAGATTCTTCGACGGTAACCGTTGTCTCAGGTGCCTTGTCATCCTCCTCGACAGTTTCGATTTTGGTGACCTCCTGCTTATCACCCTTGACCTTCTTGATGACACGTGTGCGAATCTTCTTCTTCTTGGGCTTGCCGTCTTCAGAGATGGTTTCAATAACGCGCACCTCCTCAGGAAGTTCTTTAATGGCTTCCTGTACGACTGGCTCAGCTTCAGATTCTTCGACGGTAACCGTTGTCTCAGGTGCCTTGTCATCCGCCTCGACAGTTTCGATTTTGGTGACCTCCTGCTTATCACCCCTGACCTTCTTGATGACACGTGTGCGAATCTTCTTCTTCTTGGGCTTGCCGTCTTCAGAGATGGTTTCAACAACGCGCACCTCCTCAGGAAGTTCTTCAATGGCTTCCTGTACGACTGGCTCAGCTTCAGATTCTTCGACGGTAACCGTTGTCTCAGGTGCCTTGTCATCCTCCTCGACAGTTTCGATTTTGGTGACCTCCTGCTTATCACCCTTGACCTTCTTGATGACACGTGTGCGAATCTTCTTCTTCTTGGGCTTGCCGTCTTCAGAGATGGTTTCAACAACGCGCACCTCCTCAGGAAGTTCTTCAATGGCTTCCTGTACGACTGGCTCAGCTTCAGATTCTTCGACGGTAACCGTTGTCTCAGGTGCCTTGTCATCCTCCTCGACAGTTTCGATTTTGGTGACCTCCTGCTTATCACCCTTGACCTTCTTGATGACACGTGTGCGAATCTTCTTCTTCTTGGGCTTGCCGTCTTCAGAGATGGTTTCAACAACGCGCACCTCCTCAGGAAGTTCTTCAATGGCTTCCTGTACGACTGGCTCAGCTTCAGATTCTTCGACGGTAACCGTTGTCTCAGGTGCCTTGTCATCCTCCTCGACAGTTTCGATTTTGGTGACCTCCTGCTTATCACCCTTGACCTTCTTGATGACACGTGTGCGAATCTTCTTCTTCTTGGGCTTGCCGTCTTCAGAGATGGTTTCAACAACGCGCACCTCCTCAGGAAGTTCTTCAATGGCTTCCTGTACGACTGGCTCAGCTTCAGATTCTTCGACGGTAACCGTTGTCTCAGGTGCCTTGTCATCCTCCTCGACAGTTTCGATTTTGGTGACCTCCTGCTTATCACCTTTGACCTTCTTGATGACACGTGTGCGAATCTTCTTCTTCTTGGGCTTGCCGTCTTCAGAGATGGTTTCAACAACGCGCACCTCCTCAGGAAGTTCTTCAATGGCTTCCTGTACGACTGGCTCAGCTTCAGATTCTTCGACGGTAACCGTTGTCTCAGGTGCCTTGTCATCCTCCTCGACAGTTTCGATTTTGGTGACCTCCTGCTTATCACCCTTGACCTTCTTGATGACACGTGTGCGAATCTTCTTCTTCTTGGGCTTGCCGTCTTCAGAGATGGTTTCGACAACGCGCACCTCCTCAGGAAGTTCTTCAATGGCTTCCTGTACGACTGGCTCAGCTTCAGATTCTTCGACGGTAACCGTTGTCTCAGGTGCCTTGTCATCCTCCTCGACAGTTTCGATTTTGGTGACCTCCTGCTTATCACCCTTGACCTTCTTGATGACGCGTGTGCGAATCTTCTTCTTCTTGGGCTTGCCGTCTTCAGAGATGGTTTCGACAACGCGCACCTCCTCAGGAAGTTCTTCAATGGCTTCCTGTACGACTGGCTCAGCTTCAGATTCTTCGACGGTAACCGTTGTCTCAGGTGGCTTGTCATCCTCCTCGACAGTTTCGATTTTGGTGACCTCCTGCTTATCACCCTTGACCTTCTTGATGACGCGTGTGCGAATCTTCTTCTTCTTGGGCTTGCCGTCTTCAGAGATGGTTTCAACAACGCGCACCTCCTCAGGAAGTTCTTCAATGGCTTCCTGTACGACTGGCTCAGCTTCAGATTCTTCGACGGTAACCGTTGTCTCAGGTGCCTTGTCATCCTCCTCGACAGTTTCGATTTTGGTGACCTCCTGCTTATCACCCTTGACCTTCTTGATGACACGTGTGCGAATCTTCTTCTTCTTGGGCTTGCCGTCTTCAGAGATGGTTTCAACAACGCGCACCTCCTCAGGAAGTTCTTCAATGGCTTCCTGTACGACTGGCTCAGCTTCAATTTCTTCGACGGTAACTGTTGTCTCAGGTGCCTTGTCATCCTCCTCGACAGTTTCGATTTTGGTGACCTCCTGCTTATCACCCTTGACCTTCTTGATGACGCGTGTGCGAATCTTCTTCTTCTTGGGCTTGCCGCCTTCAGAGATGGTTTCAACAACGCGCACCTCCTCAGGAAGTTCCTCAATGGCTTCCTGTACGACTGGCTCAGCTTCAGATTCTTCGACGGTAACCGTGGTCTCAGGTGCCTTGTCATCCTCCTCGACAGTTTCGATTTTGGTGACCTCCTGCTTATCACCCTTGACCTTCTTGATGACACGTGTGCGAATCTTCTTCTTCTTGGGCTTGCCATCTTCAGATATGGTTTCAACAACGCGCACCTCCTCAGGAAGTTCCTCAATGGCTTCCTGTACGACTGGCTCAGCTTCAGTTTCTTCGACGGTAACCGTTGTCTCAGGTGCCTTGTCATCCTCCTCGACAGTTTCGATTTTGGTGACCTCCTGCTTATCACCCTTGACCTTCTTGATGACACGTGTGCGAATCTTCTTCTTCTTGGGCTTGCCGTCTTCAGAGATGGTTTCAACAACGCGCACCTCCTCAGGAAGTTCTTCAATGGCTTCCTGTACGACTGGCTCAGCTTCAGATTCTTCGACGGTAACCGTTGTCTCAGGTGCCTTGTCATCCTCCTCGACAGTTTCGATTTTGGTGACCTCCTGCTTATCACCCTTGACCTTCTTGATGACACGTGTGCGAATCTTCTTCTTCTTGGGCTTGCCGTCTTCAGATATGGTTTCAACAACGCGCACCTCCTCAGGAAGTTCCTCAATGGCTCCCTGTACGACTGGCTCAGCTTCAGTTTCTTCGACGGTAACCGTTGTCTCAGGTGCCTTGTCATCCTCCTCGACAGTTTCGATTTTGGTGACCTCCTGCTTATCACCCTTGACCTTCTTTATGACACGTGTGCGAATCTTCTTCTTCTTGGGCTTGCCGTCTTCAGAGATGGTTTCAACTACGCGCACCTCCTCAGGAAGTTCTTCAATGGCTTCCTGTACGACTGGCTCAGCTTCAGATTCTTCGACGGTAACGGTTGTCTCAGGTGCCTTGTCATCCTCTTCGACAGTTTCGATTTTGGTGACCTCCTGCTTATCACCCTTGACCTTCTTGATGACACGTGTGCGAATCTTCTTCTTCTTGGGCTTGCCGTCTTCAGAGATGGTTTCAACAACGCGCACCTCCTCAGGAAGTTCTTCAATGGCTTCCTGTACGACTGGCTCAGCTTCAGATTCTTCGACGGTAACCGTTGTCTCAGGTGCCTTGTCATCCTCCTCGACAGTTTCGATTTTGGTGACCTCCTGCTTATCACCCTTGACCTTCTTGATGACACGTGTGCGAATATTCTTCTTCTTGGGCTTGCCGTCTTCAGAGATGGTTTCAACAACGCGCACCTCCTCAGGAAGTTCTTCAATGGCTTCCTGTACGACTGGCTCAGCTTCAGATTCTTCGACGGTAACGGTTGTCTCAGGTGCCTTGTCATCCTCCTCGACAGTTTCGATTTTGGTGACCTCCTGCTTATCACCCTTGACCTTCTTGATGACACGTGTGCGAATCTTCTTCTTCTTGGGCTTGCCGTCTTCAGAGATGGTTTCAACTACGCGCACCTCCTCAGGAAGTTCTTCAATGGCTTCCTGTACGATTGGCTCAGCTTCAGATTCTTCGACAGTAACCGTTGTCTCAGGTGCCTTGTCATCCTCCTCGACAGTTTCGATTTTGGTGACCTCCTGCTTATCACCCTTGACCTTCTTGATGACACGTGTGCGAATCTTCTTCTTCTTGGGCTTGCCGTCTTCAGAGATGGTTTCAACAACGCGCACCTCCTCAGGAAGTTCTTCAATGGCTTCCTGTACGACTGGCTCAGCTTCAGATTCTTCGACGGTAACGGTTGTCTCAGGTGCCTTGTCATCCTCCTCGACAGTTTCGATTTTGGTGACCTCCTGCTTATCACCCTTGACCTTCTTGATGACACGTGTGCGAATCTTCTTCTTCTTGGGCTTGCCGTCTTCAGAGATGGTTTCAACTACGCGCACCTCCTCAGGAAGTTCTTCAATGGCTTCCTGTACGACTGGCTCAGCTTCAGATTCTTCGACGGTAACCGTTGTTTCGGGTGCTTTGTCATCCTCCTCGACAGTTTCGATTTTGGTGACCTCCTGCTTATCACCCTTGACCTTCTTGATGACACGTGTGCGAATCTTCTTCTTCTTGGGCTTGCCGTCTTCAGAGATGGTTTCAACTACGCGCACCTCCTCAGGAAGTTCTTCAATGGCTTCCTGTACAACTGGCTCAGCTTCAGATTCTTCGACGGTAACCGTTGTTTCGGGTGCTTTGTCATCCTCCTCGACAGTTTCGATTTTGGTGACCTCCTGCTTATCACCCTTGACCTTCTTGATGACACGTGTGCGAATCTTCTTCTTCTTGGGCTTGCCGTCTTCAGAGATGGTTTCAACAACGCGCACCTCCTCAGGAAGTTCTTCAATGGCTTCCTGTACGACTGGCTCAGCTTCAGATTCTTCGACGGTAACCGTTGTCTCAGGTGCCTTGTCATCCTCCTCGACAGTTTCGATTTTGGTGACCTCCTGCTTATCACCCTTGACCTTCTTGATGACACGTGTGCGAATCTTCTTCTTCTTGGGCTTGCCGTCTTCAGAGATGGTTTCAACTACGCGCACCTCCTCAGGAAGTTCTTCAATGGCTTCCTGTACAACTGGCTCAGCTTCAGATTCTTCGACGGTAACCGTTGTTTCGGGTGCTTTGTCATCCTCCTCGACAGTTTCGATTTTGGTGACCTCCTGCTTATCACCCTTGACCTTCTTGATGACGCGTGTGCGAATCTTCTTCTTCTTGGGCTTGCCGTCTTCAGAGATGGTTTCAACAACGCGCACCTCCTCAGGAAGTTCTTCAATGGCTTCTTGTACGACTGGCTGAGCTTCAGATTCTTCGACGGTAACGGTTGTCTCAGGTGCCTTGTCATCCTCCTCGACAGTTTCGATTTTGGTGACCTCCTGCTTATCACCCTTGACCTTCTTGATGACACGTGTGCGAATCTTCTTCTTCTTAGGCTTGCCGTCTTCAGAGATGGTTTCAACAACGCGCACCTCCTCAGGAAGTTCTTCAATGGCTTCCTGTACGACTGGCTCAGCTTCAGATTCTTCGACGGTAACCGTTGTCTCAGGTGCCTTGTCATCCTCCTCGACAGTTTCGATTTTGGTGACCTCCTGCTTATCACCCTTGACCTTCTTGATGACACGTGTGCGAATCTTCTTCTTCTTAGGCTTGCCGTCTTCAGAGATGGTTTCAACAACGCGCACCTCCTCAGGAAGTTCTTCAATGGCTTCCTGTACGACTGGCTCAGCTTCAGATTCTTCGACGGTAACCGTTGTCTCAGGTGCCTTGTCATCCTCCTCAACAGTTTCGATTTTGGTGACCTCCTGCTTATCACCCTTGACCTTCTTGATGACACGTGTGCGAATCTTCTTCTTCTTGGGCTTGCCGTCTTCAGAGATGGTTTGAACAACGCGCACCTCCTCAGGAAGTTCTTCAATGGCTTCCTGTACGACTGGCTCAGCTTCAGATTCTTCGACGGTAACCGTTATCTCAGGTGCCTTGTCATCCTCTTCGACAGTTTCGATTTTGGTGACCTCCTGCTTATCACCCTTGACCTTCTTGATGACACGTGTGCGAATCTTCTTCTTCTTAGGCTTGCCGTCTTCAGAGATGGTTTCAACAACACACACCTCCTCAGGAAGTTCTTCAATGGCTTCCTGTATCACTGGCTCAGCTTCAGATTCTTCGACAGTAACCGTTGTCTCAGGTGCCTTGTCATCCTCCTCGACAGTTTCGATTTTAGTGACCTCCTGCTTATCACCCTTGACCTTTTTGATGACACGTGTGCGAATCTTCTTCTTCTTGGGCTTGCCGTCTTCAGAGATGGTTTCAACAACGCGCACCTCCTCAGGAAGTTCTTCAATGGCTTCCTGTACGACTGGCTCAGCTTCAGATTCTTCGACGGTAACCGTTGTCTCAGGTGCCTTGTCATCCTCCTCGACAGTTTCGATTTTGGTGACCTCCTGCTTATCACCCTTGACCTTCTTGATGACACGTGTGCGAATCTTCTTCTTTTTGGGCTTGCCGTCTTCAGAGATGGTTTCAACAACGCGCACCTCCTCAGGAAGTTCTTCAATCGCTTCCTGTACGACTGGCTCAGCTTCAGATTCTTCGACGGTAACCGTTGTCTCAGGTGCCTTGTCATCCTCCTCGACAGTTTCGATTTTGGTGACCTCCTGCTTATCACCCTTGACCTTCTTGATGACACGTGTGCGAATCTTCTTCTTCTTGGGCTTGCCGTCTTCAGAGATGGTTTCAACAACGCGCACCTCCTCAGGAAGTTCTTCAATGGCTTCCTGTATCACTGGCTCAGCTTCAGATTCTTCGACAGTAACGGTTGTCTCAGGTTCCTTGTCATCCTCTTCGACAGTTTCGATTTTGGTGACCTCCTGCTTATCACCCTTGACCTTCTTGATGACACGTGTCCGAATCTTCTTCTTCTTGGGCTTGCCGTCTTCAGAGATGGTTTCAACTACGCGCACCTCCTCAGGAAGTTCTTCAATGGCTTCCTGTACGATTGGCTCAGCTTCAGATTCTTCGACAGTAACCGTTGTCTCAGGTGCCTTGTCATCCTCCTCGACAGTTTCGATTTTGGTGACCTCCTGCTTATCACCCTTGACCTTCTTGATGACACGTGTGCGAATCTTCTTCTTCTTGGGCTTGCCGTCGTCAGAGATGGTTTCAACAACGCGCACCTCCTCAGGAAGTTCTTCAATGGCTTCCTGTACGACTGGCTCAGCTTCAGATTCTTCGACGGTAACCGTTGTCTCAGGTGCCTTGTCATCCTCTTCGACAGTTTCGATTTTGGTGACCTCCTGCTTATCACCCCTGACCTTCTTGATGACACGTGTGCGAATCTTCTTCTTCTTAGGCTTGCCGTCTTCAGAGATGGTTTCAAGAACACGCACCTCCTCAGGAAGTTCTTCAATGGCTTCCTGTATCACTGGCTCAGCTTCAGATTCTTCGACGGTAACCGTTGTCTCAGGTGCCTTGTCATCCTCCTCCACAGTTTCGATTTTGGTGACCTCCTGCTTATCACCCTTGACCTTCTTGATGACACGTGTGCGAATCTTCTTCTTCTTGGGCTTGCCGTCTTCAGAGATGGTTTCAACTACGCGCACCTCCTCAGGAAGTTCTTCAATGGCTTCCTGTACGATTGGCTCAGCTTCAGATTCTTCGACAGTAACCGTTGTCTCAGGTGCCTTGTCATCCTCCTCGACAGTTTCGATTTTGGTGACCTCCTGCTTATCACCCTTGACCTTCTTGATGACACGTGTGCGAATCTTCTTCTTCTTGGGCTTGCCGTCTTCAGAGATGGTTTCAACAACGCGCACCTCCTCAGGAAGTTCTTCAATGGCTTCCTGTACGACTGGCTCAGCTTCAGATTCTTCGACGGTAACCGTTGTCTCAGGTGCCTTGTCATCCTCTTCGACAGTTTCGATTTTGGTGACCTCCTGCTTATCACCCTTGACCTTCTTGATGACACGTGTGCGAATCTTCTTCTTCTTAGGCTTGCCGTCTTCAGAGATGGTTTCAAGAACACGCACCTCCTCAGGAAGTTCTTCAATGGCTTCCTGTATCACTGGCTCAGCTTCAGATTCTTCGACAGTAACGGTTGTCTCAGGGGCCTTGTCATCCTCTTCGACAGTTTCGATTTTGGTGACCTCCTGCTTATCACCCTTGACCTTCTTGATGACACGTGTGCGAATCTTCTTCTTCTTGGGCTTGCCGTCTTCAGAGATGGTTTCAACAACGCGCACCTCCTCAGGAAGTTCTTCAATGGCTTCCTGTACGACTGGCTCAGCTTCAGATTCTTCGACGGTAACCGTTGTCTCAGGTGCCTTGTCATCCTCTTCGACAGTTTCGATTTTGGTGACCTCCTGCTTATCACCCTTGACCTTCTTGATGACACGTGTGCGAATCTTCTTCTTCTTAGGCTTGCCGTCTTCAGAGATGGTTTCAAGAACACGCACCTCCTCAGGAAGTTCTTCAATGGCTTCCTGTATCACTGGCTCAGCTTCAGATTCTTCGACAGTAACGGTTGTCTCAGGGGCCTTGTCATCCTCTTCGACAGTTTCGATTTTGGTGACCTCCTGCTTATCACCCTTGACCTTCTTGATGACACGTGTGCGAATCTTCTTCTTTTTGGGCTTGCCGTCTTCAGAGATGGTTTCAACAACGCGCACCTCCTCAGGAAGTTCTTCAATGGCTTCGACCAAATTATCCTTGATTTTAGTCTCTTCGACTGTGATGGTTTTCTTAGGTGCTGTGTTATCCTCCTCGACAGTTGCTATGTTTTCGACAGATTCTTGTTTTAAAGGTTGTGTCTGTGGTTTAGTGTGTGTTGTGTTTGTGGTTTGTTCTGTATCTGTGTAAGAAAGTGTTTTTTAGTATTATGTTTTGTATATTTTGTGCAATATATATGTTCTGTGTAATATGTGTTTTGGGGTTCTGGGGTCCAGTGAAAATAAAGTAATACGCCTTTTTGTTTGGATCTTAAGTTGTACCCTATTGAATACTTACCTCTGATTGGTTTTACCATTTTCTTTGATTTAATTATTTTTTGACTCTCTATTTTAACACATTCCTGAATTTGATGTCTATCAGTGTCATCTTCTCTTAAAAGGGGTTCTGATTGTGTCTCCTTTACAAAGTGTGCAGTTTCAGTCTGTGGTGGAATGTCAGGCGTGGACTCCAATAAAAGGTGTGTTGTTTGTAAAGCGTTTTTTAGGCCTCCGTCTACGAATACAGGGTGTATATTTTCTGTTGTATGTATCTTGACGTCATTTCCTTCTGTGTTGAATGTGTCTAACTGTTCAGTTATGGCTATTGTGTTGGTCGAAAAACTTATTTTTGCTTTCTCATTGTGTTTGTGTTCTTGATTCTTAAAAACATTGACTTTTTCGTGAGCTAGTGTCTGTTCATTTAGATACGTACTTTGGGTGGTAATCGAAGGAAGAGCTTGTTTTTCTTCTACTTGAAAATCGGTCAACTCTTCTATTGTCCCTTTTTCATGTTCCTCATTTATAACAGGTGCAAGACTTTGGTTAACTGGTGCTTTTATAGCTGTCTCTGTAGATTGTGCTACGTACTCCAACAGATTTTCAGCTTCATACGAAAGCTGCTCGCTACATATGATGTTTCTGTGTAAAACCGAATCTGGCACTGCTTTCACCTCCTCACTATGTTTCGCTGGGAGAAGGCCCACAGTTGGCATTGCAAGAACTTCTTCTACAACTGAAACGTTTAATTCAGAAGGTATTGTCGCATCAAATGATGGAACGGAACTATCCGGCTTAAACTCTCCATGACCCTCGATGTTTTCATAGACATTGACAGTGGAACTCTTAACTGGGTTGTAAAGAATGTCTACAGGAGTAGGAGTTGTTTGGATCATATCACTTGGCTGCGTGGCAATATTAGGAGTTTCCTCATATGTGGTTAGCTCCGAAACATCGGTGGCTTCACGAGGTCTTTCCGAAATTATAGTTGCTTTGCGTTCATGAGGAACTTGTAGCTCATAAGTTTCTTGAATGGTGCTCAATCCTACTACCTCCTCAGTTACAAGTGCTTTGAGTTCCTCAGAAGATACTTGAGCTTTATCGTTTCGGACATCGAATTGCGGAAGGATATCCTCTTTAACGAAAGATGATTGTATTGTCGTCACATGGGCTTTGCTTACTTCTGCATCCTTTGAAATCTTTCCAAATGCGTCCTGGTTCTTATTATCTTTCATGTCTTTGGTTTTTTCGTATGCGTTAACTTCAAGAATGGTTTTATGAATGTTGACGTTATCCGATGTTACTTTGGCTTGGAAAGTACCGTCAATAGCATCTGTGGTTATACCTTCCAGCTCCAATGCCAATTGCGTTTCTACAATATGTGATTGGAAAACTCTGTCACTCGTTGCAGAGGTGGCTTGCAATTTGTTGGGCTCTTCGGGTATAAGTGGTATATCGACGTCTTCCAAGGGCACAACTTCGGTTACAAGCATTTCCCGCTGCGTTCCCTCAATGAATGGTTTTCCAAATTGTTCCTTAAGGGTATTTTCTAAAATCTCTTCCTTATGCAAAACAACGTTTTTTGTTTGCACGTGTACTTTATTGGACACTTCCCCTGTGAAAAGCTCCATTTGGGCTTCTTTTACACTGATCTGAAAGTCTTCGATGTGTTCTGAAGACTCGAACGTAAGAACATCAGATATTGTGGTTTCCTGCAGAAGATCGGTCACAGACTTTGCATTTACCTCTACGGGAGCCAACGTCGGAACAGTTGATTCCTTCAAGAATACTTCTGGCTGATCTGATTCCGAAATGGCCTTAAACATTATATCGATTGACTCGGCTGCCCTTAAGCGCTCAATGTCCGGTTTGGCCAGCTCCTCAGACTCCTCTATGCTTTGGACCTCGGAAACATTCACCTCATGCTTTCTATTTTCATAGTTTATCTGAGCTATTTTTTCGACGGGTGTTTTGGTATCCAAATCATCAACCTTTTCCTCTGTCACTGTTTTCATTGTAACTGGCAATCCAAGAAGCGAAGGCTCCGCCTTTGAATTCGCCACAGCAAAGGATTGTTCCGGAGTTATTAGATTTATTTCACTGTCAATTGCTTGCTGTATTTCCGTTGCTTGGACGTGAGCCAATTCATGGGATATTAACGCACTTTGCTCGGGATATTTTTCTGATGGCTGTTGTTTTCCCATGGCTTCATAATAAATAGCTTCTTCGACAAGGTTTGCCTGAAATCTGGGAGTGTCTTCGCCGAGCTTGGCTGTCTGTGCTTCTGTAGCTTCAGCATTAAGACTAGTTTCTGATTCTAATATGCTTTGATCCTGGGCGATTATCGAATGGCTTAGATTATCCTGAACTCTTTGTGCAGTTCGTTGATCACTAGGAACATCTTCTAATAGTTTGGTATCGTCGATTACAATGTTTTCCCTCACAGTCACGTGTTGCTGTGGCACTAGAGATTTTTGAGCCGCAACTGTGTCTGGTCGTAAAGTGTCAATGGTCTTTGAAACCGAATCATAAACAATAACCTCAGAGGATTTCATTTCGTTGAGAATATCTATTTGGTGGGATGCATATTTGTCGGGTACTACGAAGTCAACCACATCCCCAGTGCTTTGGACTTCCTGTATGTCTTCGATGACAGGCAATTTGGCGAGCTCTGAAGTAGTGGTTTTCGCCTGTTCTGATTTTGGCGACGACAGGTTAAGATTTTGTTCAAGCTCGAGTGAATCCTCTTCCCGAACGAGAGCAACAGCTGAAGTAGCGTCCATGGCAACACTTATCAGTTGCTCAGTTGGGTGGGCAACACCTTCCAGTAGGTCCTCTTTTTCAAAAGCTTCAGTTTCGCGAACATCTATTTCGTGGAAGCTACTTATGGTGGGCTGGATTAATGCGGGCTTAGATAATTCAGTGGTCAGGTCTTCAGCACTCTCCAGGACAGCCTGCTCTGAAACGGATGGTTTCGGTAGGAATTCGTTTAGTTTTTCGGAAGCCAGAATCTGAACGGGATGGTCTTGCGTCGTCATTTCCGACGTGCCTTCGCTTACAATGGTCGTGCTGGTATTTAAGGTTGACATTACTTCCACAATTTGCACATTACTGACCGATGACTTTGCTAGCTCGGGTGAGGTGTAATCTTTCAACGCATCTAGGGCTAATACTTCGGCAACATGTGGCAGGTTGATTTCGTTTACGCCTAAATGTGCCTGCAAACTTGGATGCTTTTGCTCGTCGAGCCGTTCCATGGCCTCTAAATGTTCAGCTATCGTAGTGTCGGCCACTTGCAAGGGTCCAGAAGTTCCAATAAACGCATTCTGAAGGGAATATGTGTCTTCTGTGGAAAAGGTCGTGTCCCTCTCCAGGGTCACGCATGTGGTAGTTTCCAATGGTTGCAACAAACCAAAATGCGTTTCTGTTGTCTGCAGCTGGGGCTTCAGTTCTCCCTGGTGATCCTCCACACTTTCTAGTGCAGACTGCTCGCTTACCTTGGTTCCATAATTTTCAGATAAACTTATTTGTGCCAAAACCATTGATGGCTTGCTGTCCTCCTTTTTATCTGATGTGGACTCCATGGATATTACCTCCAGACCAGTCGCGTGCTTCAGAGTTTCGGGAACTAGTTGGGGCTTAGAAAGCTGTTGTTGTGGAAGCTTATCCAGCAGCTCCGTGCTGGACTCTGTGATCTGCACGTTAGTTACCTCCAAAGACTGTTGCTTTTCATCCAAGGTAACAGTTCCTGTTTTTTGTTCAGGCTGTAGACTTGGTTCCAGGGGACCACTGCTCTCCATTACATCTGGCCGGCTGGAAACTCCAATCGGCATAGTTTCAAAGGCCCGAACCGCCGACTCAGGTTTAGTGGCATCTTCTAGGACTTCACCTGAGCTTATTCCTGGCTGAACCTCAAACACGCTGCTAGCCTTGAGTTCCGCAGAGACAATTCTTTCTGTGGCCAACTGTTCTGCTTGTGGAGTAGCTGCCTGTAAGGCCGATTCGTTTTCTGCCATGGTAAGCTGTTCAATATTCAACGCAGTCTGTTCCACAAAATCAATCTTTGCATCCTCAAACTTCGGCAAATCGGTGACAATATCTTTTTCGGTTTCAATGACTAATGGGGCTTGAATCTGTGCCACTATTTCGCCACCAACTATGTTAATTTTTCCGTGCTCCGTCTGGCGATCTTCATCAGCCACGATACCGATAGCGTCGAATTGGGGTTCTTGGGCGCTCTCCGCGGTTCCATAAGCCTGGGTAAAGGCTCTTTTGGCTGGTTTGGCCAATTCAACTAAAGGTTCCGTAATGTCTTGCGCTGATTCTGCCAAGTTAGTTTCCTGAGTTTCGCCAATAGTTAAAGTACTTGATTGGGTCACAGTTCCCTCAACCATTTTGGGGGCATTGATGTCTGGGAGATCCTTTAAGGCTCCTTCGCTCGGCACGGTTTCATAAGTAGTGACATGGAATTGTGTCTGAATTTCCGGGATGGCCTCCCTGATGTCTTTTTCGAACTTGGGTATGTTTTCTTCACTGGGGCTCTGAGAGTCTGCAGTAGTATTGATCACGCCCTCGACTAGTACCAACTGCTGCGTTGCTTTAGTTTTGGCCATAAGTGGCTTGCTAACTTCCCTGTCTGATAGACTTTCAAAGGGTTCCGTTTCCTGCATCACGATTGGAATATCCTCGGGATTGAGGGTCACTTCTGCTTTGGACTTTGTGGGCTGGGAATCTGTTTGCAACAAATCCACTGTGTCCAACAGTTCCGAAGCACTTGTGCTCACGGCTTTGTGTTCAATCACAGATGTGGTAGAGCTCTCAGTGCGAATATGGCTGGGTAATGAAAGTTCTCCCAGTGAGTCCTCGGGGTGGCACTCGCTAATGTCGACTCCTTGATTGGCCATAATGCTGGGAGAAACTTTCTCGCTTTCAGGTTTCTCCTGCCTTACTTCCGGACCGATCGTTTCGTCGGTGACAGCTTCTGTGATAATGACCCCCTCCTGGTGCAGCAGTGTTGATCGAGCTGTTTCCTCAATCACCTTACTTTGTTTTAACTGTTCAATGGTGTCCAAAGATGACTGTTGTTCTTTCGTCAGCTCTTGGAGCAACTCAATGTCTCCGTGAGCCTTTTGGGCATCGAGTTTAAAAGGCTGCACTTCCTCGGTTGTTTCCTCAGTGCTTGGAGCTTCAACCAACAAGGGACGTCTCTCCTTTTGCGTCCGCTGAGCCTTAACTGATTTGGGGATCTTGGAAGGCTTCAATGCTTGAGGTGCCTCCCCAGCCTCTGTTTCGACTATGTCCACAGCATGTTTTGGCCTAACTTCCACCTGTGCATGGAGCCTATTCTCTTGCGGGGTGGGGGCATCCTTGCGCAATGCCACCTTGTCAAGGACCAGACACTCCTCACGAATGGGCAATACCTTCTGGGGCAGAATTTCATCCTGCACCTGAGCTGGAAACGCTTTGGGTGTAGAGAGTTCTGTGGTGACTGCGACTGCAATGGTTTCGACCGTGTCCTTTGGTAAGTTTTGCAAGGTTAGTGTCTCGAATGTGGGCAGGTGCTCGTCAATCTGATCGAGAGTTTCTGCCTGCGGTGATCCTGTGCTTGTTTCGTGGGCCAGTGTTTCACTGTGTTCGTATTGATCGGAAATGGAGTCGCCAATATCCAGTTCCTGGGTTTCGAGTTGTGTGTGTTGCCTACGCTTTTTGGTTTTCGTTTTCGTTAACAATATTTGTTGAGACTGACTTTGTATCTGCACTTGTTCTTGTTTGACGTGTGCTTGCACGTGTTCTTGTTGCTGTATGAATTGTTTTTCCACCTTAGTGGTTGCTGTTTCTGTGAATGTAATGCAATTAAATAATGACAATGTCGCCCTTCTTGGTGTTGCTATAAAAACAATACACTAACGATGATATCAACTAAATACGCTAAGCCGTGCGAGCGTCGTTCGTTAGTATTCATAAAGCGAGCTTTGTAGCGAAATGAGTTGCACAAGAAACTGTACTATTTACAGATGGTAATGTTTGGCCGCAGTCTGTGTGCACTTAACGATAATGTCTGGAAATTCAGTGCACTATCGAAATTTAAAATATACCTTACCTCAGTTCAGTCATCGGGGAAGTCGTCCTATTTGGCGTGCAAAGGAAGAAAGCGCTTCTACTCTTGAAAACGAATGCGTATTGCAAAAGCATTAAAGTAAGCGAAAGTCAAAATAGTTACAGCTTATATGGTATATAACGGCAGCAAGATAATTAACTAATAAATTTGTGGCGGTGATTAGCTGTTAATGGGTGATTTTATTACTCAGTGGCGTCTTTTTAGAATATACACATGATTGGTTTTGTTTGACTTGACATTATTTAATTGTTATATTTGTAAAGACAATATTTATTATTGTTTTTGCTGTCTATTCTTTTTAATATTAATTAGATTGTAGTTGAGTAGTTCGTGGGATGGATACTGGATACATCGTTACTGGTGGGATATTTAGAACTGTGGTGGTTTGTTTTTATTACAGATCGTCTGTGTTTATGTGCAAACCTTCTTGGACAATTATTGTTCGCTCCTCGACAAATGTTTCCTCTGGCGATTGGCAATTGGCGATTGGCGATATGGGTAGCGGGACGCAAAGCGTAGGTAAGTTTTGCAAGCAGATTTACATGTTAAAATAAGAGATAAATATATAAAAATAGTTTTGTTAGAAAGCTGGGGCGTCAAGTATTTATCCGGCTTATTGGCTTCTCTGCAACTCACCTATTTTTACATGGGTTATAGCCTCGTGACTCTCGATTATCTGCGAAGTCTCTACTATTCTCTAGATTTCATTGAACCAAGTAAATAAAAACGTGGGAAAATTGTAAATACTTTATATTACTACCCATTTCTCTGAATTTGTAAAACTTGTATAACTGCAGTTGAAATGCATAGTTTCGTATGTATTTCAGCTGGCTACAAAGACTGTGTACAAAACAAACAACACAAAACTACATTGAAAAGAATTCAAACCTCCTTTCCGCAAATCTTCCAGTCCTGCGATATGAAGTCCTCCCTAACAAACTTTCGTATGACGATCTCAATCGTAATCTCGTACGTCTGAATCATGCGTATGAACGCCTTGAAGCCCACTGTGGCCGCCAGGATGGTCTCGTCCTCGTTCGAGGACTCTGTCAGTATTTGGGAGATGAGTTCTTCGTGGCCTTCCCGCTCCACGAGTTGCACCAGAGCCGCTTGAGACTCGGGCTTTTTCAGGGAAATAAAGATGTTGTGCTCGTACATGTACGTGATCTCGTAGTACTCGCAGCCGTAGCGCAGCAGTAGGCCGATCGTGGCCAAATCCCGGAGTGCGGCCTCGCCACTCTGGCCAAAGGACTCGGCTTCGATGGACTCCAGCAACCACTGGACCTCCTCATGATGGGAAATCACTTGGATGTCCTCGACGGTTATGGTCTTCTGGGTGATCTTTGTGCGAATTAGCTCCACTGTTTTGGTCAGCTCTATTCTCTGGCTGGATGTATAGGATGTTTTCTGTTCCTCCTTAACCTCGACCTCCACCTCAGACTCGTCTATTTTCACTTCCTTCTCTTCCACCTCTATCTCCTCTTCTTCGATTTCTTCCACTTCTTCTATAATCTGGCTACGCCTTTCTGCGTCTGCGATTCTTCGGTCTTTCACCTCCATCACCTCGGAGACTTCACTCTTCTCAACGAGAATGGAGACCGGCTGCTTCACTTTGATCACATTCATGGTGGTTTCTGTGGTGCTAGACGGCACTATCCGGATCTCAGTCCTCTGCTCCGAGGCACCGGATCGCTTCGTTGTGGCTTTCTTGGCCGCCTTCTTTTTAACGGTTGTCTTAGTCTTCGTCTTCTCAACTTCCTCGACTATGGTGGCTGTGGAGGATATGTCAAACTTGGCCCGCGTCATGGTCATCCCGATCTCATTAATAAGCTTGCAGTTGTAGTACCCGCAGTCTTCGTATGTAATATTAAGGATTTCTAGCGTTGCTTCCTGTTCCTGCACTACCATGCGATACTTCTCGGATGCCCTAAGCTGAACGTTGTTGAAATACCATTGAACATCTGTATAGCCAAGGGATTAAAAACCAAGCTGCATCAACTGCACCCCATGAAAATATATATTTCCCAGAAATACCATACCTGGCACAGGATTGCCTGCAAACTGAACCGAGAACTTTGCTGTTTCGCCTAAGGCAGCACGGCAGTCACGCATTTCGTTTAGTAGTGATGGCGAGCATTTAGCAGCTATAAGCACAGAGATGGCACAAATCTATGGATTAGACTCTACCCGAACAATCTAGAAGCGGGTGGGGTGCGTGTTCTTCTGTGTACTTACACGGAACGGTCAGTTTTTGGTGTCTTGTAAAAATGTAGTTCTGAAGTATTCTGAACACAATAACAACATGTAAGCCAGTTAGTTTCATGCAAACGGGAGGCAAGTGTTGTTGATTGTTGAGCAAGCTGCGTTCTGGGAATGTTATAAAATTTCTTTGGATTGAATTGAACACTTCAATAAACTTATTTCTTTCGGGGTTAGTTAAATTTTGAATAAATGCTGTTGGAAAAAGACCAATTACTTGCAGATGATTCCTCGTACATAAATTTGATATGAGAAAAGTATAAAGATAATATTTTTTTTTATAATAATCACAGTTTGGCGTTTACTTTTTGAAAAAAATTTGGGTAAGACGGGTAGGGGTTGTTGGGGGTTGGTGGGGTCAAGCCTTAGAGCTGTATGGGACTGAGACAATCACAAAGCCACGTTTTCACTGGGGAGGGCACTTCACAGGTTTTAATATTTTCTTGTTTGTACGATACAGTGTATAATACATGGACAAATACAAAAAGACAGACAGTAGAAGACAGAGGACAGACTTTGTGAATTGTTGTAGTTGGGGGTTTTAAGACAGAGGCACAGAAGACAATTTTGTGTTGGTGAAACACGAAATTAAAACACATATACACATAACAGTGGTAACAGAGCTGGGATTAGTCGGTAATACATACCTTTGAGGGCCACCTGCATCTCCTCCATGTGAGTCACCCATTCCGGCTTGCGGTAGTCCTTCGATCCAACGATGCCTTTACGTACGGATGCGGACATGGTAAAAGGTAGTAAATGAGATAGGTTATTAAATGGCATAATGGTATACAAAAATGTCCTGAAAAAATCGTTTATAGTTCTATAGCTAAATCGTGTTGCCCTCTAAGAGCGTTGTGTATATCTCTGAAAGTGTTTAAACTCTTTGTGTAAGTGTGGATTGGGGATTGGATATAATAAATTGGGATTGGAATCGGGAAAATTTCATAAAATGCAGCTGAAGAGATCTGAAAAATAATTTTACTGACATTTCCAAAAGAAGTTCGCTTATATTACAGGGTGCACGGTATGCAGGATAAACCATTAAAGTACCTTCGACCGCGAAGAGTGCCGTTGTCACTGCCACGCCCAGTGGATTGTACGCCTCAAAACTAATTGTACCCAAATCATCGGGATAGACGTGATTAATGACGAGCACTGAGGTGCCGTCTTCGAAGTTTTCGATCTGATACTCCTCGGAGGCGAATATCTGCTCGTCGTCGCGCAGCCATTTGACCTTCGGTTTCGGTTTTCCAATGACCTTAACCTCCAGCTTCGCCTGCTCACCTTCTTTGGGCTCGATTTTCTCAGGTAGTTTCTTAATTATTTTCGGTGCTTGTTCGTCGATCGAGAGGGTCTAGAATAGTGGCGTTACGACATGTGTATAATTAGCGAAAGGGTCCCAGAAGGTTATCGCAATCACAACAATAAAGCTTACTCTATCAAGGAGATCCTCTTCAGATCCTGTGAGTCCAGTGATTTCAGAATCGGGGATATATTCAAATGCTAAAAAATACACCATCGAAAGCGTTATCATTAAAAAGTGTCTCCACGAAGGAAGCTCAACGGATGTAACGAACTCAAAAACGGAAAATTATTTACAAAAGGAAGTGGGTTCTTAGGGGAATCGGATAAACAGAAAGAAGAGTGTTTTATGTACTTGATAGATAGAAGGAGAACCGCATGCAGGCGGGCTTTATAAGCCAGTTAGTAAAAATAGGGTATTTTTTTTGGGAAAACAGTGTAGTTATGGGAAAACCTATGCAGGCGTCGGATGCATGTAGTATGTTGAATGGCACTACTTCCAGCTGGTTAACTATTTAACTACCGATAGATACTATCACAAGTACCTTGTATGTTAACGTTTGTTTGGGTCACGCTCTTGCCAATCTTGTTGGTGGCCACACACTTGTATTGGCCTTGGTTTTCGGGGAACACTTCCGTAATCTGCAGCTGGCAAATGCCTTGCAAGTCCTGCGATATCGTAGTTTCCTTGTTCTCTGTGATTTTCTCCTCGTTGTGGAACCACTCCACTTTGGGTGTGGGTTTGCCAGTCACCTGGCAGGTCAGCAGCAGTGCCTCGCCATCCATGACCTCCACGGGCTCGAGCAGCTCTTCTATAAAGCGGGGGGATTCGAACTCTACCGCCTCCTCTTGAGGCATGGCTTCCAGCAAGTTGACGGTGGCGGTCGATGTCACTGAGCCGCCCACGTTCTCGGCCCGACATGTGAAGGGTCCGGCGAATTGCTTCTGGAAGTCTTCAATCAGCAGCGTTGACTTATTGGCCTGGCTAACGATGCGCACCTCGTTGGAGCTCTTGATGGGCTCATTGTGCACAAACCACTGGAATGACGACAGAGGCTCCGACTCCACCACCGCCTCTAGAATAGCCACCTCGTGCTCCCCAATGAATTTGGGTTCCAGCGGCTGGATAAAGCGCGGTGGCTTGATTTGCTGATCGGGCTTCTGATCTGAGACCACCACCGATCCAGAAGACTTGGCTTCGCCCACCTTGTTCTTGGCCCAGACTTCGTATTTTCCAGTACGCTTGCGCGTCATATTAATGACCCTAATAGTGGTCGTTGTTTCGGTGGTTTCTACAACAATCTCCTCATTCTCCACGATCTCCCGGCCGTTGCGCATCCACTTGATCTCTGGCCTGGGGATACCATCGTACTTGGCCTCGAAGAAGAGGGTGCCTCCTGTCGGAACGACAACGGCGTTCAACGGCGACACAGTCGGTGCCTTGAGAATTTCTTTGGGCACTTCATCCACACGGCTCATGATATTGGCATTGCCGATGGCGCGACCAAACTGGTTCTGTGCCTGCACAGAATAGACGACAGCCTCGTTGGGAGTGGGATTTATCACCTCCAAAGCCACGTCGCCGGTCGTCTCGTCGTAGAAAATTTGAACATTCTCGGTGGGAATGACCTGCTCGGTACCTCTGTACCAATTGATCTTCGGTTGCGGCTTGCCCGCCACCTGACAGGTCACCGTAACCTTAAGGCGCTCGGGCGTCTTTTCCTCTGTGAACTCTATCTTGAGGGGCTTGGTAAACTGAGGTGCCACTCCTTGTTCTTTTTCTGTATTCAATGCGAATAAATTGTTTTTAAAATTTGTGTCTTTTGGTACGGGAACGAGGTTATGTACAAGGGTTGATTGTTTCGGGATTCGTTAATCATGAAAAATGTTACTTCAAAGAACTTTTAAAACAGCTCAAAAAGAAGATGTTTTGATTAAAGGTGAGCCCAATATTACGGGGTTTCCCATAAGGGTAGGGCTTCTGTATTTCTTGATCAGTATTTTGTTTTCTAGAATTAATTTGTCTCTTATAGTCTATTTGAGTACAAATTAATTCTTGAAAACCTTTAAAATTCAAAACTAGAATACATAACATCCTATGGTAACACTTACCTAAAATAATGTTGGTACGACTTGTTGCCACTCCAGCCTCGTTCCTGGCCTCACATGTGTAGACACCCACATCGCTGGGCGTTACCTTGGCAATCTTCAGCTTAGCCACCTGCTCCACGACCGTGATCTCGTACTTCTCCGAAGCAAAAAGCAAGATATCGTTAAAGTACCAGTTGATTTCGGGGAAGGGAACACCCTCCACCTTGCACTCAAGCACTGTTGGCTCGTCTGGAACGCATTGTCTGGGTCGCAGCTTCTCTGTGATCCTCGGGGGCTTGATCTCCTTCTTCTTTTTCCTGACGAGCTTGCGCTCCTGGCCTATCACCTCGGAGGTTGTCGTTTCCTCCTGGTTCTGGGTCAGCTGTTGATCCTCGATAAGCTCCTCATCGGCCACCTTATCGATGCCCTCCTGGACGCGCTTCTGGGTGATCAGTTCCAGCTCCGGCAGCGGTTGGCTGTCATCTAGGACAACGCGACGTTTCTCCTTCTTGATAATATTCGATGTGACCTTCATTTCGAGGTCTCGTCGAACGTCCTCTACATCCAGCTCGATGAGCTGCTCAGTCGTGATGAATTGAGGGCGTGTGTCTTCAGTCTTTTTGAGTAAGGTAATAGTCTTTTGTGAGATCTCCTGAGATATTTCGTCCACCTTTTCGATTTCCACAATGGCCGCCTCCAGCAGCTGGGGCTGGCCTTCAACAGCGGCCTCTTTAAGTTTCTTCGTGCGTTTCTTGTGTGCCTTCTGCTTTGTTTCGGGGGCTTCCTCCGTAGGTACAACTTCCTCCTCCGGCAGAACGTCTTCCGAGACTGCCACCACCTTGACCTCGTCAACTGGCAGCTCCTCAACCTCATCCTCTTCCGCGATGGGCTCGTCGAAAGGCTCAGCCACTTCTTCCGAAACTTCGTCTACGGATGGCGTAGCCTTCTTTAGCTTTGGTTTCTTCTTCTTTTCCTTTTTGGTCTTCGGCTCCTTCTGCTGCTTTTCTTCTGGCAGCTTGAGTGGCTCCAGTTCCAGTTCTTCCTCTTCGCTGACGGGCTTTTCCTCTGGCGTCAGTTTTGGACCAGGAATAGTCTTCTCTGGCTTCAATGGCGTTTCCACTGGCTTGGCCGGAATCGGTTTAAGCTGTACCTCTTCGGGCTGTTCTTCGGGCAAAGGCCGGCGCTTTCCAGTGGGCATCTGCCTTTCCTCCAAGACTTCTTCCACAGGCTTTTTCTTTTCGCCACGTTTCCAGGGCACTTGAGGTTGCTCCTCTTGGGGCTTGGGCTCCTTTTCGATTTCGATGTGCTCTGCCTCTTCCAGTTGGGTCGGTTCTGCGTCGGGAATTTCGGGCAGATCTTCATGTTTAGGTTTCTTTACCTTCTTCGTTTTGCGCTTCTCCTCTTGCACAATTTCCTCATCCGTTTTCTCCACATGCTGCAGTTCCACTTCCTCCAGCTTAACTTCTTCCGGTTTAATGGATGTGCGTTGTGCCGGCTTCAGGCGAACTTCTTCGATGGTGGCTTCCTGAGGCAGCTCCTTCTTTGGACGGGTGACCTTCTTGAGTGTCACCTCCTCCACCTTCTCGACGATTTCTTCCTTCCTTGCCTTTGGCTTAGGCGCCGGTTTTGGTTCTGGTACGGCTTCCTCTTGAGGTTGCTCCTCCACAATTTCTTCGACCGGCTGCTCTTCCTCCGGCTGAGGCTGGGTTTCTTCAAATTCTTCCTCATCTTCCACCGGCTCATCAACCGATTCCTCTGTAGGAGTCTTTGTCTTGGGCTTCTTCTTCTTAACGCGCTTCTTGGTCACGTCCACAATTTGGTCCTCAGTGGTAATAACGGTCTCTTTCACTTCGAAGTCGGTTTTTGGTGTTTCAGATTGCTCTGGTTCCGAAACAAACGCCGTCTTTTTCACTGGCTTCAATGACACCTCCTCCACTTGTTCCTTTTCTGGCAAGGGGCGCTGCTTTCTGGGAGCAGGCTTAAGTGTTACCTTCTCCACCTGTTCAACCTCCTGGATCTTGGGAGCAGGCTTAGGCTTTTTGGGCTCTTCGACAACAGGCTGTTCCGTTTCTTCAAGCTCTTCCACCTCGGGCTCTTCAACCTCTTCCGGTTGTTCTTCCAGGTGTTCTTCCTGTTCCTCCTCCGTTACCACCTTCTTCTTAGGTTTCTTGACCTTCTTTGTTTTGCGCTTCTCCTCCACAACTTCTGTTTCCAAGGATTCAGTTGGCTCATCGACAGGCACCTCTTCCTGAGGAACTTCTTCCAGTTCTTCGGGCTGTTCTTCCACAACCTCTTGCTGTATCTGTTTCTTTGGCTTCACGGTCTTCTTCACTTTACGTTTCTCTTCTCGAACTTCTTCCTGTTCTTCGATGACTTCGGCCACATCCTCCTGAGGATATTCCTCCTCTGGTTGTTCTTGAGCAATTTCTTCAGCTGTTTCCGCCTCTTTTGGCTTCTTAACCTTTTTAACCCTTCGCTTGCGTTCAACCTGCTCTTCTTCGGTGACTGCTTCAATTTGGGCATCAACCTCGTCGGGATGCTGTTCCTCAACAGGCTCTGGCTTAGGAATCTTTTTCTTGCCTCGCTGCCACATGACGGGCTCTGGCTTCTCTTCCACCTTGGGCTCTTCGGGCAAAACATCGACAGCTTCTTCATAGGTCTTGACTGGAACATCTTCAACCTTCTCCTCGACTACTTCCTGAGACTGGGGCTTCTTTTTCTTACCGCGTTCCCACATTACTGGTTGCGGTTGTGGCTCCACTGGATTAATCACCTCTTCTTCCAAAGTGTCAGCCACAACTTCAAGGGTTTTTGGAACTTCTTGAACCTCTGGCTTTTCTGGTTTCTTCTTTTGGCCACGCACCCATGCAACAGGCTGCGGCTGCGGTTCTACAGGCTTCGGAACCTCCTCGTCGAGGGTGTCTTCCGCCACCTCAAGCGTTTTGGGAGTCTCCGACACTTGTTCTTCGGCCTTTTGAGGCTTCTTTTTGCCCCGTTCCCACATAACGGGCTGAGGCTGCAGTTGCTCCTCCTTCTGGGGCACAGATTCTTCAGGCAACTCGTCGACTGCTTCTTCGAATGCCTTCTGGAGCGGCTGTTCAACGGGTTGTTGAACAGGTTTGGTGGATTTAAGGGGTTTCAGCTGGAACTCCTCACTCTTCTGCGCTTGTTTTGGCTGCGGGCGAGGCGTAGGCTTCAGCGTGACTTGCTCCACCTTTTCCTCTTGCGGACGTGGAGGAATCACACGGCGAACCGAAGTCTTGCTGGTTTCCTCTACCCTCTGCTGTTCAATAACCTGGGTGGTTTGCTGCTCCAAAACTTCCTGGGTTGCCACAGACTGCTCTTGGACCAGCTTTTTCTTTCCGCGCTCCCACAGCACCGGCACCTGGTCGGGTTGCTGAACGGGAGTGGGTTCTTCAAGTACGTCATGTGCTTCTTCGAAGGTCTTCTGTTCTGGTTGGGCCTGGGGTTTCTTCTTTCCGCGCTCCCACAAGACCGGAACAGGCTCTGGCTGCGGCGCTGGGGTAGGCTCCACAAGTTCGTCATGCATTTCCTCGTACGTTTTGGGCTTTTCCACATACTGATCCTGGACGGGAGCTAGTGGCTGCTCGTAAGGTTGTGGCTGTTCCGGCTTCTTTCGGCCACGGTCCCACATCACCGGCTGTTGCTGCAGAAGCTGCTGCTCCTGCGTGTCCTGACGTTCCTGAAGATGCAATAGCGACGAATCTTCGACCTGAATGAACTTCTGGGCCTCCCTTTGTTGCCGCCAGTTGAAGGCCTCCTGTTGGGTGCGCTGGTTGATGACCTTTTGGTGCTCGTACTGCTCGAGGCTCATCATCTGCGAATCTTCGATCTGCACGAACTGCTGGCGCTGCGCCTCCTCGATAAGGCTCTGTTGTTGCAGCAGTTTCTGCCTCTCGATAGTTTGGGATGAAACGGTATCCTCCACGGAGGTGAGAGGCTGTAACTGAGGACGCTGTTGTTGCTGCCTCCAATTAACAGCCTGTTGTTCGCGAAGGAGCCTCTGTGCTTCCAGTTTCTCACGCTCCGAAACGTGCATAATGTTAACGTCCTCGGTGGTAATAAACTGTTGCTTGTAAAGGTTCGACTGGTCCTCATATTGCTGCAGCTCGTCGCGACGCAGCACCTTGGAGATGGAACCCTTGGAGCTCTCATCGACCTGGACGACAGTTTCTTCCAGAGTGCCGGTTTGGTACTCCTCAGTAATGGCCTGCTGGGCCTGCAAATGACGCAGCTCCACCTCCTCGATCTTGAACTTGTCGATCTGCTTGGTGACCCGCTGGACGCTCTTGAGCTGCTGGCGCATCTCCTTCCACGGAATGAGGTCCTTGTTGTTCTGCTGCTGGGTGATTAGCTTGTCAATCTGGTCGGTCATTTCCATAATCTCAACACTCTCCATGCTCTTGAGGCGCTGGATCTCCTTGGTGCGCTGTGCCTGGTCCACCTGTGCCTGCTGAGGTAGCTGTTCGTCGGTCTCGATTTGTCCTTCCAAGGGACGCAGGTACACTTCGTCCAAATCGAACTTGTTCAGTTGTTCCTGAACGCTCTCCACCGCCTTCAGCTTCTCCCGCATAGTTATCCAAGGCACAGCCTCCTTTTCAGTCTTTCCAGCAATGATTTGCTCCAGAGTAGCACCCAGGCTCATAATTCCTTGGTCGCGTTCACTCTTGATGGATTTCAGAACCACCGTCGCTGCTTCCAGCTTGGGCGTGGGCTTCTTCTTTTCAATGGGCGTGGCCTTCAGACTAATGGTCTCCTCGGTCCACGACTTCACTGGCTCGGGCTTAAAGCCCGGCAGGAAAGGCTGCTTGTCCAGGGAGCGGCCGCGATCTGGACGCGATGCCTTGCGCCATGGAATCACTTTGGTGGGTGGTTGCAGGGACTTGCTGCGCACCTTCGGTTTCTTGGTGCGCGATCTTCCCTGGTGTTGGCCCGCCTGCCCATTGACACCCAGGAACTGGCCAAATTGCTGACCACCAGGCTGCTGGCCAGGTTGGAAAGCACCCGGCGACTCCGGGCCGCTCTCCCGGCCAGAAGACGAGGACTCATCCTCGGCGGAATCAATCGTTCGCAATTGATAGGCCGAGATGCGTCGTTCTAAGGGAGAACAAAGGAAGCACCATTAGGATTCCATCAGAATCTAAGAAGGACTAAGGACATCCAGAGTTCGAAGGGGATCGTGGCATTAAAACTGGCTCATTTATATAACACTTACCTTGCAATTCTCGCTTGCTTGGGATTTTAAAAATAAATCATAAATCTTTGGCATGTGCAAACAACGAATTTAAATACTCAAGCAGCATATTCGGGCAGGCAGATAAAATAATGTAAGATGAATTATGATTTTTGATACATATGCAGATTTTATTTAAAATACTGTGTGTATTAATATTCTCTGAAGACCCAACCACGACAATTTATTACATGAACGATTTTATATTTACCGAAAAGTATTTATATTATAGTTTTCGGTATAAATGATACATTGCAAGTATCTATTAACAAGTAATCTTTCAATACTCATAGATATAAGATCTAAAAGATCCATCAATCAGTCACTTACCTGCAACATCATATAGTTCTTTCGAAACAGTATTAAAAATAAATCAACTCATTGGCAGATGCGAACAATGAACTTGAATATTTTATAATTAGTTTTCCGAATGTCAGAGCATAATTTCGTGTCAGAAGCAATAAATAAGCCTTCCCAACGGCAGCAGGCTCATCGAGGAAACCCAAAACCTGCGATTCGAGTTCTTTCGATGGTATTTGTGGACCACAAATCATATCTGCTTAGCTGACACCTCATTGTCGGTGACCGTGAATAGAGCATAAATCGGATTTGGGGCCCTAGGTCAGTACATATTTTTGATAATTGGCATTGATAAAAATAGGTGGGCATAGTCAGTGGTCGGCGGAGTGAGTCCGCGTTCTATCTACGAGTCGTGATTCACTAATCGGGTGTGACGAGTCCACTTGGGGATGATTAAAACTGCATTAACCTGCGCCCAAATCTGGCGCATTACGGTGACAGCAGTTGGGCAAGCAGATCCGTGACGGATGGTGACATTCGTTTGACTTCAACCCATCATCATCGTAATCATCGTCATACCCATTAGTGGCTGGGAAGGGGAGGGACGCCGGCCAGCACTTGCCCGTGCCGTACAATTGAGAGCGAACAATTCAAATGCCTGTGTATACATTAAGGCCGAAAATAGAAATCTGATTAGTGGCCGGTACGTCACCAGGTGGAACTGAGTCTAAGAATCGGCACTTTTTAAAGAGCAACAGCAGGGGCAGCCGCAGCCGCAGCAGCACCAGCGCTACAACCGATTTATGGGCGGGGTGTGTCTGCGGATATATTTTCAGTGCCCAGAGCGCAGTGCGGCGCACTCCACCGGGCTCATTCGGACGTAGGCAACAGAAAAGAACAGTTGAAAAGGTGGAGCTCAGTTTCATCGGTCGTTTACGGGGCGTATACTCAATGCCGCGGAAAGTGCATCAATCATCCTCCTGCCACACTTACCTGTGCCTTCTACCTGGTCTCTCTGGAGGGCTTTTGGAAAAGTAACAAGCAACACAGCGGTGCAGCGTTTCAGCGGTAGCAGCTTTTTTGGCAGTTATTAAAAACAGATTTCCAATTGTTATGCATTTGCTTTGATTTATTTATAGACGCGCTATTGGATTTAAGTATTAAATACATGAGAGGTACAATTAAACAACAAAAATAGTGTTCGCGAGTGTGTGTATATCAATGGAGAAAGAAATTAATCAAAGTTTAATGTCATCGTAAACTAATCGAACACTGACACACAAATCGGGTATAAAAATATTGAGTAAACATAAACATAAGTTGAGAGACTGGCAAATTGGTTCGAAATAGTATCTTAATACAGTGGATAAACTTAAATCGAAAGTCGCATGAGTTTTTATGATTAATTTTTTAGTAAAGCTTATCGCCACAGAACAGAAGAAAGAACATTTAACAAAAAAAAGTCAACAAATCAAGCGGCAAGTTCTTGAATCGATTTTGAATTTTGAAGATTCGTTTGTTCTTTGTTTTGATATTTTTTTTTACACAAAATGGATGATTGGTAGTGGACGAGAGTGTGTGACAAACAAAATGGTAACGAAACGAATTAGTAATAAGAAGCAGTAATAAAAAATGAACTATAAAATCTCATGCAACATCACTACAAAATAAATAAATTTCAATTAATTAAACAATACAAAATCATCGTCATCATAGCATTGCTATCATCAACATATCATTATTATCATCATCATTGATGGACCTCCGGAGATGGAACTGCAAAGTCAGTTCGTGGATTCTGGTAAATGTACGTAAGAATAGGTTTGCTAAATTCCTATCGAGACTCTAACATGGATTTCTTTTCAGGCCTAAAGAGGACTAAGGAGGATCAGACATCGCATCAAAAACACAATCCGTGTCGGCCTGGCCACTAAAAATATAAATCTGATGGGAAGAACATGAATCACCGTGTACCGAGACTCGATGACTGAACAGCCGTAACTGATTAATCTAATTAAATTCGTTTCTGCACCATAAACAGAATCATCAATTCATGTTCTTGGGTAATGACCAGGTCTATGAGTTGGCCAACTGACATTGCTATATCTGAATGATCCACCTTATAGACAGCCTTAGCAGCAGCACCAACATCGAAGAAAAAACGAAAACAGCATAGGTAATTTATAATTCATTTCATTTTAAAAACTAAATATCCCCCAGCCAAATATATTTGTTTTGGCTTTCGGTTTTCGTTCTGTTGTTTTCGTTTTATTGAAAGAAAATTGAAATAAATTTCAAGATTTACTTGAGAAAATACATAAATGTTTTTCATTGTAGCAGAAAACGCTGAAAACCAGAAATCCAGACAGCAGCGCCTGACTAAAAATAGCGAAACGGATTTTTTAACGCTAATCTATTGGAAATTAGTTCTCGAAAGCAAAACATTCTCCAAAAGAAATTGAAAATAGAACCCCCGCTGGGCAGAGTGGCGGCGTCGTACATATGTCTTGACTATATCTATATTCGTATCGGAATAGGGTGGCAGCTGAAAGCCCACGGCTGAACGGCTTTCGATATTTTCAGTTCGTGCTAGTTTTTGCGCACGTTCATGTTGGAAATGTGTATCTGGCAGATACAAGATACGCGCACCGGCGGTGCTGCCGGCGGTGTGTGTGCGCTAGATGTGTCATCCATAATATTTTATGCTAATATTCAAATGAAAAATAAAACTTTCACGCTCGAGCGGAGGCGGGACAAATGTGCGTTTTGCACACGGCCCCAAAACTATCGACTCATAGACGGGAACATAGTATATCCATCTATATGTATATATACACGTATCTACGGACGGATACTGAAGAAAATATTATGTATTCTTTAAGTGGCCTGTTTGCTCTAAATGCTGAGTGGTCGTTTGGAAGGTACATAGGCTGCCTTATTTATAACTCAACTCAACGGGGCTAGAGATCTCCTATATACCTCCTATGTATATATCCTATCCTCCTATTTGGGTTTGACTCATTCCTGATTTCACTCAACTCGCTGGGGATCTTTTGAAATATTTTCGAACTCAAAACTGAAATGGTCTGTCTTCATATTGTTGCTGTTGCTATCTTGGCCGTGCCAGAAAGAAAAATGGTCTATAAATATTTATGTTGCAAAATACTTGTAATTATTTTTATTATTTTTCAATTCAAATATCTTAAATTTTTTTTGTGTCTTGTTTCCTTTTTGGTTACTTTTCGTGTTAGACATCTTTGATAAAATATTTTTTTGTTCCATTTTTGGTGGTTGACATTTTGCAATTGTTAGTAGAAATAACTCGTTCGTTTAAAAGATTAGAAAAGAATCCATGTTGAAAGTCTCGACATATTCGCATTAAAATATTCTTCTTCACTCTGACATTTACGACTAGTAGTTGATCATATATATAGGTAGGTATTAGGGTAGTAGTAACTGTTCTCAATACGTCCGTAACTCGGGGATTCGTTCCGTCCGTATTGGGTATTAATAGTCGGTCCTTTTTTTTTTTACATTTTTTGATTGTTTTTTTGAGCATTCTTTGGGGTTTACTGTTTTGTGTTGATGTTGGTTGGTTTGTTTGAACTCGGTTCGCTTACGTTTGGTTTTGCATGATTTTCGAACTCTGGTTTCGGTTTGTTTGGCTTAGTTATAGTTTAATCCTTACTTTTAACAGTCAGTTTGGCTGAGGACTCGACCTGGCCGGTGGACGAGGTCACGCGTACAGTAAAGATGCCAGAATCCTCCTCGTAAGTGGTGCCGATTAGGAGTACAGCGCTGTTGCCATCGAAGATCATCTGAAAAAATCATAAAATTGAGTTTAGACACGTTTCGAAAATCCCTCAAGCTTAGCAAGGGCTTAGCAAACACTATGAGGTATGGAAACCCACCTGGAAGTCAGGGGTCTCTGGGATGAGTTGACCCTCTCGGAACCACTGGACACTGGTGGCCTTGACCTTGCCGGTGACGGTGGTCTTGAACTGAGCGGGCATGCCCTCGGTCACGGACACATCCTTGATGGCGGTGATGGTCGGGGGAGCGTCCAGGTTCTCGATGGGGCGAACCTTCAATTGGGCGCTGGTCTGGATGCTGCCCAGCTTGTTCTCGGCCACGCACTTGTAGGTGCCCTCGTCCTCGGGGAAGGCCTCGGAAATAACAAGCTGGTAGTACTCTCCCTGGCGGCTCATCTGGAAGTAGCGGGACGGCTTCACGAAGTTCTCGCCACGCATCCAGCGGGCGGTGGGTGTGGGCTTGCCATCGACGCGGCACTTGAAGATCACCTTGCTGCCTTCCTCCACGGACTGGCTCTTCAGTTGCTCGACAATGTGAGGAGGCTTCTCGCTGCCGGGAGTGGTGGGCTTGTCCGGCTTGTTGGGTGACTGAACGATGCAGTCACCATCACAGCGAGCCTCTCCGGCGGCGTTCACCGCCACGCACTCGTAGCGACCCGAATCCTCGGCGAAGGGCTCGATGATCAGCAATGTGTGGATGCTGTCCTCCTCAAGCATCTTGAACTTGATGCTCGGCTGGATCTTCATGCCGTTCTTCAGCCAGTAAACGTCCATGGGACGAGTTCCGGTTACCTTGGCGTCAAAGCGGGCGAGCTGGCCGGTGGCTACAGTAGTGCTCTGGATGGTGGACACAAAGCTGGGCGGCTGAATGCCTCCCTTGCCGGCGCGGCGGCGCTCCTCAACCACCAGATTGGCACTGCACTTGGCGGTTCCTCCACGGTTCTCGGCAACGCACGAAAACACGGCCGAGTCCTCGACGAACACCTGGCGGATAATCAGGACCGACTTGCCGCTAAAGGTGTGGATCTGCAGATCCGGCGAGTTCTGGATGGGGAAACTCTCGCGGTACCATTTCACGGTAGGATTAGGCTCGCCATCGAACTCGACCTCGAACTTGGCCTGTTCGTTTTCGAAGACACGGCATGGCTGAATCTTCTTGGTGAAGACGGGGGCCTTGGCTGGTTTCACGGGACCCTTAACCACGCGTTCCTGAATGGTACCCTTGTGCTCCACCTCGGTGGTCTCGGTAGCGGTGATCTTGCGGGTGATTTCAAGGTCTCCCTGGATTTCCTTCTGCACCTGCTGTTGCTTGTTCATGTGGACTTCACGTCCATGAACGGATGACTCCGACGGTTCGGCGGTACCCTTGGGAGGAGCAGCCTTCACCTGAGTGGTGCTGGTCTTCTCTTGACTGGAGAGAATACAAATTGGGATACGATATAGAGGTTTATATTCAAATTCAATTGCAATTGAACAATTCTGTTCCTAACTGAACATAAGACTGGAGAACTTACAGGTTTTCCTCGTAAGACTGGGCCATGCCCTTGGCTTGGGAACTGCTCACAACCTTCTCGCCGGGAATGGCGTACTGGTGGTTGTCCTTGCGCAGGTTTGTCTCCTTGAGCAGCTGCTCAGTCTCCAGCTCCTGCAGCTTGTTGTAGTACTCCTCGCTCTTCTTGGCCTTTACGTTAGTTTGCCACTCGGCCGTGGGGGGCTTGTACTGCTTGGGTTTGAGGTGCTCCACGCCCTTAAGGGTGTGAGAGCTCTGCTCAGAAAGGACTTGCTTGCGTTCGTCGAACACCTTCTCCAACTCGTTCTCCTGACGCTCCTTCTGATAGGCAGCTAGCTCATAATCATACCACGCTATATCGGAGAAATCGGTGGATTAATATGTGTCTCAAAAGGGGGCTACTGCACAGTTATACACCAAAAAGCCATGCAATCTGATCTTAGAAATAGGTTAGAAAAAAGAAGGCATGCAAGAGGTTCGATGGGATTATTTACAAGTTCTCGACTTAGTAGAAATAGTGATTAACCGGTTAAAGTATTTTCTACAGAGATTCTAATGCTCCTTTGCACTTATATTCTTCGGGTAGATAGCAAATGGTTATAGACAGAGAAAAGGTCAATGATCGGTTGGGTGGGTGGTAACCACAGTTTACAACAGTCGGAGGGTGCACAAGCAAACTTCGGCATAACCATATTACCCCGGATCCGAAAAATACTTAGGATATTCGTGTCCTTGGCTTCCACTGGGTGGCATCTTCCCTGAAGTCTCCCGCTGATTGATGCCAGTAGTAGGCTGTACTGCAGAAGGCTTTTGGGGGATTTTCGGGGATTTTGGGAAGCATTTTTGGGGGGCTTTGTGCTTTGTTGTCTAAACTGTTTCAACTACTTGGAATGTGGAATGTGGTGGAGTGCAATAAAATAAGGTGCTACTGCTACGAAAACTCTTGTGGCATGTTGTATGTGCGTATGTATATATTTACAATGAGTTTCTATTTGTGAGATAGCGTTTGGTGTCCTTGTTAAGTTTTGGTCAGCTAAAGTCTACTGCATTTTAAAATTGTTAATGTTCCAATAGCTGTTATCTGGATAGACACTCCAGGTCGCCTGGAGAGCATAGTGTAGGTTAAACTTACGGCGTGGAGAGTTCTTCAGCACGTTGCGGTAATCATCGGAACGGGCAACCACCTTCAGCTCAGTGGTGGCGATCGATTCGCCCACGGAGTTGCGGGCAATCACCTCCACCTTGCCGGTGTCATACTGGCGGGTCTTCGGGATATCCAGATGGAACATGCCGTCGTTGGTCAGCTTGTACCGGGAACCCTACCAAAAATTTGGGGTTATTATCCACGAACGTAGAAAATATTAATTATATTTAATTACATGCACCACGGTGTGACCATTGATCAGCCACATGACCCTGGGACGTGGGTGGCCAGTGACGCGGACACAGAATCGGGCGGGTTCGCCCTCCTCCACAATCTGGGGTTCAAGCTTGCTCACAAAGACCGGCTTGGTTCTGGGCTTGGCATCGGGATCAACCTCCTCGGGCACCCTGTTTCAAAGAATCTCCGTTTGAAAAGAAATATTTTTTATCAAAAATGTAATCACTACTTACACTTGCCAAGAGGCTTCCATTTCGCGAATGCGGTCAATGCTCTGCATGTGAGCGGGCAGCTGGGAATCGTATACGATTCCGGGCTTGCCAGCCACTTTGATGATGGCACGGGTCTCGTCCTTGCCGTACAAGTTGGTGGCCCGGCACACGTACTCTCCGCTGTCCTCGGGGTAAACCCAGCCAAAGTTCATGGCCACATAGCCAAAGTCGTAGATCGGCTGGAAGCGATTCTCTGCGAAAAGAATATACACATTTAGTATTATAGGAGTCCCAAGAAAAGCCTCTTTCTGAACACTTACTGTACAACAAGGGCTTGCCGTTGAAGAACCACTCCACCTTCATGTTCGGATCGCCCACTGGAGCCAGTTGGCACTCGAACTTGGTCACGGCCATTTCGGTCAGGGAGGTCTGTTCCTTAATCTGAGTAACAAACCTAGGAGGCTGCTTGCGGTCAGGGTCGAAGAGGTCATCTTCGGTCAAGTGGACCTCAGAAGTGTACTTCTTGATGGTTGCTTCCATTTGGGTCAGCGCATCTGAACGCTTCATGCCGCGCGGCACCTGGTTTTGGAGCAGGATGGTTGGCAGTTCTAAGGAAAAACGTGAGAGGGTTAATATACCTATGAATAGAAAAGGCCACAAATAAAAACTCACTCTTGCAAGACACTGTGGCCTTGGTGCGGTCTTCGCCGTGGTTATTAATGGCACGGCAGACATACTCTCCAGAGTCCTCGCCGTAGACATACAGAATGTCCAGGGAAACGAAACCCATGTCGAAGATGTTCCTGTAACGATGTCCGGATGGCAGTGGCTTGCCATTGCGGTACCATTCAACGCGCAGGCTGGGATCGGTCTTGGGTTCAACCTGGCATTCGAATCTGACGGCTTCCGCCTCGTCCACGGTGACAGAGGTGATCTGGGTGACGAACTTCGGCGGTCCGAACTCTTGTTCCACCACCTTCGGGGCCTCTGGGATGCGTCCGCGCTCCAGTTCCTTGAGCTTCTCGGAGGTCATGCCCTCGGGCAGCTGCGATTCGTAGACGATGTTGTGCTTGCCCTTGCAGGTTACCTTGGCGGTAGTGGTGGCAGTGCCCCACTTGTTGGTAGCCCGACAAGTGTACTCTCCGGAGTCCCTGGCATAGATGTAGTCAATGTCCAGGGCGATGAATCCAAAGTCGTTCAGCTGGTGCACTCTCGAGCCAGTGGCCATAACGTGACCGTTGTAGAACCACTCGATACGCATGGATGGGTCGCCCACGGGCTCCACACGGCAGTCGAAGTGAATCGGACCGCCCTCGGGTACGTCCAGATTGTCCTTGATGTCCTCGATGAACTTGGGCGGGTTCGGCTGCTCCTCATCGATCACGATCTCCTCGCGCTTGTGCATGCTCTCCTCCAGTTTCTGGAGGCTCTCAGTGCCGGTGCGGAAGTTGGAAGGCAGTTGGGGCTCCATGACGATGCCCTGGCGGCCCTTGACCTGCAGCTTGCACGAGACCTGGGCCTCGCCGTGCTTGTTGGTTGCCTTGCAAGTGTACAATCCTGTGTCGCGCTGGTAGCATCCTGCGATTTCCAGGATAACAAAGCCAAAGTCATTGATGGTCTTGATGCGGGAGCCAGCCCACAAGGCCTTGCCGTTGTGGAACCAATCCACGCGCATTGATGGGTCGTTGATCGGCTGCAGGCGGCACTCAAAGTGGGCCAGCGAGTTCTCCGTGATGACCATGTCGAAGGGCGTCGTGATGAACTCTGGTGGCTTGCCAGTATCATCATCCGGAACGAATTCGGTGCTGCGAGATCCCAGGCCCTCCAGTTCGGCAATGCGATCAATGGTGCCCTCCATGCCCTTTGGCAACTGCGACTCCATGATGATGCTGCGTTTGCCTTGGATCTTCATTGTGGCGGTAGTCACAGCCTCACCATACTCGTTGATGGCACGGCAAGAGTACTCGCCGGAGTCTTCAGGATAAACTGGAGAGATTTCGAGGATGACAAAGCCAAAGTCGCAGAAAGTGCGGAACCGAGAACCGGCCTTCAGTGGACGTCCGTTCCAGTACCATTCGACCTTCAGCTTGGGGTCGTCGGCCGGGGTAATCCTGGCCTCGAAGTGGGCGTTCTCACCCTCGCGCAGATTCTCGATGTTCTCCAGCGGCACAGTGAAGACCGGAGCCTTGCCCTTGGTCTCCTCTGTGGTTTCGTCGCGGGTGCGAACCATGCTGTACTCCAGGTTTGCGATCTTCTCCAGACCGCCCTCCATTCCACGAGGCAGCTGCGAGTCCAGTATAAGGCTGGCCTTCGAAGCGCACTTCAGAGAGGCTCGGGTCACGTCCTCGCCGTACTTGTTGTAGGCTCTGCACTCGTATACGCCCGAGTTCTCCTCGTAGCAGTACAAAATATCCAGAATAACGATGCCAAAGTCGTGGAAGGTGCGGAAGCGGTGGCCATGGGGCAGTTTCTTGCCATTGAAGTACCACTCCACCACCAGGTCGGGATCGGTGATGGGGGTCAGACGAGCCTCGAAGTGAGCCGACTGGCCCTCTACCAGTTTGGTGACATCGCTGATCTGGGTGATAAACTTCGGCGGTTCGGCCACCAAGGGAGCGGAGGTATCAGCCTGTTGACCTTGTGGGCACTCCAGCTCCCTAATCCTCTGCAGCGAGTCGGGCTGGAGACTATCGTAGAAGACTCCACCGCGACCGCCGCAGTTCAGAGTGGTGCGAGTAAAGTCCTCGCCATACTTGTTCCATGCGCGGCACACATACTCACCACTGTCATGATCCTGAAGATAGGAAATGTCCAGGACAACGTAGCCGAAGTCGGAGACGGTCTTGATGCGGTTGGAGTGACGCATCAACTTTCCATTGTGGTACCACTCGACCTTAAGATCTGGGTCATTAACAGGGATCAAGGTGCACTCGAAGTGGGCCGACTGGCCGTCCTTCAAGCCCTCCAGCGGCTGGATGTGGGAGGTGAAGCGTGGTTTCTGGCCTCTAGGCTTGTCCACGCACTCCAGAGTGCAGCTGGTCTCGGCAGTGCCGTATTTGTTTGTGGCACGGCAAGTGTAGGTACCGGTGTCTTCAATCTTAGTGCCAAGGACCTCTAGGGCGACCGTGCCAAAAGCGTAGATGGTGCGGACGCGGTGGCTGGCTTCCAGAACCTTGCCGTTGTAGAACCACTCGATGACCATGCTCTGGTCACCCACCGGGACGAGATTGGCCTCGTAGTGGGCCAGTTCACCTTCCCCGATATCGGCAATGTTGACGAACTCGGTGGTGAAACGCGGCGGAATTCCCTGATCCGGCTGCTCGGGCTTGGAGCCATCTTTGCGCAGGGAGTCCTCCAGGTCTTGGATCTGTTCCAAGCCCTCGGCTCCCTTCGGGTGCTGGGTGGCCTCGATGATGTTTTCCTTGTCCGAACAGAAAATGGTCGTGGAGGTAAACGCCTCGCCGGCCTTGTTGTAGGCCTTGCAGGTGTAGATTCCCTGGTCGCGTGAGTATACTTCGATCATGTCCATGGTCACAAATCCGAATTCGCTTGTCATCTTGAAACGAGAACCATGGTTGAGCATCTTTCCGTTGAAGTACCACTCGATGAATAGGTTGGGATCCTCCTTGGGTTCCACATTGGCCTCCAGGTGAATCGGCTGCGCCTCCGACAGGTGGAACTCGGCCTGGAGCGGCTTGGTCCACACTGGCGGCGGATACTGAGTCTCCGGCTTAGTGGTCTTCTGGCTGTAGCGGTTGGCCAGCTCCTGCTCGGTCTCCTGGACGGCCTCCAAGCCGCTCTCACCCTGCGGGTGCTGGGTGTCCAGGAACATGGTCTTGCCACCAGTGCACTTGAGAGTGCCCGAAGTGGTGGCTGATCCCTTGCTGTTGGTGGCCTTGCAGGTGTACACGCCGCTGTTTTCGGCGTACGAGTTGGTCAGGTCCAAAGCGCAGTAGCCAAAGTCATAGATGGACTTGAACTTGGCGGCGGCCTGGAGAGGCTGGCCGTTGTAGAACCACTCGATATTCATGGTAGGATCGCGTGCCGGCTCCACGTTGCACTCGAAGCGCACATTGTCGGTCTCCTTGCACTCGATGTTGTTCAAGTGGGTGATGAACACCGGAGTCTCATACGTAGGCTCCGGGGCTTCTGGCCGTCCCTCCTTGGGGGCTTCCAGTTCTCCAATACGAGGAAGCGAGTCCGGATGTAGCGACTCGGCCTGCAGCCAGTGACGATCCTCGATCTTAAGTGAAGACGTTGAAACGGCTTCGCCCACTTGGTTGGTGGCCTTGCAGGTGTAAATGGCCGAGTCATCAGCTCGCAGTCCGTTGATGGAAAGGGTGACCAAACCGAAGTCGAAGGTGCTGCGGATGCGGGAACCAGTGGTGAGGGAGATGCCGTTCTTGAACCACTCGATGCGGAGGTTGGGATCCGCACGAGGCTCAACCTGGGCCTCCAGCAGCACGTGCTGGCCTTCGTGGAGCTTGTCGTAGCTCTGCAGATGGGTAGTGAAGACCGGGGCTTGCTGAGGAGTGGAGTCCACAAACATTTCCGGCACGCGATTCATAGCAGCCTCCTTCAGACGAATAGCCTCCCAGGACTCGGGAATCAAAGGCTGGCCGTCGATGTTGGACTTCGTCTTGACCTTCATGGCAGTGGAGGAGACGGCCTCGCCAGCAGCGTTGTAGGCGCGGCACATGTACACTCCAGCGTCCTCGGGCACCACGGCGGCAATGTCCAGAGTGACAAATCCGAAGTCGTGGGTGGTGCGCAAGCGTGAGCCCATTTGCAGCTCAACGCCGTTGATGAACCACTCGAACTTCAGCGAGGGATCGCCCACAGGCACCACACGTGCCTCAAAGTGAGCGTGGGCACCTTCCCACAGTTCCGAAGGTCCCGTGAGCAGCTGAGTGAATATGGGCTTCTCGAAGAGACGCTCCGGCTCGCTAGGACGCGGAGCCACTGGCTTCTCCAGCTGGTGGATGCGGCTGATGCTGTCCGGATGCTGGGTATCCATTTGGATGCTGGCTTCCGAAACGACGCGCATGGAGGCTGTGGTAACGGCCTCGCCCAGAGGATTGACGGCGCGGCACATGTACACGCCCTCGTCCTCCTTGCGGATGTGCGAGATGTCCAATGAAACGTAGCCAAAGTCGTGCTGCTTGGTGATGCGCGAACTGTCCTCGATGATCTTCTCGTTGCGGTACCACTCCACCTTCAAATTGGGATCTCCCACAGGGATCAGGCGCGCCTCGAAGTGCGCGGTCTGGTGCTCGTTGATTCTATCAATGTTCTGGAGCGGCTGCGTGAACACAGGACGCTGGCGGGTTCCGGGAGTTTCCGGCTCCTGGCGCTGGTGCGGGGCCGTCGACTCAAGCTTGCGAATCTTTTCCAGACCCTCTGGGTGCTGGGTGTCCGAGATGATGGTGCCGCGTGGAATCACGCGCAAGTTGGTGGAGGACACAGCCTGACCCAAAGCGTTCACAGCGCGCACAGAGTACTCGCCAGCATCCTCGGCCACGGCGTGGGTAATGTCCAGGGACACATAACCGAAGTCGAAGGTGATGTGGAAACGAGACGCCGATGGCAAGGGTTTGCCGTTGTGGTAGAACTCAATCCGCAGATTGGGATCATGCACAGGAGCCACCTGGGCCTCGAAGTGGGCCGTCTGACCCTCGTAGATCTCGGTCGATCCACGCAGCTCGGCAGTGAAATGGGGCGGACTAATGGGGCTGTCACCCACCTCGGTGCGGGCGTTTACGACCTTTGACTCCAACTTCTGGATCTTCTCCAAGGCATCCGGATGCTGGGTGTCCAAGATCATGCTACGGCGGTTCAGCACGCGAACGTTGCAAGTGTTAACGGCTTCGCCCAGGAGATTGGTTGCCTTACAGATATAGGTACCGGTGTCCTCGCCGTAGACGTACAGGATGTCCAGGGCGACATATCCAAAGTCGTGGGTGGTGCGGTAGCGATGACCGGTGGGCAGCTGCTTGCCGTTGCAGAACCACTCAATCTTCAGGTTTGGATCGTTGATCGGCTCCACGCGGCACTCCAGATGGGCGTGCTCGCCCTCCTTCAAGTGCTCCAGATTGCTCAGCGGGGTTAGGAAGATGGGCTTCTGACCCTTCTCCTCAACTTCAACCTTGGTGGGTGGTGCGTAGCTCTCCAGCTGGCGAATCTTCTCCAGTCGCTGGGCATCCAAGGTATCCAGATCAAGTGTCTTGTTTGCTGTGATACACAAGAGATTGTTTTAGATATTTTGTAGCACTTAAATAATAATAAGTACTTAGAAACTATTCCTTAGTTTTCTTTATATAATGTACTAGAGAAACCGTTTAAAAAATATATTTAATAATAATAAAAAAAGGTACTAAAAAATTCGTAAAATTTTTACGAGATTTCATTTTAAAACTTTTGAAAAATGCAAAGAAGGTCATCTGATTCTTCAGGCTCATTTTCAAGAATTTTGAAAACTGCATGAAGAGGCAATATATTCTTTAGGGATGGAAGGCCGAAATTGCCCACAGCGATGGCCATATCTTGGCCAATTTTCATCCGATTCTCGAGCGGCCTATCTTAAACGATTTCTAGATCGATTCTCTACCACTCTGCATCAAAATCTAGAGACAAATAATTTTTGAGATTTTTTGTCAAATTTTGTGGAGGGTCCCCTTCAAAATGTAGAAAAAAGCATGAAAGGCCAAAATGGCCCCCAGCGGTGGCTATATCTTGGCCAATTTCTATTCGATTTTAGAGGGAGATGCCTTTACTGAATTGTAGGAAGATTCTCCCTTAATCTCTATTAATGCCGTTAGACTATAGGCTCGATGGACAATTAGGATAAGAAACATCAAATTATTGTCTTTAATGCTTTTACTTTAAAATATATAAATAGGGCTTTACCTGTTACGTTTACAGCACAAGTCGTGACAGCTTCTCCAACGGCGTTCTTGGCCTTGCACATGTAAGTGCCAGTATCCTCGGCGTGGGCGTAGAGGATGTCCAGGGCCACGAAACCGAAATCATAGGTGGTCTTGAAGCGATGGCCGGTCTGGATGGGTCTGCCGTTGCAGTACCACTCCACCTTCATGGTGGGATCGTTGACCGGAATCAAAGTAGCCTCGAGATGGACAGGGGTGCCTTCGTTGACCTTGGCGTTGCGAAGTGGACGTCCGAACTGAGGACGCTCGGCATGGAACTGCTCCTCATCGGTCTTTCGCTGGAAGCGAGAGGTGTCCTCCAGATGCTGGATCTTGGTCAGGGCCTCCTCGTGCTGAGTTTCGTGGATGATGGATGAGCGCGATGTTACATTCAGTACAATTGAGTTCACGGCTTCACCCAGATTATTGGTCACTCGGCAAGTGTATTCTCCACTGTCCTCGGCGTAGACGGTCAAAATGTCCAGAGCGGCGAAGCCGAAGTCGTAGGTGGTGCGGAAGCGGTGGCCAGTGCTTAGTGGCTTGCCGTTGTGGAACCACTCTACCTTGAGGTTAGGATCAGGGTAGGGCTCGATGCGGCACTCGTAGTGGGCACTCTGGCCCTCAAACAGGCTGCTGGGCCCAATCAGCTTGGTGACAAACACCGGGGCGGTGGTCACGGTGTACTCCTCCTCTTCCCTGCGCTGATATTTGCTGTGATCCTCCAGCTGGTGGATCTTGTGCATAGCCGCTTCATGCTGTGTCTCCAGCTGAATGGCCGTCTTTGATTGCACAATCAACGAAGCGGAGGTCACTGCCTGGCCGAGCTCGTTCACGGCACGGCAAGTGTAGGTACCGGAATCCTCGGGATTCACGTACTTCATGTTGAGGGCCACGTAGCCAAAGTCGTGCATGGTAGTGGTGCGGTTAGAGGCCTCAATGGGCTGTCCGTTGCGCAGCCACTCTACCTTCAAGTTCGGGTCTCCGACTGGGATCAGGCGGGCCTCGAAGTGCACTGCCTGATTTTCGGCCACGCGGACATCACGTACGGGCATGGTGAAGACGGGAGCTTGGGAAACAAACTCTTCCTGCACGCTGATGCGCTGGCGCTTAGAACCATCCTCCAAGTGCTGGAGTCGGGGCAATGCAGTTTCATGCTGCGACTCGAGGTAGATCGATTTCTTGGTGTGCACCACAGCCACGGCGGAGGTGATGGCCTCGCCAACGGCGTTGTACGCGCGGCAGGTGTATGTGCCGGCATCCTCGGGCAGAGTCGACATAATGTCCAGGGCCACAAAACCGAAGTTGTTAGTTTCGGTGAAACGGGATCCCGACTTCAGAGGAAGGTTGTTGTGGTACCACTCCACTCGCATGGACGGATCCGAAACAGGAATCAAGCGGCACTCGAAGTGAGCCCTCTGATTCTCCTTAATTTCGATGTTCTTCAAGGAGGTGGTGAACACCGGGGCCTGCTTGGTGCTCTCATCGATCTCCTCGCGACGGCTGTAGCGCGACCTGTCCTCCAGGTAGTGGATCTGCTCCAAGCCGGCCTCGTTCTGGGTGACGGTGACGATTTGCTCGCCACTGCGGCACTGCAACTCTACCTGGGTCTCATCGGAGCCAATCAGGTTGACGGCTCGGCAGGTATAGATACCCGAATCTTCGGCAATCAGTTGGACAATATCAAGGGCCACGTAACCAAAGTCGTGGATGGGACGGAAGCGGTGGCCCACGGTGATGGGACGGCCGTTCTTAAACCACTCCACCTTCAGGTTGGGATCCGTTACCGGCTCAATTTTGCACTCAAAGTGAGCGTGACCACCCTCGCGGGTGTTGGTCAGACTCTTGGGATGAGTGAGGAAGCGCGGACGAATGTTCACCACCTCGTCGACGAACTCGTTGCGACGATAACGCGAGGAGTCCTCCAAGTACTGGATCTTCTGCAGTCCCGATTCGTTCTGGGTCTCCAGAATCAAATCGTTCTTGGCAATGATGCGCACGGAGCAGGAGGTGACAGCCTCTCCCAGCTGGTTTCTAGCCTGGCAGGTGTAAACACCAGAGTCGATGGCATAGCATCCAAGCAAATCTAGGGCCACGTAGTCGAACTCGTAGGCCGGACGGAAGCGATGACCGGTCTTCACGGGCTTGCCATTGACGAACCACTCGATGCGCATGCTGGGATCTCCGACGGGCTGTAAGCGGCACTCCAGATGGACATTGGTGCCTTCCACGGTCTCGATGTTGTGCAGAGCCCTGGTGAACTGGGGAGCCTGCATGATGGTAATATCTTCCTCTTGGTGATGGCGGCGGCGTGAGTCCTCGAGCAGCTGAATCTGCTCCAGAGACTGTTCATTTTGGGTCTCAGTGACCACATCCGTGTGGTCGATCACGCGCACACAGGCGGAGGTGTGGGCCGAGCCCAGGTGGTTAGTGGCCCTCACAGTGTACTCCCCGGAATCGGCTGCCGTGGCTTTGATGATGTCGAGTGCCACGAATCCGAAGTCATAGTAGGTGCGGAACCGGGAACCCACGGTAACGGGACGGCCGTTGTGGAACCATTCCACGCGCATAGTGGGATCTCCCATGGGCTCCAGACGGCACTCCAGGTGGATGTTCTTGCCGTCATGGATGGGCTTGGGATCAGTCAGGGGCTGGATGAAGACTGGTTTCGACTTGGAGATTTCCTCGATGTCGTACTGAGGCTCCACGAACTGCTTGTTTTCCAAGTTCTGGGTCTTCTCGTACAGGCCGCGGTGCATGCTAGATGTGTCGATACTGGAACGAGCTGGAAGACGAAAGGATACATAAATGTTACACCAGGAATCTTGATTAGAGATAAGGGGAATACTTACTTTCCACTACCATCGTTGCCTGCTGCTGAGCTTCACCTAGCTTGTTCCTGGCCACCACTATGTAGACACCAGCATCCTCGGCGCGAACCTGGGAAATGTCCAGGGCGACGTAGCCAAAGTCATGATAAGTTTGGATGCGATTGGCGGCAGTGATGGCGCGACCGTTGTGGTACCACTCAATCTGCAAGCCCAGATCACTCTGGGGCTCGACTCGGGCCTCGAAATGGGCGCGTTGGCCCTCAAGGATCTTGGTGGTGCCCTTGAGAGGACCAAGGAATCGAGGAGCAGTGGTGGTGTAGGTCTCCTCCTCCTCGCGGCGTCCGTAGCGGGACGAGTCTTCCAAATGCTGGATCTTTTGCAGGCCCCCTGGGTGCTGCGAGTCAGACACGATCTCGTTCTTGGAGATCACAGACAGTTGGGCCACGGTGGTGTCCTGTCCCATGGCGTTGTAGGCGCGGCAGGTGTAGATGCCGGCATCGTAGATGGTCAATTGTTTGATGGTGAGCGCCACGTAACCAAAGTTGTGGTAGGTGGTGATCCTAGAGCTGGCTTCCAGAGGCTGGCCGTCCTTCAGCCACTCCACACGCATGGTGGAGTCACCAATCGGTTCGAGTCTTGCCTCGAAGTGCGCATGCGCGTGTTCGTGCAGATCCAACTGGTTCTGGATCGGAGTCTTGAACTGAGGCGGGGCAATAGCCTGAGGCGCCTCCTGAACGTGGCGACGCTGCTGGGACTTGCGGTAGTCCTCCAACTCCTCCACGCTTTCGATGTAGCGTTGCTGCTCCGGGATTCCCAGATCGGCGGTGACCTGAGATCGGGTGTGGACCCGAATAGTCGACTGGCTGATGGCTTCACCAATACGGTTGACGGCCCGCACAGTGTAGGTACCGGCATCTTCGGCTCTGAGGTGCAAGATGTTCAGGGAGACATAGCCAAAATTGAAGATAGCGGTAATGCGCGAGCTGGCCGTGATGGGAAGGCCGTCCTTGTACCACTCCACCCTCATGGAGGGATCGTTTACGGGCGTAACCTGCGCCTCGAAGTGAACATTCTTGCCCTCCTCGAACTCGCCGAGATCGCGCAGTGGCCGGATGAACTGCGGAGCCTGGTTGAGCTGCTCTTCAGTGCTCTCCTGTCGCGAGTAGCGCGAGTAGTCCTCCAGCTGGCTAATGTACTGCAGACTATTCGGATTCTGCGATGACTGCTCGATGGACGGGCGTTGAACCACGGACAAAAAGGCCCGGGATTCGGCCACGCCGCTGGCGTTGCTCACGCGGCACATGTACTCGCCGGCGTCGTGGCCCATGATGCTCAAAAGGTCCAGGGCGATGAAGCCGAACTTGAAGACCGAAGTGGCACGGGCACCTAGAAATGGACAAGCAAGGTATTAGGCTCGAGAACTGTCCAAGTATAGCTTGAAACTTACTTGCTGCCAGTGGACGTCCGTTGAGGTACCACTCTACGACCATGCTGGGATCACCAACAGGCTCGATACGGGCCTCCATGTGGACGCGACCACCTTCGGTTTGCTGCACATTCTGCAGCGGTATGATGAACTGCGGGGGAGGATACACGCGATCCTCCTCACCGGGGCGCAAATGGGGCTTGGCGCGCTCCACATGGCGCAGATAGATGATTTCGGGGCCAGGAATGGGTCTTAAATTGTAAGCAAATATTTTATATTTTAAAAACTGGGTTTACATTTTAAAAGTCTTAATTTTAAATCAAATATTTTATATTTTAAAAGCGGAGTTTAGGAAATAATCTGGGGTCTTCATTTTTAATCAAATATTTAATATTTTAAAAACTGGGTTTAGGAAAATTAAAAGTTTTTTTAATATTTAAAAAAAAATCATTTCTGCTTAATTCATATCAGTAAAAAAATAATTTAAAAAATCGTTAAATCCTATAAGGACATATCGATAGAGCTCCTTTCATGTTTTTTTAAACTATCGATAGGTGACTCTCGACTCCTACGCCATTTTATCCTGAACTTGCATCATTAATTCATAGTCTATCTATGGGCGATCGTAGTTTTGTGTTTTATTTGTGAAAATGTAATTTAAAGTGCATATATGTATAGTAATTAGTGAAATAAAGTCAGTTTGGTCATCGCCAGAAATATTTAAAGGAATGAACATTTCAAATCATTTCTTAAAAAGAAAAGTGACGGAATAACAAAACATTTGCCACCTCAACAGGTAGGAGAAATTAAGTTTAAATATTTTAGATGCTCTAAGGGAAGAATAATACCATAATTTTATAAATACTAAGATAACTTATAAAAAGCATAAGGGGACAAGGACTTTCTATAATCGCAAGTGTTTATTTATTGCTCTCATATTAAAATAAATCTAATATAAGTAACTAGGAGTGATAAGTAGTGGGCATAAAGTAGTACACTTACTCTGGCTCGATGACTTTCGTTGGTCTCGGGAGATTGAGACGACGTTGCTCCTGACTTGGCTGGTCCCTAGGAACCTCCACGTACAGCCTAGCGCGGTTGGCCGTAGATCCGGCAAGGTTCTGGGCAGTGCACTGGTACCACCCGGCATCGCTGGCCTTAACTCGCGGAATCTCCAAACAGGTGGCTCCACCGTCAATACCCACGAAGCGGTCGGGGGTGGACGAGATCTGGACGCCGTCCTTCTGCCAGGTGATGCGCGGCTGCGGAGTGCCGATGGCGTTGGCGCTCATGCTGATGGGCTCGCCTTCGCGGACAGTCATGGTGCTGAAGCGCTGAACAAATTGTGGTGCGACAACCTGCTCCTTCTCCAACACATTCAACTGAGCCTCGATGGCCACCTCGCCGGCCTTGTTGCGGGCCACGCACTGAATAGATCCGGCATCCAAGCGGGTGACGTTGGTGATCATCAACGAGTGGCTGCCCGATTCGTTGACCAGAATCTTGTGGGCGGCATCGTCACGGACTTGACGTCCATTGATCAGCCAGAACACTTCCGGGTAGGGATTGCCGGTCAGACGGCAGTCGAACTTGGTCATGCGACCCTCGGTGACCTCCCGATCTCCAAACGCCTTGACAAAGGCGGGGGGCAGAGCCTTACCCGTCTCCAGCTGCTCGGCAATCGTGTCCACGGGCTTGGGCTCGTAAGCGGACTCTGCGGCCGGCTCAACGGCCAACACGGCGGATGAGACCACGCATCCCTGCAGGTTCTCGGCCAACAGAGTGTAGTGGCCACCATCGCGAATGGTGGCATTCTTCACCCGGAGCGTAGCCACTCCGCTGGAGTAGGAGATCTCATACTTCTGCGAGGCCACCAAGCGCTGACCGTTGTGGAACCAGGTCAGACGTGGCTTCGGGTTCGAGCCGACACGAGCGGTAAAGACCGCGTCGGAGCCCTCGACCAGCTTGGAGCTGCGAGGCTTTTGCGAGATTTGCGGCGCCTGCGCAGGACCCTGGGAGCGGTCCAATTCCTTGGACAGCTGGGTGTCCTGCTCGTAGCCTGAGCGCCGAGTAATAGCCTCTCGGAAGGACACTTCGCGGAGCAACCGATACTCAAAAGTGTCCACGCGGAACTCCTTCTCGATGGAGGTAAAGCTGTACCCGTTGGAGTATATATTCTTCTCCAGGTTCTGAATCGGCTGCAGGGTCGGCATGGGAGCTCCCTCCGGTTGGATGTAGACGCTGCAGATGGCCTCGCCGTACTGGTTGCGGGCCGTGCACGTGTACTCGCCCTCGTCCCCGGGCCCGATCTGGTTAATCAGTAGGGAAACATCGCCCGTGGTCTCGTTGTAGCTCATCCGGAACTTCTGCGACTCGAGAAGGGGTGCGCCTTTCCGGGTCCATGTCACGAATGGCTTCGGGTTGCCCCTCAACCGGCCCTCGAACAGGGCGTTGCCGCCCTGGGCGAAGCGAGCGTTCTTGAAGATTTGCTCGAAAACGGGTGGCGAGATGTCGCCCTGGGCGTACACGTGTGTTAGCGCAGGAGGTACATAGGGTCCTCCAAGGCTTCCAGGAAATTGTTGCACTGTAAGATCAATGGGATGGGAAATAAATTTTATTAAAATTCTTTCGTAACGATCGATGCGAAAGAAATTCGGGATCATGCTGCAAAAGCTTTAAATTAGTTGTAAAAAGGACCTTTTTTTATTATTAATTATTCTTTACTGAACCGAATTATATCCATAATTGTTCTATAAAAATTGTTTATTTATATACATGCTCTTTTTTCTATATTTTATTTTTGTAATTAAAATAAACATACGTATATTTATAGCAAATCCTTGAACTCTAACCAAACAAACTTAAAACTGGCAAATATAATTTTAATTTTCTAAAAATAATCTTTTACAATTTAAATATATATATCTCAAGTTTGGTTTTGTAGTTGTTTAGTTTCTATAAGCATTTGTTTATCAACTGAATCTGCAAAGTGTGCCACTGCCTCTACGTAGATATAGGTTGAGTCAGCTGATCGGATGGGAAGGATGGGTGTGTAAACAAATATGGAAAGTTCCGAGTGCTCTCTCTCTATTTTCTTTTTCCCCTTCAATGCATGTCTTCTCAATTCTTCTGTGCGCATGCTGAGATTCTTCGGGTGATCTTCGGGTCTTCTGTATAAGAGAATGAAAAACCAGAAGAGATTCTCCCCAACTCTCTGCAAGAGCCAACATTTCAAAATGTAAACAAAGTGACTATTTGGAAATCTCTTATACTGAAAGATATAGATATATAGTATCTGTGTATGTATGTCAGCGCAGTCGTGGGAGATGAAAAGATTATCTTAAAAATAGACCAACATTTAGACTGTATTCATCAATTAATGTTTCAGCGATGAAACATAAGGTGACACATTTCGGAAAGAGGGAAATATTGTGTTTGAAAGAAAGATTTTGGTCTTATTTTTTTTGTCTTTTTGATATATTTAGGATATTACGGGGTAGGATTGGTATGTGGGTTTTTTTTTTTAAAACACATTAGATTTTGAATGCGAGATATGGTAGGTATTGTATCGAAAGGCATTGATTTGATGTATGTATGTATCAAAATTACTATTGTTTGTTATATTTATATGAACCAATTGTTTTAAACCCTTATTTTAATGCAAGTTATATTTATTGATTTGGTTGAAAGGTTTCTGAGAGTTTTGTCTGGTTTATATCAGTTGATTTTCCTAATTCTACACTTTTGTTTAGATGTGTACCAATTTAAACAATTAACTAAAATAGTCTACCAAATTAGAACAATACCACGAAGAAGTACTGCTTTATTAACTACAGATATCGTACCCATATCTTTTTCGTACGGGTATTAATATCATATCAATTGTTTACTTTTTATATCGACAAAGAACAACTGTTTGTCCAGATTACCTTTTCCTCAAAAGGGAACCCCATACTTATAAAAACTATCAAATCATTCCGTTTATTTAGTGTAATTCATAGTTATAGTTATAGGCAGAATAGTATTATAGAAGATAACATTATATTATGAACTTTAAAACTTCTAACTTCTGTCTAATTTTTCCAAATTTCTTGAAAGAGCTGATTTTCCAATTTCTTTCAGTTTTTTCCCGTGTATATTTAAATATCATACATATCCTATTGTTGCGCATAAATGTAAAATCCCCTATACTATTACCCTAAACTACATTCGATAAAGGTTATTTGAAATATTATAACCATTTTCAATACTATTGAGGTAATATTCGTGGTTTTAATACTCCACTTTACAGCTGTTTGGTGGGTCATTATTGGAAGGAAAAAGCTAGGAAAATTTAAGTATTACACCTGTTATTCACTGAGACTTATAAATTAGGCAGGCTGTTTTATGGGTTAAGGTTTTTAAACTTAAATTGTTCTCGAAATGAAACCCATTAACATTACTCTCCAATACTGATCTCAAGGCCGTGTTAGCGAAAACAACAAGCGGGTTGGTAAAAAGCTTTGGAAGCTATTTTGAAATGAATTTTTGGAAGTCATTCTTCAGGAGACAATTCTTGGGGACTGCGGCGATTCATAATCCACTGTGTGAATCCCACCGAACCCCTAGAAATGCCAGTTAGAGAACCCTTCCTGAAGATGACATCCCGGACAGCGACTGACCTTGCTGGGTGGTCACATGTCGGTGCTGGACATGCTCGGTGCGGCTAATCCTCTGCTGCTGGTGCTGCTCCTGGCTAGAATGCGAGTATTCCTGAGTGGAATATTGCTGCAACTGCTGCTGCTGCTGCTGCTGCTGGTTTTGCTGTTGCTGGTACGGGTTCGGATTTTGTCGTTGCATTTTTGCTGCGTTATATATCACTATATATCATTTAAAATGACAACCAAATCGTTGCAGGATGAACTGCACTGTAGAATTAAACACCTCGCGATCACTCTCTCTTTGATTTGCTTCTTCACTTGATATACTTTCTATATATACTTATATCTCTTTGGTCGCTTCTTAAAATTGCTGAAACAGAATATATACACAAAAACACATCATTTAAATTAATATTTAATCACTCAAAGATCCACTGTCTTATTTATGGCGGTGATTTTGGCAAGCGTTCCGCGATTCTTAAATGTGATGGATTTTAATTATATCCTTTGCTTGATTTACTTTTATGTTTGGCTGTCACTCGACTTGTTTTATGGCTAGCTGGCTAGATGACACACATCGAATTTTCTTTTCTCATCGAATTTAGATATAAATCGGATCTGCGATCTCTGAGATCGTGATGATCATTATCAGCCATCCTTCTTCATATTCATTTCCATAGTCTGTGCGCCTGTGAGGCATTTCCAACTATTTTTAGCTTTGAAATATATTTCACTGCGACACACAGATACGCACTCACACATTCACGCACACATGCAACCGCAGATACACCCATACAGACACACTCTGCGTTCTTCGACGGTAGCTGGTAGCTTCTTATTTTTCACAGATCTATTAATAAATATTTTTTCTGGTTTTCCAATGGGAAACCGTATGAGATTGGTGCATCGGCCACCGCCTCAAATATTTTCACAGCACTGCACGGCTATTTGGGGGGTCCGTCTTTGCAAGGATATATTCCAGGACAATGCAGGTGCACACTTGTTAGTCACTTGTAAGATATATTTAGGTGCTTTCAATATGCTTTTCTCTCTAGTATATATAAATTGATATCTGGTTTGCACACGATTTCACAGGCGATTCGTTGAATTGGGTGCGGACCCACGAAGTGGAGCCCCGAAGTACCGATACGATCCGATCCGATCTGATCCGAGAACGAACCCGAAACGAGGCACCCAATCGGATGGGATATTTTTAGATATTTAGCGCACTGAAAAATTCTTTCGGCATTTTTCTCGAAGTGGTTTCGTAACCAGAGAAAATTTTCATGAACACTTCACCATTATTTCTGGCTTTTACTTATTTTCCATACACTTTTCAATTGATCCTTACTCGAAATTGCGTTATCCTTTCGACGTTCTATGTATATGTATGCTTGTGCGGGACTCTATGCGAACGAATTGGCTGCAGACGTATACATATATCTGTACCGTATGGTGCGTTAGATATAGATATATGTATATTCTTCTAAAAAAATATCTATTTTGAAACGATTTCAAGTCATAATCCCCGAGACTGAAACCAAGACGTCGATCGTTTGTGAGGTGCGAGCGAAGAATGACAAAATCTGGCGGAGAATGCGATCAAGTAGCCAGTGCCTGCACGCCCGATCTCCTCCGATCCGAGCCGATCTCCTTTCAGAGAGCGCCACATCACTCTCGTGCACTCCCCATGAGATATTTTTGCACTTTCCTTGGGGCCGTTGTGTAAGCTTTGTTGTTGTTTGGGAAAACACTCTCCTCGCTGCACTACAATTAATCATGAGGCATATCAGTTGATTAATTTTTATCATAAGATATCTTTTAACTTGAGATCCTGGAAACTTTTGGTGTAATCCTTTAGACGTTTAATCCTTTTAAAGATAGTTAACCACTTTTGTTTAGTTCTTTATAGAAAGTTTTCCTTCTGTATTCTTTGGGCCTATGACACCACAGTAATCCCTGTTTGATATTTAAATAATCAAACCTTTTTACAGGTCATCTTATTGTCTCTAGTTCACTTCAAATAATACCCATTAATTTCATTTAATTCGATCGTTTAATAAACATTTGTCCCAGGGGACACAGCCTTCGTGAGAGAATTTTAATCGGAGATCTTTCTCTGGGGACCCGTCGGGGTCTCTCCATCACAGTCTCTCGGTTGGATTTCGAAAAGTGTTCGGGTTTTGAGTAAGTTGGCTAAAAATATATGGCGGTTTATTTTTGACACGTATTTTTCAACATTTTGTGCACAAAACGAACAGAAAAGAAGTCATCCCAGAGAAATTCTAGATATTGTAACACACTGTTTCCTGCACATGGCACGATTCCGTATCTATATGATCTCCACATCCGATTCTCATACCTCCAGAGCAGTGCAGGATGGATCCATTAAATAATAGTTTGTAAAAAAACAAACCCGAAATACCTTTCTTTAGAACTGCAATCGCATCATGGAATTGTACTTTGTCAGAAATAAGTAAGAAAACTTAGGACGATTCGGTCTTCTTGGCTCCTCAATTTTTTTTTTCAAATTATACACATAATTTATTCTGTTTGTCTAAATTTAAAACCGCATAGATGCTGAGAGATACGTATAACATTTGGCTCGCCCGCCCGCCTGATACATATAACTTGATTATTCATTTAGTGTCTTAATCATCAGCATCCACATCTCGATGTGGCTCGTTCAGTGGCCCATTGGCAAAAATGTCGCAACTTTCTATTTCTTTTTAGCCATTTTATGAAAAAGCTCTAATACAAATTGCACCTGAAACGCCTGTCGTTTCTTACCATCTATGGAGCAGAGTCGCCCCAAGGCAGCCACTATATACCTTTTTACGGCAACCCGGTTTGCAATGGTCATGCAATATTGTTTTTTTATTATGTTCAAATTAATTGTTAACATGGACAGATGTAGTAGAAGCAACAGTAGGCAGCAGCAGCACAGTTACAGAATCCCTCATTAAATTACAAACTCGGTGAAGTTGATTCTAGGCAGTTGAAATAGAATAAAAATATGCGAGGCAGCCAGGCGCAACGACGGCAAAGTTTCGACTGTCAACGACAAGATACAAATGTATCTACAACGACCATTACCGATAAGCCAGTCGCGCAGGGAAAAGCAGTCAGCACGCATCTCAACTGGCTTTCTTCTGGCAAAAAAATAAAAATAAAATAGAGGAGTAACAGTTAGCCGGTTCTGCAAGGCAGATTGCAAGTAGCGATCTGCGAAAGCCTCACTCGGAAAAATATTTCAAAAATGTTTGGCCCATCAACGTTAAGGTATTCGTTTAGGTAAACAAAACTAAGAATGCGCAACACAACTTAAATGTAAATTTTTTTTAGATATGCATAATTAGAAAGCATATTTTTTCTCAGTGCATGTGTGCTTTCCATCCAACCATCTCCAAGCCAGCTGCCTGTAAGATTAACAGCACTTATCTATCTGTCCAGGTTGAGCGACTGTATCTGTATCTTATCGAACATGCTCAGTGCAAAAATATTCGCCCAATTATGTCACGGCCGGAGAATGTGCCAACAAGATGGATACAGAAATAAGAGTCCAAAAAAGTTCACTTTAATTAGTATTATTAATTGCTTAGTACATCATTTAAGATAAAAAGGCAGCTGTTAGGTTCATTTTAGTTTTTCTTATGTATTAGTTCATCTTCTTTTAGCTCGAGCTGGGGCGATGCATTCAATTTACTGCAAACAAGAAAGAGAATTCAGTTCAATTAACGATCGTTGGGATAAACATCGATAGAATGGATCTGAGATGCTGAATGATGAGTTGACACTTGAGTGTTGGAGTATTGGAAGCAGGCGACATGCAGCAGGCAGCGAAGTAGATGGATAATGCAACCCCCCCAAGCAGTTCATCATATGGCGCGACCCCAAGCCGAGCCAATCCCATCTTTTTTAGTTATAAATACACATCGTTTTGGGTTTATTGTGTTACTGCTGCAGTAGTCCAGATGTAATGAGGGATCGTGGGGGGCTGCTGCAGTGGCAGTCTCGTTTTGGCATCGCATTTCGTCTCAGCCGCTATATCGAGTACCAGGTCCCAGAGTCTGTCTTGAGCCCCCCATCTGCAGTCATTTAGTAAAACCATAAAACCGAAACGAATCGTCGACGATGTTGCGGTAAACAGTGCTCCAAGAGCGCTGCATGCCGAACGGCAATTTAGGTATAAAGTGTCCAAACAGGGATTTAATAAATACGAGTATTTAGTTTCTCACTGGTTTTTGCCTCAAATTGGAAGTTAAAAATATTCGAAGAACTTTTATTGAGCAAGTTCAATTGTATAATAATATAAGAAATATATATTTAAAGGAGTATCCCATCATCCTCCCTAAAGAAACTCACTACCCACTACCTCTATAATTATACTCGAAGCTCCCATTTCTGGTACATGAAAGTTGCTATGTTGTGGTGCAGAGAGCGGTGGCTGTAATCTATATTTAGTGACTTTACATGCGGTACCTCAAAGATATTCGAAATATGTGTATTGCATGACAGGCCATCGATGGAGATGGGGGATTGAGAGATCGAGGCTGCCCATTTTGTAGTTAGCGATTTTCCAGATCGCTTGAGGATCGGAATGATGCATTTGGCTTTGCGATTTGCGAATTAATATGGATTCATTGCTCATGAGATGTAAACTAAGCTATACATGTATATAAACAGAAAATGCCATTGAAACAATGATGGATGCGTGCAGTTTACCTGTTTGCTCTCGCAGCTGCGGCTCCTGGCTGAAATCCGAGATGGAAACGGTCTTGGTGCTCACATAGCTTATGGACTCAATCGTGGTCTCCCACTTCTGGAACGTGTTGATGGTGTCACTCCTCAGCGTACGATTCGAGCTGGAGTGATTGTTCCTCAGGGGCGTTGAAGAGCGCAGCGACATGGTCGATGTGGCCGATCCCATAGAGGAGCTAGCCGGCGAGCTCGTCGAGGAAGAGGAGAACGAGGCGGATTTTCGCAGAGGCGTTTTATGAACCCCATTATCCAAAGGCTGATCCCGCATCTGCGCTGCCGGTTCCTCTTCGGTTATTAGCAAACTATCCGTTTGAGTGCCCTGATCTGTTGGCGGAATAGTACACAATTAAAAATAGTTCATTAAACGGATTGAAATAGTAGGATTATTCACACTTCCAAGTTATATGGTTTTCTTTCTCTGTACGGCAATAAAGATACTTTCAGCGAATTAGAAACGCGGAAACGATTGAAATTTTGCGGCTTTTACTGCTGCACTCGCTGCGTTTTTATATTCCTGTTCAATTAGCTGAAAACAATTAAATTGTTGCCTCTTTCCTTCTCGCAATTAGCGGAATTCGTGTTTATGCTAAAACCTGGCCGCGATTTTCAACGGCACTACCAACAAACAACCCAGCAGAACACCACATTCTCTCGGCCCACCGACATTCTATTGTCTGCGGTTGTTCGCTATTTTGTTTGCTAATTTACAGCGTGCATATAAATAAATATGCTGCCAAGATTCCTTTCGCCAAGAGTGACTGACTTGGCGGACTTGAGGGTCAACAACGCGTGGCACCACCAGTGCTTTGGTGGCCGACCATTCCCATTCCTAAGCATATTCTGCGAGATGAGGCCGCCTGTCATCGAGGCTTATGCAACGAATTTGCGAATCTCATTCAAGGCGCCACAATTCACTGTGTGTTTAGGGTAGCGTGTTGCGCCCAATTAAACTAAATCTGTGCATATAGACATTAAATATTTTTAATGTTTGCGCAAATGCTGGGCGAAACAAACAAATGGACCCCGGAATACCTACATATACTGAAGTGCTAAACGCTTCTAGAAACTAGAACATCTGCGCATTTCTTGAGTTTTTCAACCGCTGCTGCTTTATTACATTTTTCCTGAGCGTGGGTGTGATGAAAACAATTTTACGATTCTACCAACTACTTTATAGTATTCGATTGCTGTTTGGCTCCTATCCATGTATTTTTATAGGCAGGACTGTATTTAGATATATAATTTCTATAGATTTTCGCGACAGCCTTGCCCACTAAAGCGGAAATAATATTATTAAAATTTATATGGAGCAAGTGCGCCGAGCCAAGTTCGCCTGCAAAATGATCTGCCAAAATTTATTAAGATACATTAAGGATGATATACAAATCTGTATTTCAAGGAATACATGCCCTCGCCATGTTGACCCATGGACCCATAGCTCTTTGAAGATCTATCTAATGGATGGAAAATTAGTTTCCCATCCACTCACAACTCTGAATCAAACAAAGAAACGCCAGAAGAAAAATGATGGAAAATATGGCGAAATATTTAAAGTAGCAAAAGAAATATATATTAGCGGTGTGAGTGCGGTTTGTGACTTGTTGCGCTGAGTTCATTTGATATTTTTAGAAAATTGCCTAATTAATTTAGAAAAACACTGAAGAGGGAGCTGGGAAAAACATAGCGCGAATGCTGCTGCTGTGTAGCTGTGGTAGAGATTCAGATTCATCACACAAAAATGTACGAAATTCTCTTTCCAAAAGAGACACTTTCGGATCAAATATTTTTTTGGCAAAAATACAAAAGGAAAAACCAAAGGAAACCCTCAATCGGTCGGATATGAGTCGCATTCGTAAATTGGTTAAATGTTTGGCTTTGGATATTGAAATCTAGTGAACTAACATTTACCATATCGTAGTGCGAAAACATTTGCCAAGTGATACACCGGCTGTGTTTGTTCTGCCCGATATGAGAGCGAATGAAAATTTGCAAATGTGCCAGAAAGAATCTAAAAGATACATATTGAAGAAGTGTATATGATGCGCAAGGCCGGACACGGCCCGAATATTTCTGTTTCGCGCTGAAAATCGCAACATGCGAAATGTTTCTCATGTTTTTCTTGCCATGTTCTTTCTTTCTTGAATTTTATTTTGACAAAGTTTCATAATATTTTTGACACGGACATCTCATTAGATGCGGGAAACAATTTTATGAATCATTAAGGTAAAAAAAAATTGCTGCCAGATGTTTGTGAGTTTAAAATTATTCTGATCTAAATGATAAATACAACCCAGCCATTACAAAGCAGCCTGACCATGATTTCGCAAATGAGTCAGAGTGTTTGCATTTGGCTTGTGAGTAGCATCTAATTTGTCTCTTGGACCACTGCCTAATGACTAGAGCACTTTGGCCAGGCACTAAACATACAATTAGAATTGGCAGATTGGCAGCCGAGAACCACCCAAAAGGCCACCCACCCGTCGTCCCACAAAACCTCCCACACCGTGTCGACTAATTATCGACAGAAGTGTGTAATGCGTCCTGCTTGGGCGCCACTGAAACCCTAGAGTGTTTTCTTCAAATAGGCCATTTAACGGTCAAGCATAAACATTTAAGTTTTTAGTTTTGAAAAGGAATAATAGGTGGGGTTTCCCTTTTTTATATAGAAAATTATAACTAAATACAGGCTTCCTATTGTAATACATGGTAGCTGGCACTATTGGCACCCACTATTTGTAGTTTTAATGTCAGTGTCAAGGATTCTGTGTTGCCTACATAGTGGGCCTCTGGGTGTACTCATTGCCTTGACGGTCGAGAGTGTTTCTGTCTGATTGCCTGCCAGTCCATACTTCTCAGCCCCGTGGCCAGCCCCACCATCCCTGTGAATTTTCGGCATTTTGCGCGTTGCGCTCGCGTCCGATTCTTGGCAAGCGATCGTGACAAAAGGAAGATGCCAAGAAAATTAGATAAATAAACACTGCCGAAAAGCGAATAAATCATTTATGAGCAGCAAAGCGAATTTTAGCCGAGCCATCAGCATACCGCCACCCAACACCCACACCATTTCGTTCCACACAAATCCAAACATTTGTTTAGAGGATGCCTTTTGATATTTTCGAATTGTCTGACCTGATTTTTACTAGTGGCTTTTGGCCCAGTTAAAATATTTACTTGGCAATGAGTAATGAAGAACCATCAACTGAAATGTATTAATATACTAAGTATTCAACATGATGAATGGACTTCTAAAGTTCTGTAATTCATTCAAAACTACATATGTTTTAAAACTTTTGCCAAGGCTGTGAGAAAATTGGCGTTGAGGGAATAGGATTCTTATAGCAAAGATCAAAGTGGAAAATACTATATATTTAATGTTAGTCCATTAGGATTTTCCTTGAAGGAACTGTACAAGTTTTTATTCCAACCAAAAAACTTTTCATAATATAATTAATTTTTATTAAAACTATTAATCTAAGAGCTGTCTGATCATCAGACTTTTCCCGCCACCTATCTTCAAATTATTTCGAAAGCTTTTCGAAAAATATCTCTTTTAGCTTTTTCGAACTAGACGCCAGATTTTCATAACAGAGAGCGCCAGTAAAAGCTTTTCCGATCATAACCTGAAAATCGTTATTCAAAGAAACCATATTTCGTTTTTAAAATGATTTATTTGATCTTTGACAAAACACAAGTAATACTATATATTTTCGTTGTATGCATGTGGATTTTTGGGGCCTGAGAAAACAATATGGGGGTAATAAATGGTAGTGACGAGGGTTCGGCTATAACATACACACAATAAAGCGAAACTTTGGCGCTGAACAAATCATAATGAAATCAAAATAGTGTACGAGTTTAAACAGCTTAGTATCTAAATCCTCGGTTAGAGCTGGAAACGTTCAGGTTTCCGCTGGTGGAGGCCGCTCCTAGCGGATTCATGGCGGTGCAGGAGTAGCTGCCGTTGTCGTCTGCCGGAATTCGAGTCCAAGGATTCCAAGGGACATCATAAGGTATGATATGATATAAGGAGTAGACGGAAAAAAAACAAAGAGTTTAAACGATTAAAGAGTTCACATAGAAAATAATTGGTGTTTGAAGAACCAATCTTAATGTTTCATTCAGGCTACCAGACATATCTTAGCCACAACTCATTAAGATTAATCTTTCAGGTTTTTCCTCTTAGATTGTTCTCTTAGCTCACCTGGATAGGCCTGCGGCAGAGTTAGCCGGCACACGCCGTTCCGGTATTCAATGAAATGCCGGCTGCCGTGCTCCAGAATTCCGCCGTTGTGCGTCCAGTTGACCTGCGGCTGCGGATGCGCCTGCACAATGCACTCGAAGCGCGCCGTTCCACCCACGCCCACTGCGATGTCCTTCAACGGCTGTTCCAGGATGAGATATACGGGTTATTTGGGGGCTTCAAGGGGTCAGTGACTCGGCTTACCGTTATGAATAATGGCTGCCTTTGTGCCAGCTCATCGCGATTCAAATGGGCATTGACGGGTTCCGTATTGGGCAGGTCCGGCACTTTTGAGGGCAGTGGATAGAGGAGGAGTGCGAAACCATTAGAATCTCTGGCTCAGCGTTTTCAAAGCGCATCCATTAGTGGGATTAGCACGCGGCAAGCACAAAATCAAACGCAAACGCAATCGCAAACAAAAACACAAACACGAAAACACAAACTTAGGCGTACGGGGTTCACTTTAAGGTTTTAAAAACAAGAAACGCAAACAAATTTTCATGCAATAACGTGGCAGCGAGCAGTTTCTGGTTGGGTTAACATGCTTTTTGACTTTCGGGTTAGAACAGGGCCTGCCTAAATACACTTAAGCTACTGCCAATGACGTTAATCATAGGGGCTTTAAGCCAGGGATTCCTCCTTGTGTTGCCAAATCATTCATAAATGTGGCAAGTAGAGTTGTTCAAGCCAACTAGCCACATTTATCGATTGTCATATCACAAAGAGAAACCACAGAAACAACATCAACACATCCTAGACTAATGACAACATCGATAGCGACAGGTGTGATAGCGACAAGCCAGTGCTCGGCCTGTATTGGCCTCCATTTGCGGCGACAGCCAGCCTCCGTTTCAGTGAGTCAGTGCATCTGGAGCGTACCTGTTCGGATCAGGTGATCCGGAGGAAGACGCGGAGCCTGAGCATGGAGACGATCCAGGTGGATGTCCAGGCTGTGGCAGCTGGGCAGGCTGTTTCGCTTCTGGCTGCTGCGCGGAGCCATCGGCTGTCTGGCTGTGAAGTTCCTGGCCTGGCCCTGGCTTCTTCTCTGGATCTCGTTGTCGGAACTGTAGCCGTGAGAGGACTTCTCATGCTGGACGGGAATCACAAGCTCGTTGCCCGGCGGAAGCTTGAGCGGATACGGCGAATGCCGGCCGTTTTGGATCGGCTTGGCATTGGGATGACTTCCGCCGCTGCTGTTCCACTGGCTGCTGACGAACTTGTGTCCCTCACCCGGAAACAGGATTCCAAACTCGTAGCCGAAGTCATATTTGAAATAAATTAGGCCGGTGTTGGGGTCGACGCATTTGGTGCCTGATTACAAAGTTGGTAGAAGGGGAGGTCTTACATTTATCCAAAAACACATAAGTATAGCCTACTTTTTGCGGTAGCACTGGGTTTTCATGCACATTTTTAAAAATATTACTTTTGGGGCTTAAATATTTATAATCCTATCACACTTAAAAAGTAAAGATATATACAAAATGATGTTGTAAGGATTAGTGAAACTTGGGTCTTGACAAATAAAATATTTTAAGTATATAGTAGTACAGTCTTGTGAAAAATGATGGTTTAGTAGGAATTCGTATAACTTGTCGAGCTTTTAATTTATCGAATTTTAACCTCTTTTTGAAGAAAACTTAAATTTGTAACCTGATTAGATGATAACGGATTAGTTTCAGGTCCGATTTGTGTAAAAGAATGCATTTTCCAAACCAATTCAAATGAATTCTCAATTCTCAACTCCTAAATACCAATTCAAATGAGGAAACGCGTTCCAAATCTCTACGCAAGGATAGTAATGCAATGATAAGGATAAGGATGGTGTTACTTACCGTACTGGGACACGCGCGACTCGTCCCGGAAGGCCTGTGGCTGCTGGTTGCTACCTTCGCTGGGAGCCCGTCGGAAGCCCTGTCGAATGCCTCCGTTTGTGGTGGTGGAGCTACTTCTCAGGTCGCGGCTCACATCCTCCACGAACTGATGAGACTTCTGGAGGAAGGTTGAACCCAACCGGCGACCCTGGTTCTCGGCCTGCTGCTGCAGGGAGTTGTAACCGTAGCGGGGCAGTGTTCCGGCCCTATCTATCTGATCCATGGACTGCTGCTGCTGTTGCTGATGCTGTTGCCTCATGGTGGAGTTCCTGTTGAGGGACTGGGTGCGGTGCTGGGTAGTGACTGTGCTGCCACCACGCTGCTCCTTCCGCAGCGTATTCACATCTACATGGATCTTGCTGGGCATTTCCGGCCCGCGATCGAACTCCATGGGCGAGAGCACCCTCTCATAGGTTCGTGGCAGACTGCAAGATCTGCCCGCCGTCTGGGGTGCTGCTACTCGTCTGTAGCCCTTGGTCAGACCATCCCCGTAGGGCGACCACAGGGGCTGGATTCTGGCTCCCTCCACCTCGCTCTCGTAGTCGCTTTCCCGGAACTCGCCGGGAATGAATTTCGTGGGAGTAGCTGGGGGAGGAAGATGGGACTGCCTCGAGGGCGTGCGGCTGGCAGCAGGACTGTAGGGGAAGGGCTCCAGCACCGTCTGATCCTGCTGGTTGGGCCTGTCGAAGTGGATCACCCGCTTGGTCTGCTGCATGTTCACCACCCTCTGGGAGCTCTCCGTGGACTCGTGCATCTGCATCACGTTCTTCGTTTCAGTGGCCACCTTGGCCAGGTGCATCGGAGCTCCAGCAACAGCATTGTAGTACATGGTCGGACGGGCGGTGGCCTGTGGAGGCTGCTGGTTCTGTTGTTGGGTGGCTGCTATGAACTTGGCGGCCACGGGCTTTGGCTTGAACACCGGCTGGCTCTGCTGTTGGCCAAACTTCGACTGTTTGGAGCTAGTCTCTGTCCGTATTTCATGCCTGATCTCCTTGCCACCGATCGGCTCAAACTTTGGCCTGGCGTAGCTGCCCACCTCCGGCGGAGTGGGCTCGAATTCCATGGGTGAGGGAGTTACCACCACCACCGGCGACTTGTGGCCGTTGGCGGGGGCTAAGTTCGTGCGGGGAGTTGGGGTGGGGGGGAACACCACCCGGTAGCCCTTGATCTCTGCGTCCGATTCGTTGGCCCGGGACACCGACCGGAAGCGTTCATCGATCTCGCTGCTGTAGTCGCTGAACTCGGCAGCAGGAGTCTTCCGCTGGGCGGGAACGGGGCTGGGATAGGTCACCACGGGGGCGCCCGATGAGGAGTACTTGGTCTCGTGGTGGGAAGTGCTGCTACTACTCTGCATATTATGTGAGTAGTTGCTGGTCATGGAGGACGACGTGTACTTGTAGTCCTGAGAAAGAAAGTTGATGGAAAAGGATTAGTTTTCGATTCTTCTATGGGTTGAAAGACATAAAGGGCGATGGTTAAGGAACGTTTTTAAAGGATCAGGCAAATGCAAGTATATAAGGTTGATAGCTGGGGTTAAATGCTGGGAAATGAATCAACAACAGCCAGGGAAAGCAGAGTCTGAAGGACAACTTTGGAGGCTTTTATTAAGGCGGCAGTTCAGTAGACTTCTCCACTGATATGTTAGGAATATCACGGTGTAAGTGGTATCTTGGGTTTATTTTCAATAACAAAGTGTTAGCTTTACTGTTCAGTGTAAGAGGAAGCAACTTGTTGGCTTCCAGTGCTTGGCAACAACAACAAAACGAGTAAGGAACAACAACAACGAGACACAGATAGTGACAACAGACACGGAAAATATCAATTGCGAACCTTCGCCTCCTGGCTGCTAAAATTCGATTGTGGTTGCGGCTTCGGAGTGAAGTAAATGGCCGCCGGTGGCTCAGGGTGTAGTTTTGGCTCCGTTGTGGAGGACGACTTGGTCTCGTAGTAGCTCGTCTCCGACTTGCGGAAACTAGAGTGCTCCTCGGTGTCGGCTGTGTAGCCACTGGACTTGAAGGACGTCGCTGTGGTAGCCTTCTGGTGGTCCGCCTCCGACTCGCTGCCACTGTACTTGTAGCGATCGCTTTCGTAGTCACTCTCATAGACTCCCAGCCGAGCTGGAAGAACCGGCGGTGGTGGCCGGTAAGTGCTAGTGGGCGGTGTTAGAGTGGGCACCGAGTGGGGCAACACCTTACTGGGTCCCTGGATAAGATTCTGTTCCAGCTTCTGCTCCATGCTTTCCACCAGGGAGTGACGCCGTCCCTCCTCTGTCTTCGGAGCAAAGCAGATCTCCGGAGGAGTGCCTGGTTCCAGTTCCACATTCACGACGTGTGTTACGGGCGCTGAGGCTTGGGGTATGCCCTTTATTATTTGATTCACCAGGAAGGGCGCATTCAACTCCTTTGTGGGCGTCGGTGTCCCCAGCTTGGGGATCTTGTCTGGCTTCTGCTCAGCTGCGTCAGCAGGGGTGTAACCAGGGACTCCACTGGGCGTCCACAGTCTGGACATGGCCACACCCTCGGCAGAGGGCTTGGGCGACGGCGATCTTGGATTCTGTTGGGCAGGAGTTGCAAGGACAGCTGCAGGGCGCACTATGGGCTGTCCGTACTCCACCTTCACTTCCTTGGTCGTGGTGGTTTCGTGCTGCACCGTCTGCAGCCCGAGTGGAGGCGGGAACACCGGCACCCCGCCCTGTGGTGGAGTCTCCTTCGGCTGCACCTCGGCCAAGATTTTAATCTTTTCGTTTATGGAGGGGATCTTGGGCTCGGTCCTCTCTGTTTTTGGGGAGTAAAGGAACTCCGGGGCATCTCCGGGTATGAGGTTCAGACTCCTTAGCTCCTCCGCCAGGGACTGGGCCTTTGGCTGCCGCACCACCGTCTCCAGTGGCTTGAAGGCCAGTGGCTTGGGGCGCTGGGTGATGGTCTCCTCGTCGATCTTCTTGAAGTAGTCAAAGGACGATGAGGAGGACTTCTTCTCGCTCTGTTCGTATCTGGTGCTGGTGAGGGTTTCCATCTGCGGTGGTTGCCCGTATGGGCTGGCCACCACTGGCTGGCAAGGCTTGGGCGGAACGGGAGGCGGATCCTTGGCTCGTGTCAGATCGGGCTGGTCCGTGCTGATGACCGTGGCAGTGTTCGTTGTGGTGAATGGTGTCTCGACTGGAGTTGGTGCGCTGGTTGGGGTTTTGGGGCGAGCAGCCAGTTCCGGTAGATCCAGGTAGTTCGACGTGTGTTCTAGACGCATGGTTGCCTCGGTGGTGCAACGATGCTCAGTGATCACTTTGGACTCGGACAAGCCGTGCAGGTCATTGGCGCTGCTCGCTTCCACGGTGCTGGTCTGCTGGCTACTCTGGTACGACTGTTCGGGAGTCTGTGCTTGGATCTGGGCCTGTATCGTGTTTGGTATTAGGCGTGTAGTTTTGGTGAAGTGTGGTTTTTAAGTATTTTTTGGAAGAACCATTGGTTTTGGAGTAAGCGGAGCAAAGCAAAACGAAAGAACGAACGACGTTGACATCATGAGAGGAGAGAGTTCACAAAAGTTTTGGTTTATTTTACAATATCGATAAGAATTAAAAAGTAACAGAGTCGAAAAGAAAGTATAGAACAGAGTATAGAAAGATTTGAAGGTGATCTTGGTTGGAGAATAGTTTATAGAACTCGATAGTTAGATATTGAGCACATGCACACTTACTTCGGTTTTGAAATCGCTGGCTGCTGCCGGCTTTGTCTCATAAACTATCGTCTTGACGACCTCCTGCATCCTCTCCGGCGATGGCTCCAGAATGGCACAGTCGGCAATGCTCTTGGCCTCGCCTCCAGCGTTTGTGGCCCGCACCATGTACTTTCCGGAATCAGAGGTTTGTGCTGGAGCATTAAATTAGAAAATATAATTTAAAATGGTCGTAAAAACAGGTTTAAACTTTGGGGCTGTTGTTTATTTACAAAAGAAAAATCGGAAATTGGGTTAAGTAAACAACCGAGTTGTTGCAAAAAAAATGTTTTTCCCGTCAGCTGTCACATTTCTCAAGCATTCCGCTAGATTGTTTATTTTTGTAATAATTGAGAATAAAAGGATTTGGTCGTAACTAGTACCTTTTTCGATGATAAGCCTGTAGGAGTTGCCCTGAGCTAGCAGCCGATGCTCGGAGATGCCGGCGTCCTTGAGCGGCTTGTCGTCCTTCAGCCAGGTGACAGTGGGCTCGGGCAGTCCCGTGACCTCCACTTCCATGACCAGCTTCTCGCCCTTTTTGCTGACCTGGGCCTGCAGGCGGCGGCCAAAAACGGGTGGGAAGATCGTCTCTGAAAAATCAAACATGCACATATATATATGTAGACTCTGAAAACAAATATGTGTCATTGCAACAGATTTGAGATTTGTCGGGGCGTTGAAGATGGCCCCCGAATAATTTACTTGAACAGCCGTCCCAATAATCGGCCATAATGAATAATTCATTTAGACAGCGGCCGACAGTCGGCAGTAAAAATAATCCCAAAATACATGAAACCAGCCAGATCTAGAGCCACACAAGTAGCGACAAATCTGCAAACAGCGAACAGCTCGAGTAAATAAACGATCTCCGTCTTCACTACGATTTACATAATAATAATTGCAGACATTATCCCATAGCCTCATAGCCGCAGCCATAGCCACAGACTCAGACTCGGGCCCCCACCCACAGCTGCCATACGGAATATTTATAAATTTTTGTAAGAAAATCTTTTGCATTGGCCAAGATTCTCCTTCTCCCGGGGCTAGCCAACAAAAAAGCCAACAAATTTAAATACAAACAACAACAAAATAATATAACCTCGCCACTAAAAACCCATCAATATTCGGGGGCAGCCAGCCATTGACGTTTGAAGATCCACTGACGGTGGTCGTTCCTCCAACTCATCCCTCGACAATGACACTTTAATGCTCTGCGCTGATTGATGTGGCGCACGGACAGGAATCAGCGGACGCGGACGGGCTGGCTGGCCACATAAAACGCCAATATTTGATATAGGGTCTATTGAAGGGAACATGTGTATGTTGTTTGCTTTTTCTTTAGACTTGTGAACACTTTTCGACCGTTTTTTAGCTCATTAAGTTCTTGGAAATGGATTTCCTCAGAAGATGACTGATTGGAAGTCGAAATCCAATAGGACCTAGTTGGTGATGCAATGATTGCAATGTGGATACTCACTTTTAACGACCAAGTCGGCTGTGCTGGTGGACTGGCCCACAGTGTTGGAGGCGGTCACGGCATACCGTCCCGCGTCTGCCACGCCCACCTGTTTCAGTTCGATTGTCACTCGGTTGCACTTGTTGGAGATCTTTGTGTGGGCATCGTCGAATATCTGGCCTCCGTTCTTTTCGACCTTGATCTCGGGCGAGGGGAATCCGTCGTAGATAGCCTCCATGCTGACATCAGTGCCCTGGTCGACGATCTTGCCGGCGAGGGGAGTAGTGAAGCGGGGGGCGATCTCGCGGCGTAGGCGAGTGGGCGACTCCGGGATGGCTACGGCCGACTGGGCACCGTTCGGCACCCCACCGCCTGACTGCACCAGGGTAAAGGTTTTCTGCTGCACACTGGGGCTGCTCATCTCCTTGCTCTTGTGCAGCTCCTGGTAGTGGTGGCTCTCCACGATCTCGGGTCTCTGCTGGCCCAGCTGCTTTAGCGACTGATCGATGTGGGCGGAGGAGTGGTGCACCTCCGTCTGGGGGGCATTACCCTCGTACGAGTTCACCTGCGAGGTGGATGTGGTGGTGAAGGTTTGCTTCTTAATAGTCACCCTCGAGGACTCAGTGTTGTGCTCCTGGGTCATGGTCTGGACGTCGCTGGAAGCAGGGAGACCACTGCCAACGATGTTGAGGAACGCCACACATGTGGCCTTTCCGGCCTCGTTCTCGGCCACGCAGCTGATCTTGCCGACGGCGTCGTGGGTCAGCTTTTGAATGGTCAACACTTGGCGCTCCCCGCTGGTGGACACGAGGAAGTTGTGTCCGTGAACAGGTTGGTCGTTGAAGAACCAGTGAACCTTCGGAGTGGGCTTGCCCTTGACGATGCACTCGAACTTGACGACATCGTCGATCTGTCCCTGTTTGTCGCTGAAGAGCTCCTTGAACTCGGGGCACTGATGGCGATCCACAATCTCCACGGAGGACTGACTGCTCCTGCGAATCTCTGGGGCATTCACAGACTTCACTATCAAGTGCGAGAAGCACTTGGCGTCTCCAGCAGGATTGGATACCTTAACGGTGTAGACTCCCTTGTCATCAGCACTCACGTTGTTCAGAAGGAGCTTGAATATGCCGGATTCTGCATCGGATTGAACCGTGATGCGGTCGTCTAGCTGGAGCTCCTTGTTGGTCAAGAACCACTGTGCCGTGAGAGGCTGGTCACCACTGGCCTGCACTTCGAGGACGACCTGCTCACCCTCATCCGCCAACACATCGGAGAGCAGCCGCTCAAACTTGGGCTGTGAATCCTTCGGCAGTGATTGCCTCTCTGCCTGGGCCCTTGTGGCGGGCTCGGCCTGGTTCAAAGGAGTGACCTTTAACTCGCAGCTGCTGGAAGTTTCTCCGGCCGAGTTGATGGCAACCACCTTGTAGTTGCCCGCATCCTCCTGGTAAACCTCTTGAATGATCAGCGAGCAGCGGTCGCCCTGGAAGAGAAGCTGCACATCGGCGGACTCCTTGACGGGGCGTTCGTTGTGGTACCAGATGACCTCCGGCTCGGGCTGGCCCACAATCACGCAGTCCAGCCGCACCGGCTTGCCCTCGAAAATGGAGACGTCCTTCAGGGGCAGGTGGACTGCGGGCTTGATCGGCTCAATGTCGCTGGCCATCTCGGAATCAGAGGTTTCGTTGGGCAGACGACCCTTGACTATCACGTTGCAACTGGTGTAGGCCTCGCCAGCTAGGTTCTTGGCGCTCAGGACGTAGGATCCGGCGTCGTTCGGATAAGCCTGGGGGATTATCAGCGTTACGCGGCCGTATTCGTACTGAAATGGAAAAGAGAAAGATGACGGGAGGTCAGCACTCGGTTTGTTTGAGATCGGTATTCACCATGGGGCGGTGGTGAGTTGCCGAAAAGCTAATGCCTCCACTGTGTGCTAGTTTTGTGCTTTTCGCAATTAAAATTTTCCTTTTTTTTCCACTGATTTAAATCTTATTTACGAGTGCGTGTATGGGTGATTGCGGATGAGGCGCATCCGGCGGCCAGGAGGGCGTAATCTCTCAGCTTTTATTTCGTTTTGTTTTCCCAAAACAACAAATGATATTTGTTTTTGCCCCAAATCGCAGGAAGCACCTCAGTACAGGTGTTCAACGCTCGAATGGAGAACAATAGCAGCCTCTTTAATGAAATTGTTTAATCAATTTCAAACAGTACAAGTATCTTGTATCTTGTACGAGTGAGATCACTTTTGTCAAACAAAACATCGCCGATGAAAGGCAATTAAATGTGGGCTAAAATGATATCATTTCCCCGCTTTTCATTTCTTCTATCTGGCATATGAAAATGGGAAATCTGCAAATATGTATACACAATGTTGGCGCCCACAATAAACAAATTGCCTGGCCTGACTGTGGTGAATTGGATTCGCCATGCTTGTGGCACGGCTCGATGCAAAAATGTGTACAAGATATACTGACAAAGCTGCCAAAAGTTGCAGCTATTAGACATTATTCGACGAGGACTATATGCATCTCTATTAGGCTGAAAAGTGCGTTGGCGTTGGTTTGCCTTGAATTCCGCTTGACCAGCGGCCGTCATTAGCCTCCTCCGATCGGAGGGGAATGAAAATAAATAGGGGAGCGTGTGGAATTGGAAAAATTGGGAAAATGCGTTCACGCATCTTCCACTGACGTCAGACGTCCGATCATATTCTACAACACGATCGTTTCATTTTCTTTTGGAACTAAGTATAGTCCAAAACCACACATGCAACGCCCACCACAACATATAGAATTCTATGTGGTTTCCTTTCCAGCGATATATGTTTGGCTTGCCTATAGATCAGTGTGTATATGGAAACGGTCAATCGCCAGACAGTCGGGGGAATTGTACTCTATGGAATTGTTCTCTATTTGTTTATCCTTCCATGAGGATTGGTCTGGTCTGAGGCATTTGAGATAGATACCTTTGGGAGCATTCAGAATGCGTTTTTTTCTTCTAAGAAAACAGAATAATTTATATTCTTTAATGACAATACCTAGTTCTATATAAAAATATGATTTTTTGATAAAAAGTGAGTTAGTTTCCTTTGACTTACATTAGAATTGCGTGGCTGGAAGGGTTTTCCGTTGTGTAGCCAGTAGATTTCCGGTCTGGGAATTCCAGTAACGATAGCCTCCAACTTGACTTTCTGGCCAATTCGGGCCATGGCATTCGACAGAGGCACCTTGAAACTAGGTAACTCAGTGGGTTCCAAAGCTGCAAAGAATTAAAAGGAGGTACTTAGTCTCGAGCTGCTAAAAGTCGTATTCTTCGATATACTATATATATATTCGATGTACTTACGCTCCACAATCAGAGAAGCTGAGCAGTGCTCAATGCCGGCTGGGTTGGAGGCACTACAGGTGTAAACCGCATCGTCCTCCAGGAAGACCTCTTCGAATCGAAGCCTAGCCTCTCCATTGTTGTAGCTGATGACATAGTCTGGAGAATCATCGATGCACTTGTCGTTCTTGAACCACTGCACTGTGGGCAGGGGCACGCCGGCCACCACGCAGTTAAACTGGAAGGAGCTGCCCTCAGTGGCCTTACCGCTCTCCAAGAACCGTAGGATTCTCGGCGGCACCAGCTGCACCTCGGCGGCGTTCTCTCGCACCGACAGCGTAGCATTGGTATCACAGGTTCCGACCAGGTTGGAGGCGCGGCAGCTGAACCGGGCCGAGTCCGCTGCGAAAGTTTCCTCGATTACCAGCCGACAGATTCCCTTGTCAAAGGTAGTTTTGTAGTCGGAGTTGCTTTGGATGCTAATGCCGTCCTTGAACCACTCCACAGTGGGCTCCGGCGTACCTGTGACCTCGCACTCGAAGACAAAGCGATCGCCCTCGCGGGTCACGCCGTCCTTCAGGGGCCGTACGAAAAGAGGAGAGGCGTAGCGCAGCTCCGTGAAAACAGAGTTCACCTGGATGTCCTTGCGAATGTTTTCGGTCACGATGCGTTGCTGGTCCACCTGATCCCTCAGCGTCTGCAGTCTGGTGATCTCCTCGCGCTGAATTCGGGCCTCCTCCTCCCGTTTCAGTCGGGCCTCGCTTTCCCTGTGGATGCGCTCCTCCTCCTCCCGCCGGATGCGGGTCTCCTCCTCGCGCTTGCTCTGCAGTCGCACTTCTTCTTCGCGCTTGGCGATTTCCCGCAGGGTCTGAATGCGGTGCTCCTCCTCCCTGGCCGCCTGCTCCCGGGCCAGTTGCTCCCGACTAGCCTGCTCCCGGATGGCCTTGAGTCTGGCTTCCTCTTCCCGGACAGCCTGCTCCCGCAGAGCCAGTTCCCTAGCTGCCAATTCCCGCTGAGCCTGCTCAATAGCCGCCTGCTGTCGCTGACTCTCCAATCGGTTCTGTTCCTCGCGAGCCAGCCTCTCCCTGGCCTCAGCTTCCCTCAGAGCCTTCTCCCTCTCCGCCTGGTCTCGAGCGTCCCGCTCCCGTTGCTCCTTCTGGCGCTGCTCCTGTTTCAGGCGCTCCTGGACAATGTTGATGTCCATTTTGAGCTTGATGAATGACTGGAAGATGTTCATCACGTCATTGTAGAGGGACGAGACCTTGCTCATGTCGTGGGCGCACTGGGAGGCACTGTCCAGCTTGGAGCGCAGATCCGTCTCCCGGCTGGTCACATACTTTTCGATATCGTTGACCAAATTGCCGGCCTCCACCGCGTCGCGTAGAAAGGGAACCTTGTTGGAGACGCTGGTGTAGAAGTAGCTGATTTCACGATACTCGGCATCGATCTGGAATGGAAATCAGGAAAATGTAGGAAAGTCTTGATTGAGTTGGACTATAAGTACCTTCTCCACCACCTCGAAGAACTCGGTGGCCTGATTGAGGCTCCTTCGTTTCTGCTTCACCTGATCCTTGAAGCTCTGCCATTTTTCGTTGAGTTTTCGCAGTTCGTCCTTAACGTATCCTTCGCTCTCGGGGTTACTGATCAGAAGCTGCTGGCTGGTGGACTCCGTGAACTTCTCGATTCGCTTCTCGAGCAGCTGTGTGGGTGCGTGTCGGGGAAGAAGAGTGAGGGAATCTCTTTAGAGGCGGCGTGGAATATAAATATACATTGTGAGAATATTAACCCATTAAGCAGCAGCTAAAACGCAGTGTCTAGGCGAAATGCAGCCAAGGGGAAACACTTCACCACACAAGGAAAAACTTTAGGGGCTTTTAAGAATTTCAATTCAAGGAAAATACTTCATTTTCCAAATGAACGAAGTGATAAGGTTTAGCAGCCTAGAAAGCCATTCTGAAAACTTGAATTTTATTGATGTGAAATGACTGATTGGTTTCTCTCAGTGTATAATCTTTCGGTTCGCTCTTAGCTGGTCATAAAAATCGGAACGCCAGAAGCAATTTATAACAGCAAATGCTCAACAGCAAATAGACAGAAAAGTGCATTAAAAAGTGGTCTGAAAGTGTTTCTGAATCGCCCGCTGTATCTGTATCTGCATCTGTATCTGTTTCTGTTTCTGTATCCGTATTTCTGAGATGTATTTCATGTATTTGGCCCAGAGTTTTTAATTACAAACTAACGACAGCTGCCGCTGTCTGTCTAAAGCCCATCGTCCTCCGCTGACAGCGACAACATTTTGAAAGTTGCGATATTTTCGAAATGTCATATCGTCGGGAGCGGGATCGGGAGCGTCGTTTCTGTTTGGAAATTTGATGAATGTTGTGGGCCTGCCTGATCTGTCCACCCAACAGAAGGGTGGGCCATCAGGAATAGTGATGCAAAAATAAAGACAACATGCAGGGGATCTGGTCTAAATCTATATCTATATCAATATGTGAAAATCTCTGTATCCGCGGCAAGAGATACCTCAATGGTGTGGGCTGTTTGGCCCCAGCGTCGCTGATGGCGCGTGGATTTCAATTGCTTGGGCATTGAACACTAGAATTGGATTAGATCATTTAATAGATGAATCAAAAAAGTGATTTATGATCCACGAAAATGTTTCTCTCTCTAGGATATCTCTAGTATTTAATGGTATTCCGCTCCACCTTGATAGAACTATCCTACCTCAATGTTTTAATCAAGAAAGTTCACTCACCTCTATGGTCCGTTCAAAATACTCGAACGCCAGCGACGTTGTCTTGGCGGCCGCCAAACTATCCACACTCTGGCCATTGATCTCGTGCAGCTGCTGGCTGACGCTGTCCAGGCTCCGATCAATGTCCTCCAGATCGCCGCGGAACTGCTCGATCTTCTCCAGACGCTCCAGCGACGACATCCGGGCGCTGCTGTTCGACTCGAAGTGGATGCGGAGATTCTCGAGCAACTTCAGAATGCGATCGGTGTCGATTTCGCGGGCTCCCGGCGGCTCCAGCACCCGAACCCGATCGATGAGCAGTTCGGATTGTGTGATTAGCGATCTAAATTTATCCATGCAGAGATCGCGGAATTTCTCGTGCTCCGCAATACTGCGATCCACTCCGGCAGTTGTGGACGAGGGCTGCTGCTTGGAGGCAAAGTACTCGTCGATTTCGCGGCGAAGCTGCACTATGTTCTCCAGGAACTGGAGAATGTTATCCACCAGGGTCCTGTAGTCGTACTTGATCCCATCAAGCTTAGCCTTCAGCATGCGCAGGTTGTTGATGACCTGCTCGATCTTGGCCAGCGAGGGCTGGTCCTTGGTCTGGATGCTGAGCGTGGTCTGAATGCGTTGCTGGATCTCATCCTGAGCCCTTTCGATGTCCTGGCTAACGTTGGCGAGCTTCTCATGGGTTATGGTCAGCAGTTGCTTGGAGTCTACGCTGGGGGAGGTGAAGACAGGATACAACTGGGTGTCCACCTGGCTGCTCTTGGCCACAGTCTACAGGATATTTCAAGTAGAAATAGAATAAATAGGAATGAATAATTATTAAAACATGTGACTATTAAAACTCCCTTATATCATTCTCACCTCCTCGTTGTCGCTCATGACTTTCTCAAGTAGATATTCGACTTCTCGCTTCTCTGCTATGCTGGTCGTCCAATTCTCCAAACTGCTCGTCACGTCGACCTGCCGCTTACTGAAGCCATTCAGCGTCTCTTCCACCGCCTGTGCCGAGGATTTCGTCTCGAGATACGGATCCACAATCTGCGCAGCACGCCGTTAAAAATAGCATGGAAAATAGATGGTTTTTTGCTTTTATTTTTATTCTATTTGATTTTGGTCGTGTTTTTGAGTTTTGTTTTATTTGGTTTGGTTTTGGTTCTCTTTTGTATTTGCGTCTCCTCGTCAAGTGTCGCGGACAAAGTTTTCCCAGAAAAGAGAGGGGTTTTTCCGGAAAGAAGCGGCGCGTGGCACGCATCTAACTGTGGCCAGGGTCTGCCTTTTGCTGTCTTCTGGTGAGTTGCGAGTGCCTAGTGTCCAGACCAGATTGAGATTCAGATTCATTCTGGCCAGACCAGAACAGACGAGGGCAGGCCAGCCACACCAGAGATGCTACCGACCTATCTATAGCCCGGCAGCGCAAATTGCTTTCTTTATTTATGGACCCGACTCTCGAGTCAACGCAGCACAACACCATCACCAGACGCAGACTTGCCCCCTCGAAAAGTGCGCTCCTCGTTCAGCCCGCAAAATTTCTAATTTCAAAATTTCTTCGTGGCTGCTGGGTCGCTTCTTCCCGGTTTTATGTGCCCGTATGGGGCGAAGTGACGCGTTGTCGTTCAAATACATGTTTATAGCTAACCGAATCATATTGTTCATAATTTATGAGTCCAGCATCGTCTGTGGAGCTGGGGATACCCTGGATTTTTAGTAATTAAAGGGGGGGTTTTAGAAAAGAAAGATAATGGGAATTTATGCATTGAACAATGCCTATGTGATACTCCATTGTGATAATCCAGAATGGAATCAGAAGAGCCATAATCCCCATCGTACCCTAGTCAGTCCAAGTTTCTGCCAAGTCAGCTAGCTTCTGGTCCGGGAGCTGTGGTGGCTTCTGACGGACAGCGTGCAAACGCGCCAGCTGTCAGCGGTTAGTTTGGCGGTTGGCGGGCAAAAAGCAAAGTTTCGCGAGCACAGATGAAGTATAAACAAACTGCAGCATGCATAACGAAGAGCTCTGCCCTGACATTAGAGAATTCCACAAAACTTAGATTAAACAACTTATGAAACTAACAGCAAGTCCCTCCCCTGACACTCCGATACCCACTTTCAAGTTGATGAATCTCTGGCCACGGGACTTCAGTTCGCTGAAGGTAGCGGCGATGCCTGCCCAGGTGGCCTGGAGGAACTGCAGCTTGAGCTCGTCGGGGGTTTGCTGCAGCTGGCGTTGCAGGTTGTCCAGCTGGCTGGACAGTTCGTTGGCCAGCTCGAAGAAGTCGATTAGAAGGGAAACGTGGTCCACGCGCTTGAGGACGAGGTCTTTCAACTCAATCCAGTGCTTGTGCAAGGACTCGGCCTTGGAGTCCACATCGTAGCGTTGCTGGGGACTCAGCGACTCCAGGTGAGATTTGATGGACTCCAACAGCAGGTTGATCAGTTCGCCTTTGATCTGGAAGGATTGACAATGAAGGCGATACTGGATCATAGAAGAAAAACGTCCTTACCTCCAAATCCTGCATGAGCTCGTGGTGCTGCAGCAGAAACTGCTTGGCCTGCTGGAGGTTCCTACCCATATTCACATTCTGTTGCAGGTGGAGTTGTCCGGAAGCCCTCAGCCAGGCCAGGAGTTCATTGTGCTGGGCCAGAAACTCGCTCAGTGCCCGCTGCACCTTCTGCTGATCCTCGCTGCTGTGCGCGCAAATTCCCTCGATGTAGGCCTTGCGGTTCTCCAGTTCGTCGAGGACTCGCTTCACTCCCTGGGTCTCCGGCTGCGTGCGACCCACCTCGTCCAGAATGCCGTAGCCCAGCCGCAACGGCTCCTCCGTAAAGTTTCGGACGTCCCGCTCCACCTTGGAGTACATGGCATAGCTCTCTGGGGAGTTCGGGGGCAACTTCACGCTGGCCAACTCCAGCTCCAGCTTCTCGAGGACGCTCAGGGTGTGCTCGGCCTTGGCGAAGAACTCGCGAGATTGGTGCAGCCAGTGCTCCCGCTGGTCCACCAAGTCAAGGTGCTCAGTGCAGCCACTCAGAACGGCATAGGCCCTGGCACAGGCCTCGTCTTCGGTGAAGTGGCCGGCAGACTGGACCTTCTCCTTGGCCCTGGTGATCTTGAGGGCTCTATCCCGGAGGAGCAGGGCTTGCTGCTTCCACTCCCTATACTTTGTCAGCATCTCGTTAGCCGTGTGCTCGCACTCGCCAAGACTGTACATGGTGTTGAGTTCCATTCTTGCGTGTTGGAGGGCAGACTCCAAGTCGACTAGTTCCCTTCCAAGTATGCCCAATGCCAGGCACTGCTCCATCTGGGTCTTCCTCGTCTGCCAGGCCAGCTCCAAGTCATTTCGCCGGTCGTGTAGGGCCTCCAGCCACTGTTGGACTTGGTGAACCGCCCTGGTGGCGTCGCGTTTAATGTGTTCCGGTCTCGTGTCGAGGGTCTCCAGCTTTTCCAGCTCCTCCAGCTGGGCCAGAAGTTCGTTCCCGTCCTTTAGGGCAGCCATCACACCCGTGAGCATGTCGATTCGCAGCTGCTTGAATCTGCTGAGAAACTCCTGAACTCGTGGCACGTCCAGGGGCTGCAGAACCTCCTCGCAGGCTAGCTCCAGCTGGTCCATCTTTCTGAAGCACTGCGTCATCTTGTCGTGGAACTGTGTGCAGAGGAGCAGGATGTGCTGGCGGTCCTGAAGGAGGTTGAGGATGTCCTGCCAAATGATGTTTAGGGTGTCGGCCATGGCGTTGACCAGCTCGGAACTAATTCGCTTGCTTGCCAGCAACTTGTCGGCCTTCTGGACGAATTCATCCATGGGTCCGGGAAGGCTCTGCAATAGTATTGAGTTTTTGAGAGGTGTTATAGTTTGGAGCATATTTTGAGACTTACCTGTAGATTCCTGAGCGTTTCATCATGCTCCCTTTGCATACGCACTGCTTCATCCAGGTTGTCACCCAGGGCTGTGATTTTTGGCTCTAGTTCTACGACTTTGATGTAAATCTTCTCTGGGCTCTGAAAGTGTTTTATTTAATCAAATATTGTATCTTCTTTCATTTAGAAAGGAGCTTCAAATAGTTTACTTTCGGGATATATAATAAAAACATGTTCTTCAAAAAGGTTCCTTTGAAATTCCATAGTCTCTCTCTTATGGCCCAACCGAAATCCGTTTCAGTCACGTTTCCTAGACCCCCGGGTTGCCTGGGATTTCCATTCATGAAACTTGCAGTTGACATCGCAAAGGAGACCAGGGAAGCTGTGCCCGATGATGATCTCGTGCAGGGAAAACCTGCTCTGGCAGCAGCAGCTTCTAATTTTGGTAGTTCCACCAGAAGCAGACACCGAAGCCGAAGCTGAGGCTGCAAAAGTATCTGGCAGATACAGAAGCTAGCTAGCTGGAGAAGAAGTAGCACCACAACCTCGGTAGCAACGCTGTTTGATTGCAATGAAGGTCAGCAACGTCTTTTTATGGTAATGGCATCCGTTAGTTTTTCCTGGGATGAGCATGTGTCGATGAAGTTGGGGAAAAGTGCCACATGCCATGGCAAGACCATGGAGAACCATGGAGAACTAGGCTGACTGGGCTGACTTCTCCACGTTGGTTTTTTTTTATTTTGGAAGTTTTATGACCAGGGAAAGCTACGTGGGCGTTAATTTGTTCAACGAAAATGTTGATCTCTAGCTTCTCGTCTATTTTTTCCCCTTGAATAAATGGAATTAAGTAATCTCTATAATAGTTTATTGGCTTTCCAGTTTTTGTTTAGTCGCCCCAATCCACAAGGGATCTGTGACTGTCATTAATCAATTACAATATAAATTAATAACCGTGCTATTAAATAAAATTGCTCTCCGCACTGACAGAGATGTAAAGCGATAAAAACAAACCAGTTGAAGTCACTGACTCAATGCGACGTGAGTGAGTTTTCAATATGCAAACCAATAATTCAGAAACTCTGAATAAATTTGAAATGTAACAGGCGGCGAGGGGAAGGCCTGGACGTATAATCACGTCGTCTAACTGAAATATGAACCATAAATGGCATGACATCACTATAAACAGCCCGACCATAACTAAGCGTTCGTTTGTGAATAAAGCATAATGTAAACCATTCGCATATGGCCGGGCGCCCAGGTCGGCCTCCTCCCCTTTTGCATTTGAATACGTCACTCATTGCGAAATTGAATCATATTTCAAGTGGTGGGCACACGCACCGAGCCGTTTGCTGCATTTGGATATTTAGAAGCGTCTTCGCCAGGCACTTGTGCCAGTCGAAATCGCGGAAGTACTCGACGATCGTGGCTCTCGGTGGGTGGATTTAGTTCGCATTTGTATCCAACCCAGCACCGATGATATAATGCCCAAGACCCGCCGGCGGTTCAACAACAAAAAGGTAAACCGAAGACAGAGTACCCTCGTCAGGCCATTATTTTGAATGTTTTGAAAAATGTTGACAGAATTGGTTCTAATCCTATTAGAATATACTGTCTTGTTGAAGAGACATCATGGAGTACATAGAATTAGATCACGGAGAGGTATATATACAATTATTCTTTTAACGATTGACAGCCAAAAATTATCTTAATGCTTGTTAGGAACTGGTCTAAGGCAGCTAGGGGTATAGGTTTCATTCTCTACAGAAATTAATTGATAATTTTGGTTATTTTAATTATTTTAAAAACTAAAAAGGTTCTCTTTTAAAATAAGTGTTAAGTATAGTTAGGTACTACGTTTGGTATATTTCTATCAAAATTGGTATACCCTCTACCAGAGTAAGCTTTTGAGAAGAATTCTGGTGGAGGCAGGAGGGGCTCCAATCGTCCACTTTGAGGCGCTTAGCGTGAAACACGTTTTCGGGCTTTAAATTAATACTTTGTGGCAGCGGATAGAACACGATTTCGATATGAAATTACCTTGATGCTGTTCTTGATCCTTTTTTTTGTGTGGCTGTTATCGTTTTGTGTGAAATCATTGCCCATTTTTATAGAGCGCCGTCCAGGTCTGCTCTTTCATTACGTTTTTGATGGCCGATCGAGAATTTAATTGGGAATCTCAATCAAGATTTATTAAGCTAGCAACTAAACATCATTGAAGATGGGTTTTTGTTTTTAAAACAAGCCTTGACCCGGTTAGTCCATTAATATGCAATTTCGATTGAACATCAGACTCTTGCAATTTTGCGAGAATTTAATTACAACCACACTAATAAAGGTGGGCTAATTGAATACAAACTGAAATTGGCTCATTAAAGCGACATAAATCAAATGTTCCCGATCAAACATAGGCCCGAATGCCCTAACCGAGGGCCATAAAAAGTTTGTACAAGCAGACCAATAAAAAACCGCATTAGCATTTCGGTGCCGGCGTGTGTTTGTGTCAATTGATGGAGAGCAAACAGCATTAATGTGTAGTTCAAATACGCATATGTAAATTGTGTTTGCCCTGGCCCCCTTCACTCCACTCCACCTTTGGCCCATTGTTGCTGCCTCACGGTCTGACGCGTTCGTTCTGTTCCTCCATTAAACTAAACTTGATTTTGTCATAAAACAAAACCACACGGCAGAATATACTCTACACAACGCGCTAGTGTGCTATAGCGTTCTGCTATTTTGTTATTGGTAATTTAGCAGAGGTTGCTGCGATCGTTTGAAAGTGATGTCAGACTTTCGGGTTCTATAAATAATCCCGCAAAAACATAAAACAATTTCTGTTCAGGTCTCCGTTTTTGTGGGTCGCGCTTTCCCAGGCCGCAGACTGCCGGCAAATTATGAGCATTGGGGCAATCTTGTTGCAGCCATCGAATGCAATTTAAATTTCAATTTAATTCGCAGCCAACTAAAAGATAATTTCTATAATTGTTTCTACAAATTGTTGGCCACGACTCGCGGCATCCACCCATCTGCAATATCGCGTCCCAGGCAGCAACATCGCACCAAACAACGTTGCAACATCGCGCCCGCTCGCCACTAAAACCAGCAGGAGTCGCCGGCGAGTGCTACTTTCATTGAACGTTTATCGGCGACTATCAGTTGCCATGTAAACATGCAATATATTTCGCGTCTCTAACTCGAAAACCGCTGAGCCGTCGCATCAACTCTGGTAATTATGGCTGGATCCTCTACAGTAGAGCTCCGGAAAGTCAAAATTACAGGAATTATAAAGTTTTCCTTGAGAGTTATTAGGATGTTAGTTTAGAAGATGATAGATAAGAAATAGTTATGTATATATTCTTTGATATTTTCGCAATATTTATTCTTTGAATCATTGGAGTAGACCCCTTTTGGGATCTAGATAGCTTGCTCTACTATACTTTTTTCGGTTTTTGGCCAGCATATAAACAATATTTATTGGCCAACTACAGTAACCGGCTTTACAGTGCCATTGGCTAATTTATGCCCGACTGGTCTGCTCCACCGCCTCTGGAAGTCCCGATTTCCTCCCCAACCCGCCACGTTCTCACTTATCAATCAGTGCGTGCCAAACTGTTTTGTCAGTTTCGCTAAGTAGCAGCTGCATAAAATCCCCTGATAGAGCGACAGGCCATCGCAAGCCGGCTCTGGCTTTGGATCAGAGCCATCGGAGCACCAACTGCCAGCGATCCTCAGGCCCATGTAAATACCCAAAGCCAGGCACCAAGTCCAATCAGGGAACTGCTGCGTCTGCGCATAGAATACATTATTTTTAGAGGCGCTGGGCCCGCTCTTGGCGTGGATACTCTCAGTTAGGGATGGAATTTTTCAATTACTGATAAGATTTACGGCCCATTCGACGTGGCACGCCATCAGACCAGTGACGAAGTACCAAGGAGGCGACACTTGGAAATTATTGGTCTTCGCTCTATGGCTCTATTGGTATCTTCTTGGGGAAATATTAAATAAGGAGGATATCGTTGAGTGAAATAATTCCAACAAGTACTTTCATTATTTTAAGAAAAGTCTATATATTCGGAAGATACAGATATCTAGGAACGTTCCCCAAAATAAACATGAAAGTTTCCGAGACAAATCACTCTGTACAGTAATTGGGTGACTGGATAGCCCGCTTGTTCCAGTCACTCTCCCAATCCCAGTGACTTTTCAGGCCCCATCCAAGTGCCCATTCCAGTGCCATTCGTGTCCCGGGCCCCTTGAAGGATAGAGGATGGGGGGGAGGAATGTATGAGCTTTTCATGCGTAAATTTATGTGCCTGCCAAGCGTCGTAAACATTTCTTTCTTCCCAACAGCGGCGGCGGCTTTCTTTCGCCCCTCTCTATTGCTCCCACTGCAGCCATCTCTTTCCGTTTGACAGTGCGCAGCTGCAGCCGCCTCACCCACGCCACGGCCACGGCAGGCCCGAAGCCCGAAGCAATGGCACATAACTCAGTGCAGCAGTACAGTGCCGGGCATAAGTACATGCTCATATGTCTAAGCAATTTATGAGTGAAAAGCTGCGACTTTTACAAATGAAAATGCCATAAATTCAATTAGAGCTTTGCCGGCTTTCCTTTCCTTCCGTTGGCGCCTCGCTTGCAAATCAGAGCAGATCGTGCCTGTGCCTAAGCGAGCCTGATCCGAAGCAGGTCGCCGGTTGCGCCCCAATTGCTTCATTATGGCAGTGTACACACTGGCCGTGTTTATATCCCATCCCCACACCCACATCCATGCCTTCCATCCTTCCTCCAGCAGATGGATGGCCAAAAGCCAAATTAGTTTCGCGTATTAGATCCAATTAAAACGAGATCTCCGTCCAGCACATGGAAAATATATGTATTTATTTGGAGAGCCAGTCGGGCCAAACAAACATGTAAATCTTCCATAGCCTTTGAAGTTTGCATCCGTGGCCCTCTAATTGCCCTGAAGTTCATTTTTCATTTTCGTAGAGCCACCGCGGAACATAAAACGAAACATTTTGTAACCAGGCCGAGGCATTTACGGCTCCCAGATTTCAAACACTTGTAGATTTAGGTGTTGCATCAGCGGACATTGTAATCGAAATTTGCGTCAGAACCATGCCAGATTTTCATCGAGATTGATTTGAATTAGCTAAGATGTTTCTGTGCTAATATATGTTTTCCTTCAGACATTTTCTAGCTCTACAGATACTGAAAATCTTAATCTTAAGAAATGAAAAACTAAAATAAATGTTTCATATTTTTTTTAAAAACTTTAATCCAAAGAGGAGGAAACTTTTGACATATTTGCATAGATTTGAGTCTGCAGCTTCCTCTCCTTTAATCTTATGCTGCAACATAAATTTAAAAGAACTTCCGCCGCCTGAAAAATATGTTCCTGCCACCACTACCACCACCCACCACGTGGAATTTGTAACAATAACAGTGCTGAGCTCATCGAACATTTTTTAGCTCGGGCGGGCATTGTTTCGTTTGTTTTTGTGCTTTTGTTGTACATCTGCTTGCTTTTATTGTGGAATATTGTGTATTTATTTTTACTCTTTTGTTGATATATTTCACTTTTTTTTTTGGCTCGGGCCCGTTGCTAATTTGTTTACCTGAGAGAGACCCAGAGAGAATTAGAATATTTAGGAAAAAAACATACATTGTAGAATATCTAAAATCTAAAGTCCAGGCAGGGAATTTAGAGAAATCAATGTTGCTGGGGAGATCGTGTTGAAAGGCTGAAACAAAATGTTTTCTGCATAATTCTGCCTGTGAAGTGGTGGGAGGCACAAAATTGTAAATCACATCGAATGCCTAACACATGGAACGCACTCGGCGAATCTCAACGACTGGCAATTGAGGCAAGAATTATAATTCTGTCGGCGGAGGAAAGTAGCACAAAGTGGCATAACGAAAATTCAATGGCTAGCTAGCTGCTTGAATGAACCAAGGCGTTGAATGGATACGAGGAGAAGCAGCCGGCCAGGGGGCTTACCCCAAACCCAAATCTGCCCATAATTATCGAACGTTCGGTCTCGGATCTCGGAGGGCACGCAAACACAACTTGTAGCGCTTCATCTGAAATGTTTCTGAATCTCAAGTTCAAGTCGCAGCTTCAAGTTCGCCTGGGAGAGAAACACTTCAAAATAAAGTTCCTCTCCCACTAACCGAGTCAGGTAGCAGCTGCGCCTAATTGTCAAAAGTATCTGGCAGATACATTTCTTTTTGTCACGTTTAGTGGCCCGCCGCTGGGGGCTCTGATGTCAGACAACCTTGAACCTTTTTCGTTGGGGTGTTTTCAAATATTTATAACCGCTATCAACAACTTTTGCTTTCGTTATTCGTTGTTCTAAGCGCTAATTGGCGCGGAAATTGCGGCAAGCCGGTTTAACAATCGAAAAACTGTAAACCAGTTTTGGCCATTAGAAGCCCCAGAAGCCCATGAATTTTTCAGAGCCAAAGTCACATATTTTGTTATTTATCTGCTGGAGGGGTGGCCCTCTAACACAGTATTAAGATGGAAGTAAACAAACTGAGCTTACGGGTTGATCGATGTACTGTGTTTTTGGGACAAATATTGAAAATGTCAATTAAAATTTTGAAATGGGGATGGCGATATCATGTTCTACTTGATACTATGATAAGATACGATAGTAAGCAAGATGCTTATAGTTGTTCATCAACTTATGAAAGAAGACACCTCAAAGCCCAGCCTGAAATCCCTGCTTGAGTCCTATTCTCGCATAAATCCCCGCACACGCCAATAGCTTTCTCCGAACACTTCTCCCGATATCTGGATAAGTGTATCTTCGTGTTTGTTTCCTATTTCTTGGCTGACTTTTTGTGCCATTCTGTGTGCTATGTTTTATTTTCTTCGTTTTCGACTTGTTTTACTATTTTTGTATCTTTTTTTTGGGGTTTTTTGTTTATGGCAGTACAACTCACTTGTAGGAGCGCTATCACCAGCTGTACGGGTCCACAGCGAACGACAACGGTGCCGATGGTGGTGGCACGCAGAGGGGCAGTGGTGTTGTAGTTGGAGGTGGTGCCCGTGGACATGGCTGTGGACATGGCCTGGCTCGGAGTCGGCGACGATGATGACATTGTTGCTGAATAATTGAAGGCGTCTAGCTGGGACTGTTGAGATTGCTGCGACTGGAGCTGGATGGCCTGCGTCTGGCTCTGACTCTGGTTCTGCGGCTGGCGGGGATTCGTGGAGGACGCGGCCGAGTAGAGCGAAGACATCGATGAGTCTAGGGCTTGGCGGCGTTCCATGGCTCGTTTCTGTTTTCTTTCTGTTTGTTGTTTCTGAGGATTGCCGTTTGGATGTCGGATGTCGGCTTAGCGGCTACGTGTACTTTTGTGGGTATTTTGCGTGGGCGGTTTATAATCTCTTTCGTTTAGTTTTCTCGTATTTTGTCTTCCTTTTAGTGGTTACTCTGATGGCTGTGCATTTTGAACCCTACTCTGAGATTAGACTTAAAAATTGAGTCACACGCGCCCGTCGTAAATTATTGGGTTAGTTTCCTACTTTCTAGGGTTCGGTTCGTTCGACTAAAGGTAAGTTTTGTTATTCTTCGATTTGGATTTCGATTTTTTTTCGCTGCGAGCGCTATCAACGCCGGAGATCGTCTGAGAAGAACCTCAGCGAATCGGTAGATTTTCGAAACGTTGAACGTTCAATTCGACTACGTATGTATGACTTCATACGCGCACTCTCCCTGTCTCTCTAGTTGTCTGTTTATTATAAAACCCGCCAAGCACAACAATGCCTGGCCGGCCGTGTATATAGATATAGAGCTGAGCTATATGCCGAGAGAATCGAGCATTTTTGCATACTGAGCCTGAGAAAATTGCCTTTGATGCGTGAGATGCCTACGATCAACGTTTATTTTTAAACAACAAACTATTGAGTAATTTTTCGCAAAGTTAAACTGTTGTTCTAGCCCAGATACAGATACACCGATACGGATGTGCGTCAGGCCAACGATCATCTGTGTTTGTAACAATTGGCGGCAGTCTTGTGTGCCAATTGCATTGGCGGCAGTCGTCACTCATCCTTCCATTCGATGGATATTTTGGATATTTTTGAATACATTACGCATACGCCATGTATGCTCGGTTGCAGCCAGCTGCCTCTATTAGGTAATTTTTGTGTGATTCTCTCAAGTTTTAATAGTCGCCGCCGTTGCCGCCGCCTGTCCGCCACTGCCGCCGTTTGCTGGCGTAATGTAAACTATTTTAATTGTACTTTTCGGTGGCTAAAAATAAACAAACGGACCAAAAAATTGGGAAGAGCCCAAGGAAGATACCTATAAAGTTTACAGTAACGCAATTGGGTCTATCTATCTATGCCACATTTGTCCAAGAAGGAAATGGGAAGCGTTGATTGAAATGTAGGGGGAGCACTATCCAAAAGATTGAAATTCTATGAATCAATGAACAAAATCGTGAATATTTTAGGCCAAGAAAAGAAGAAGGCCAATGCATCAAGTCAGCCCGCAATTTGTGCCAGAATTTATTTGTTATACTTTTGTTTTCCCTCTGTGAGGGTCGTTTTGACAAAATACATTTTTGACTCAATCTGTGGCGGGCAACAACAAAACATTTAGCACACTTTGGGCGTTGATTTCATCTTTAGTCGAACGAGCAAACAACGAAAAAAAACTAGCGCCAAGTTCTAAGGGTAAATTATGGCTGATTAAAATATGTTTCTTTTATTTTCGAGTAATTTATTATTTTTCGTTTTTTGGCGGACCCCCTAATTTACATAGATATGTTTTTATTCGCACATCATTCGACCGAGGGAGGAGTGAACAATTCGGATCGGAAATTAAAAAAAACCGCGCGCTCCGCGTTCCGAGCAACCAAACAACCGAACGCCGCGAACTTCGAACAAGACTGACCATAGACCCGAAGACTGAAGACTGGGAAGAATCTACAGCCAGCAGATCACCGGCAGCGGCAGCGGAGAGCGAAGAATTGCCAGATGTTTTTGTTTAACCGATTCGCTCTGACTTCCAAATGAATGGACTCTTGGCGCTCGTTGAGCTTAGTTTTGAAAATGCCGGCTGGAGCTTTGGGGGCAGAGAGTGTGCGAAAGGGACGGGCGATGGGAGGAGTGAGTGAGAGGGGTGATCGTGGGGCAGGGGCGGGGAGGACATAAATAAACAAGTGCTCTTGGCATTCGGAGCGTCGTTAATTCATGATTTCAATTTTTAATGCCCTGCGCCCGGCTTTTCAGCAATTACAATACCAACACTGAGGCATGGAATCTGATATGCGATATATGCGACTAAATAGCTATCCTAGAGTATTAAAATAGTAGCCCTAAAAATAGGGCTTTCCAAAATAGAGCTACTAAACACAACTTATTTTAAAAGTTCCTAGAACTTGATGCTAGAACATGATCATAATGGAACAAGATCTCTTAACTTAAGACCCATATACCCACCCATTTAAGGGGTATATCTTAACCACAACCTCTGCTTCAAGTGCAGCTAGGGTACTTTAATAACAGAGTGGAGAGAAATCGAAACATCACCACAACAACCTCCGGAGCAACCAGACTATATCGTGTCTTAAGTTATGAAGATGAACCAGAACCCCGGACTGACCGCTTAAGCCCACCCCTGGTCGATACCATCTCCACCCATGGCTCATATAACGAATCATTTTCCGCCACTTTCAAAGCAGCTTAAGAATGCGTGTCTTGCAGCTTGATTTTTGGTTTTGGCTGCGAATTTTGACTTCGTGCAGTGTCCGTAGCTGGGTGCATGCAACATTAGCCGCAGATGGGGCAATCAAACACATAGCCCCCTCCAGTTATGGGTTATTATTGACCGGTTGGGGAACTTATTGAATTATTCTTTCGGCGCCAGCGTCACGAAATCTGTTCGAAATGCATGACCAGAATCTGAAAGATGTTCTTCGCCTCTCCCGGTGATCTGCTCGAGTGTTCAGTCTTTTTTATTCACACCCACAACGTTTGAATGTTTGAAACGTTTTATTTATTTGCTTTTAATTGAGATTAATGAGCCAGTTGAGGCACACACACCCCGAACAGTAGCCCCATCCATTCCCCATATAATTGAAATCACTTGAGGAGAGCTTGTTAAATGCCCAAGGAAAGGGCCACCCATAGGTCTAATTTCTAAAATATTGTCGCTGGGAAAGTTCGCAGAGGTCTGGGGCTGTTAAGTGGAAAGAAGCAGCCTAAAGTTATGCAATGGTTTCTATAATATATACACTTTACTTACATGCCTTGTTTAAAAAGGGGAAATCCATTAGGAAAAGCTAATGTTTGGGGTGATTAATTGCACTATATATTTTGTGACTGTATGGGGAATAATATTTTAAATAAATAATACAAGTAATATAAATGGCAGAAATTTCGATTGGCTGTCAAATCATCGTCGAGCATTGGGAATTCTCTAATATTGCGGATCTTAAACTATTATTCAACTATCGAAATAAATAAGTTAAGAACTAGCATTCCATGCAATAAAATACGGAATAAGTAGCAATACAAACAATAAAGTTAATAAGTAACTAAGAAAATTAGTATAATTTGCAACCAAAAACTAAAATGAAACATTATATTTGGTCCAATCTAAAAAATGAAACAAAGGCATGCCAGAAACGTTTGGCTCATAAGCTAAAATAGGTTTTTGTGAAATTTCAAATAACATGCCAACAAAGTTTTCTGCTAATTAATGGCAAGAACGCCGAGCATCGGCAGCAAAGCTAATGGCGCGGGTTAGTTGGGCGGGAAATCGTTTTTCTTATTTTCTGTTCTTAATTTTCGAGGTGGGACAGGTGGTTCGGATCGCCTCTGATCCGATCAGAGGAATCCCTTGATCGTTTGTTTCGTTATGTTCTCGTAGTACTTGCTGCGCCGCCACGAAGTCGGCGGCTTCGGATCGTTCGGATTAGTGGAAGCTGGAGCGGAGTAGTCTGCTGGCTGACAGCTCACCTCTGGCATGTGGGCATTCGACATCCTGGCAGCGTTCTCCGTCGTCACTCCCGTGGCCAAGGTGAAGCCCTCCACCTCGCTGTCCGACTCGATGGCTTGGGGCAACGGCAGTGGCAGAAGCAGGTGCTGCTGCTCCTCGTCTGGTGTGGGAGTAGCGCTCTGGCTGTGCAAGTCCGCCACTCCGGCCACACTGTCCTGATCCTCGCTTCTCAGATTCTGCGGCTGATGGGCAGAGAAGTAGCTCAGGTCCGAGCTGTCGTACGAAAAGTTGACCGGAGAGGTTGGCAGTTCGGGTATCTCGAAAGTGCTCAGTGTGGAGTCGTCGGCTTCGTCGAAGGAGTTCTTTGCAGAGCCAATATACGAGCTTGTGCGTCCAGAGGCCGTTTGGAAAGAGGACGAGTGCGAGTTGGGAGTGAAGTTGCCCTCTGAGGCGGTTGCGAAGGATTCGTCTTCTGTGGAGCGGGATTGCCAGTCCTAGTAGGGAGAGATATTAGTATTCTCCTCCTAATGTTTTGTTCTTCCCACTCACCTCAATGCTTCCAAGTTTCTTGATGGCATGTCCAGTGTTTCCAGGATTGACAGCGTCCTCTTCTTGCAGCTGAACATCACGGATGACTGCGTCCAGGGACTCTGCCACCTCGGCAATGGCGCCCAGCTTGTGGGAGATGGCCGAGCAGGCCAGTTCATTGCCTCCCGTGGGTATCACCTGGACTGTGTTTCGCTGGAGATCTCCAGGAGACACTTCGCTGCCGGGCTCACTGCTGGTCCGCCCGCTGTCGTGCAAGGGGCTGGGGCTGCAGTCCACAGGCAGTTCGTCCGCTACGATACTGAAATCACCAGAAAAACGTGGGTTATCGGGGGGACCGGAATCCAGGGATGCAGTGCGTGAGTGCGAGGGCGTTTCGTTGTCGGTGTAATCGCTTTGCGGATAGGTCTCACTGTCGTTTCGGATCAGGGCCTTGATTTTGTCTAAACTGGGCACTGGCGGACCTGCGTCCACCTCGTCCTCGTCGTCTTCGGTTTCCTCCAGGATAATATCCCTCTCGATGGAGGCCTTGGCTATTTTGGTCTTCACGCTGGAAGTACTGGCCGTTTCGTCGTCGTCATCATCCTCGTAATCTTCTCCCTGGGTATCGTCGCTGCTCGTTTCGGGCAGCTTACTGGCCTCGTTTATGGCATCCAGGAGCCGGCTTAGTTCGGTGGTGGAATTGCTGAGAATCTCGTCTGGATTGTGGGCCAAGTCCTCCTCTTCACTGGCCAAAGGGGCATCGCCGGAAAGATCGCTTTGAAGTTGACTTTCGATTTCCGCAGATGATGGGGCCTCTTCCTCGTTGGGCGGTTCGACCACCACAATGCTGGGCACTTCCGGCCTCGGCGCCTCCTCGCCCTCGTCCTCTCCCTTTGATTTTGCAAACAAATTACGAAATCTGGCAAACATTTTGGGTTTCTCGATTCTGCGAGATTCGCGGCGCCTCGCACTGGGCGGCGGACAATTAGTTTGACGTAAGAATCCGAAACACGCGTTTGGCTAGTGGCCAGTTAAAGGGAGCTGTGTCTCTCTGATAATTGCCGATTCAATTATTCACTCTGCCAGGATTAGTACTCGAAAAAAGAAAGTGACCGAAGCCCGTGAAGACACTTCTATATTTAACACTTTCCCAACACGATTCTCCCCACTCTGACCCACTTGTTGTTGTGTGTCGTGTCGGTCTTCTCCAGCGTGCCAGAGATCACTACGCCGGGGACTATATATATATTTTTCTTTGAGTTTTTCACAGATTTGACAACCTGACAGTTGTCTCGAATTCTCCCGCTCAGATGCCACACGAACCGCACTGGACCACGCACTGAAATAGACTGCTTGGATTTGTGGACGCCGACTTTAAACAAATCGTCCCCTATAGCATCTACTATATAAGTAGTATAGTTCTTTTATTTTATTTCAATATTTTTGTTGTCTTCTGTTTAGTTTTTTCGGCGGTGGAGCTTTCTGAGTGCGTCGCTCTGGGCCATCACATTTGTTTCATTCTGTCAAAATGTATTTTTGGCTCACTTAGTTGTGGTTACTGGGAGTGTAATCATTAAGATGTTGTCCGAGCGATCTCAAAGCATTTCAAAGTTAATTGACAAATTATGGAAACTCATAACAGGTCTTTTTAATCAGACATTTGAAGAAACTAATGTTTTTTAAAGGGTATTTAAGATTCTCATTTCCCGGCAGATCTTTCTTTAATTTTCCGCCATCTGAAGGCACTTGAGTGGAAAATCGTGCTCTTTTCTTAGTTAAAATTCATAACGTTATCCCCATTAGTTGTTTGCCGATCCGAGGTTGAAGTCCACGCACTCACGCAACTGCAAAAGAAACTAGCAAGTCACACGAACACTCACCTCTTGCCGGTCTGGGCGTCCAAGACAAAGGGTTCCTTCAGCCGTTTCTTGAGCAGTCTGCCCAGTCGCACCATCCGACCCACCTCCACCAGCAACTGCTCCCTCGCCAGCAAGTGGCGCTGCAGTCGTGGGGGCACCCCTCCCAGAGGCGACAGTTCCGACTCGGTTTCCCCCTCGGCATCGCTGCTGATTCCACTGCTGCTGCGATTGTGCTGCTGCCGCTGTTGCTGATGCAGCTGGGCGGACAGCTCCTGGGTGAGGAGTGGACGAAGGTCGCGCAACTGGCGGTAGTAGGCCTCCACACTGCGATGGAACACCGCCGAGACCCGCAGCCGTGTCATCTGCTCCTGGGCAATCGACTGCAGGCTGTGCCAAGTGTACTGCAGTTGCTCGCTGATGGAAGTCTGAAGAGGATCGGACTTGCAGCAGAGTCGCAGGGTTTGGGAGGCCTCCAACAGTTGGCATCCATAGTGGTAAATGCTCTGAAGAAAGTAGGAAAGTGTCACTAACTATTCCAAAGAGTACGGGTAGCTTGGAGTTCCGAAAGAAATGGGTCTTGAGAGTCTTCAGCAAAACGAGTTCTTGCAAATGCCAAGATTTTGTTTTTTTTGGAAAAGCTTCTCTCTCTCTGGTTCTCCTCCTCTCACTCAGAGGCATTCCCCAAAAAAAGGCAACACCTGACCAAATCAGAGGGGGCAGAGAAAAACTCACCCGTCCGGTTTCCTCAAACCCCTGCAGCTCGTCCTTCTGCAGCTGGATCTCGTGGATGTTGCAGCCGACATGGGAGTGGCAGCGCAGCAAGACGGCATACAGCTCCTGCAGCCAGTCCCGGGCCCGCCGCACGTCCTCCTCGTAGGCGTGGATGTGGGTCACCTGCTCCAAGGTGAGCCGCTGCAGCGCCATCTGCTGGCCGCACAGCTGACGCCGCTGGCGGCTTGCCTCGATCTGCCGGCGCAGCTGGGCAATGTCTTGGCTGTAGTCCAGCTGGAGGTCACGTCCCAGGGCATCTTTCACCGGCATCGCGAGCATGTCGCTCAGCTTTTCGCCTTCGCGGAGAAGTTCGCGTTCGACGTTGCCTGTGAATGGAATTGTTAGTTCGATGTTGCACGGTTTGGTTTGATGTTTGATCTAATGGTATTATCTTTATTGGCTCCAACTTTTGGGGATTATGGTCCATTTGGGGATATGGTCTATTCAAAGAGAGCATTAAAGAGTAATCGTCTCACCCAATGATTGCTGATTGCTTTTGAGTTGGAGCAGCAGAGTGTCGGCTTCCGGCCAGTCCAATCCTCGGCTGTCCACCTCCACGACTTGGCTCCCCTGGGCCAGCAGCTCCTCGAACTGCTCCAGAAGGCGATGGAAGCGCAAGGCAGTCATCAGGACATTCCTTCGCCGCTCCAACCTCTTGGCAAACGAGCGGCACACGAACTGCATAAAGTCCCGCTGCGAGAGTAGATCCTGGCAGGACTCCAGATCCTTGGGCGACGCCTCCCGCTCCCCCACAAAGCGTTCGATCTTGTAGAGCAGCTCCGCGTAGCAACCGTAGGTTTCCCGGCACTCCAGCTCCAGCTGGTCGTGGGCAGAACGCAGGGCTTCGCAGCCCCGCACGTCCCGGCCCACGCTGCGCTGGCGGCTCAGCAGCTGTTCCGCCTGTTGGAGAATCCAGTTGGTGACGAAGGCCACGCCCTCCTCCAGGGTGGCCAGTTCGCGGGCCTCCCTCAGCGATCGCAGGAGCTCCAGCCAGGCCGTGCGAATGGCAGTCTGCTTCTTTTCGATCTCGTTCAGGCGCAATTCGATGCGGGCCCGCTCGCAGGCCAGGTCCGGTGGCAGCGGTGGCTTCGGCAGGGGGGCCAGCGCAGTGCCGAGAGGGGAGGGGGACTCCGAGACAGGTGCGGCGGCTTGTGGCGGCGTTGAATGCGTTTCGTAGACCTCGTTGAAACGGGCCAAGATCGCGTTACCTGCACAACAAACAAAGTTGAACAGAGTTGAAAAGTGGCAGAGGAAAAGAGCACTGGAAATAATATCCAATGTAGTTCTTTATTTTGAAATTAAAGAACTCATTTAATATATTTAATATCGAGATGGTGAATGGACTCTTTAATCGGGGAGAGAACAGTAGTATTCTAACTTTGTTAGAGTCATTTTTTTCTCTGTGCCCCATAGGGCTTTCTTTCCAAGCAATCTATCGCTATTCACACATTCACAAAAGTGAAACCTCATCGCCGGTCTACGACTCTCAGTCTGGGTCTGGTGCTTGTGGCATGTGCCACCATTTCGTTGTGCATCACCGACTTTTGTGGCTTTAAGTGAAAGGTCACGTTTGTCGTTGTTGCCAAACCCACGCACTTCAAGAAGAACTCGTCTAAACCTGGCCGAAGTCGTTGTCGAAATTGAAGTGTGAAGTCTGGTGAGCACGAATGATTTGGGAATGTAAACGACAAACCGCAACTCATCCCAAAAAAGATAAATAAATTAATGAAGCCCCACAAGTATTTGAGAAGGAGAAAGAATTCAATATAATGAATCTTTAGATATATCTTATAATATATAGAAATGCATCTACCAATCATTTAGGCACAAGTCTAATCAATCAATTTCTATATTTTGCAACTCGTTTTCTCCTACTTTGTTTCAACATCATTTCAAAAGACCTTCTGTAGGCCTCAGTTCATATATGTTTATAAGCAAATCGGATCTCAGCCATTTCAATGCTATTCAGTGCCGTTAAAATAGGCCCACAATAAAACCGAGAGACAGCGAAAACGAGTTTGCCAAACGTGGCTCACTTCTAATTGAAAAAAACACACAAAATTCAATGATTTACTTGTCACATGTGTGTCTCTGTCCCTGCCTACCGCGCCGACTTGCTTGCTTCGAGGGCACAGCGAATTATGTTAATTGCTTGCCTCGCAAAACAAAAGACTCTGGAAACAAACTCGTCGCCGACTCACCCATGTCGATGGCTGATTCTATGCCGTTTTGAACGGCGGTGTGCAGCTGGGCGCACTTCTTCAGCTCCACATCCGCTTCTGCCGGCCGGAGCGACTTGTTGGCCCGGAGTAGAGCCAACAGCTTCTCCATCGATCCCAGAGTCTTGGCATGCGCCTTGGTGAACTCGTCTATGGACTGCGAAGTTAGGAGAGTTAGCCTATTCGGACGATGTGGAATGTGGGGCACTTACCTTGCGCTGCTGCAGCCACAGATCGTAGTTGAACTGCAAGGAGCCGCCCAGCTCCTCGGGCAGGTTCTGCGGCTCTATGTACTTGCCCAGCCGGGATCTGGACAGCACCAGGGGCTATGCGAGACAGATATTAACAGAAATATTCAAACAATTGCTTAGATCGATGCAATTACCTCTCCCTTGGTCTGGGACTTGGCGCACGGCTCCACATGCTTCTCCCAGAAGCCCTCCGCCCTGACTAGATACAAATCCACGCTAATGTCGCCCCCAAAGAGGGCGTATATCTGGCGCACCTGTTGCCTCGAGATCCGCGAACTGCTCTCCTGGGCATTGACCACCACACTCACGCCATTCTGCAGAACTGAGGCGCTGAAAGAGAGTTAAAAAGATGAAATTAGCGATAGATATTCGAGTTTATTCTTTGGGGAGAGAGACAAGCGGTTTCAAATGCTTCATTAGCGTGCCAGTTAAAATTTGCCTTTAATTAACCACTCTTTTCTGGGTAACTCTTTAGAGACCCGTTGCCAGTTGATTGATCACAGTCACTACTATATCCATAATTCATGTGATCTTCGCCTCTCGTCTAAGGTTCGATGCTACCTCGTAAAATTAAGTCATTGAGGAAAACAAACCAGACTAACATGATGGGATGTGTAAAAAGAAGGGCGTAGCTGTATAGCCCAAGGGCTGTTGTTTGATTTTTAAGTAGGGTAACTGCTGTATTTAAGTAGGGCCATTAAATCTTAATATTTCAACTCATTTAAACACATATATACAAATAAAATTAATTACAATTTGTTTTTTTCTATTCAGCTGGCAAAAGGTAAGTGGAAAACATATCTTATTATGATAATCCTTAGTATTATGTTGAAAAACAAAGTTTGGTAACTAATTTCACAACTAATTGTGATGAAAAGCTATATAATAGTTTGTGTTATTATGTTAGGCACTTCTTCAGACACTATCCGCTATAAAACGTTTACTTAGCCTGATCACCCAGATACTTTGCATATAAATAACCAGATTTAGGCCCTCTTCTAGGCATTTAAGCCTCTTTCAAGACCCGTTTGACGACACTCCCCGTGTCTAATGAAAAATAATGCATTAGGAAATAAAAAAACAGAAAGAAACTTTATCATCTGCGGGTTATTTGCATATTTCGGCCCTATGCTAATTAGTTGTATTCCTGCGGCAGCTTTAACATTACCTAGTACCAGTTAGTTCCCGATTCTCACCTGAGCGATCGCTTGAGATAGTCCAGAGTCACCTGCAGATAGTGCCGGTTCCATAGCTGAAAGTCGTTGAAGACGTTGACCACAAAGATGATGCGCTTCTGGCGGTCGAATCCGCCGGACAAGTAGGCGCACCGCGTCTGCAGGGCATTCAGCACGTCCTCCTCCATCGGACGGGGATTACTAAGTTTAATGATGGGATCGCGATGATGGGGCTCTTTGAATGCTAATTGAAGATTTTGTCACGGCACATATCTGCTGACATACACGGATTATACAGTGAAAGAAACAATGCATTACTATTTAAGTTTTTTAATTATTTTATAGGAGAAGAGTCTTTAGAAGGTGATATGAAAGCCGTCACTGGTTTTCCTTTTGTTGCAAGAAAATTAATACAAGTCACAGTTATGCGAGGGTTTGTTTTTGTTGCTGCCGCGTTTATTGCTGCAACAGAAACTGCTGCTGCTGCTGCACATTTCCAAATGCCGCGAGACTTTGTTGGGGAACACGTTTGACAAGTTGCAGCCAGAAACTTCAGTTGCCTTGGCTCGGAGCCAGGCCAGTCTCTCCACATGATTTTCACTATTTTCATGTTAGTTTAAGAGTTTCTGTTTGTTGTTATCGCTCTCCGTGGCTAATGGAAAAATTCCATTTTTGCGCTCGACTATTTTGACACAAATTGGGTTTTAGCCTTCATCCTCTCGCTCTTCATCCAGCCAGCCAGCTATCCAGCCAGCCAGCAGTAGTTTGAACTTAATTTGCAAAGTGATAAGAACCCGAAACCCGGGCACATACATAGTAGATAGAAAGACCAGGCCGAGAGTGAGCCAAGTAAAGCCTTCACTTGTGGCCAAGTACGTGCAAAAAATCCTGTTTGTTGGCAGTCTATCTTACAGTTATGCGTAAGTGGTCGATGCCTCTTTTCCGTTCCGACCAGCCACTCACTCTTGATCTTGCAAACATGGCTTGTTTTCTTTAATACCCTATCAAGAAGTATCTGCCTTTTGAGGTAGATATTACTGACTAGAAATAAGCTGCAAAAGAGAGAGCATCTAGCCTTCGTCTTAACCCAAAACCCATTCTAGATTTTAATGCTTCGAGCTGGCAAAGCAATTTGCACCACTTGCTTCCTCTGCCCGAACGAACAACCTGTTCCTGTGGCAGCTTTCGGGAGGCAGTAATAATTGTCATACCCGTAGCGGTGTGCCTAGGTAGCGGTTTTCCTTTCGAATTGAATTTCAATTAATTCCCCAGAACAGGACTGGAAAAAAATACCTCGCTTAAGTAACTTTTTTTATGGAGGGAAGCATACATAATTCTGGTGTCAAATGTCAGTCTGCAAATGGTGAGCAAATACAGACGGAGTTATGCGTCTCCAACTGAGCTCAGCGAAAAAATTCACGAAAAGGGTAGCTTCTGAAAATTGAGACCCCGTGGGGCACGAAATACTCTTTAGAGACACACCTCTCGGCCTCAAAAAGTCAGGCCTCAGCATGCTACTAAAATAGACAGCAGCCACGAACCGTTTGAGTTTCTGTTGTTTTCTTTCAATTTTGTAAACTTTCTTGAGAACTTTTTTGTAGGTTTGTTTCTTTGACTTGACGCGGGACGTCTTTTATTTTGTTTTATGATACGGCGATAAGATCTCCGCGAACGATGCGAACGGCTGTTAAATTAATTGAAAAGTTCACCAGCAGCAACAACAACACAAAAAGTCATTAGCATTTATCCACCAAATTTGTTACAACAGCTGACAAATGTTTCATCTACTTTCAAATGAGTTTTCAGTTCATTTTGTTGTTTAATTTCTGGGTTACTTCTGAGTTCCGGGTTCTAAGTTATAGAGGTTATTCCGAAAGACCTTATCGGTTGTAGTCTTACTTTTGGGTTTCGAAATCCTTATCACTTCATTCCGGACACCTGAATAGCCCGCACCGACCGACCTACGAATATCTCTCATCCGCCCCGTCCGCCCGAAAACAGATCTCTCGTTCGACTGAACCCCGTAAGCCCGATCGTCTGTTAACTTGGCTTGAAGTTTGAGTTCGATCGCCGTCGAGGTTCGAGTTCGAGTGCCTGCCCCGGATCGCGTGTCAGCTGTTTTTTGTACCTCTGAGTCCCAGCATTGTGGCCCCTTTTTGTTTTTGTGGAACGCCTGGCAGGAAACCTGTTGCCGTTTCTCCATCGCCATCGAGTGCGCCAAATTAAACCAAAACATGCGTTTTGTCTGCCAATGAAGATATCGAAGATTCTGTGCCAGCGAGCCCTTTGCTTGGCTGGGTGTAATGGACTCACTTCGTGAGGTCCAAACTGCTATTGATGTTGTACTCCTGCCCTTCCTCGAGGGTATCCCTTATTCGATCCTTGATTCTGCCATCACGCAATGCCCTTTTGCTGTTTTATTCATGTACCGTCCGACGTGGGAACTCTTAATTGTGTGTGCAGCGGATTTTAAACAATACCAGGAATTGCTGTCCACTTCTCAGTCTTCCGCCTCACAGGCAGAGTTACTGGAGTACTGGAAACTGGTAAGGATATTTAGTATTCTCCCCTGACAGCGCAAATATCAAAGATTTATTTATTTTTTCAAACCGAACGAAAGAATGAAAAAGAACTTGCGGAATTGTTTCAGGCTCCAATTGTTTATGAAAGGGGACAAAAGCAAATATCCAGTTGGAAAAGGGTCACTCCCACCCGGTCAGTGGGTAGATGGGTAGATGAGTGGGTTACGACCCTTATAAACATGTCAATCACAAGTAAATTGTTGCAGATTTAATGGTCGCCCAAGGAATGTGGGTCTGGCAATAGAAATCCCGGCCAGGACAGGCACTAGCCAGGCCCTAGACCCACTGAAATGCAAACGGAATTTGAGAGCTGTGTCAGCAAAAGCTGGCATTTAAAAAAAAGCTACAGTGAATGCTCTGGGTGATGGACTTTTGGTAATAAATTTCTAAGAAAATATTTTACTTTGAATTAATGATATTTCTTTAATAAATAGTTTCTTTATTGATCCATCTTCCTGTTACAGACTCCAGTTCAAGGACTATCCACTGTATTTGGAATACAGACCGTCCTGTCATAGATTTTGCTTTCCATTTCACTGCTTACCATGAATTTATGGGCAATCTTTGGAGGCCTAGGCGCGATGGTTCGTTTAATGAAACTTAAAGTGCGTGCCAGGCAGCTCGAGCACGTATCCGAAAGTTGTAGGATTTGGAAACGGGGCTCCAGGGTAGAGGAGAGCTGGGAAGCGGAACGGATAGAGTCAGGGCTGCACTCAATTGCAATGGCCTGCCGCAAAATGGCGTCGAAAGCACTTCCGCTCAAGTTAAAAACAAAAAGTCATGCAACGGGGCATCATCGGACGTGGAATGTGGCTGCTGCTCGGCGGCCACCTCAGTGTTTTTTCTATTTCTTATAGCAACAGACCCTCCTAGACCCTCCCAGACCCTCCCAAAGCCTCCCAGACCCTCCAAGCTTTAGCGACCATTAGAAAATTGCGAAAATTGCGCACACGTTTCGCACAGTGCTGCTGAAGTTGCATGCACCCGGGCAATCGAGTGCAGTTTGTGGCTTCAGATTTATTGCAGCGGGCTGAGCTGAGAACTGCTCGAGAGCCGGACCGAGCTCGCATTTTTAAACCGTTTTCGTTAAGTTTGGTTTATTAAGCCCCATGCCCGGCCCCATGCTCGGCCGTTGCATAATTTATTCGGTTTAAGGGCTTCCCACCAATTCATTTCAATCAGGCGGCAAAAGGCGACTATGGCAGTGGCAGTGGCAGTGGTAGAGGTAGTGGCTCGTTTTAAATCATTTAATGCGGTAGTTTTGGCCATTTTACGGGCTATGGAGGTGCGGCAGCTGATGTTTATTGGACGGATGCACGCCGCATCGAAAGTGCTCGAGAATTGCTTTAAAGTTTGCCCGGAAAATTTATAGTTTTCACCTTGAACATTTTCCTCATTTGCGGTGAAATTTTATGGCTGCTTGTGGCACTTTTATGCGAAGCTTAATTTAAGGTTGAACTATTTTATTGACTAACTGACTTTTAAAGTCCTGTTTAGTTCCTTAATTTTGGGGAAAGCCTGCCTCCCATAATCCATCAAGTTTATTCGTTGTGAGGTTGTGAATCCCAAATCAGGTACGTTCCGGGAACGTTACTTTAACCCCTTTAAGTCTGTGCTTAACCCAACGCCGCACCAAAGACTGTGTTGCCGGAATCGGAGGCGAAATGCGTTCAAGTTTCAGACATTTAAGTGCTAGGGCCCAGCATTCTCTGATGCTCTGTTGGCCCAACCCACTTTAATTTGCAAATCTGGGCATATGCCGTCAAGGCTTTATGGTTTCACCTTCGAAATGCCAAAAAAAAAAAAAATGAATTGGGAAGAAGGGGCTGGGAAGGCAAGGTCTGGGGCTGGGAAACCCTGCGGCGTCTCTGATTACAACTGAAATATGCCACGTGTACATACTATATAGCCACACAAACAAGTGTGTGGGCGGGATTTTAGAGCAGACATTTTAGAGAAATGGCAAAATCGATAGAGCACTCGGAGTCTGAGCTGGTGGGACCTGATCCTGGGCTTCTTCGCCAAACGTTAATTGATTGTATTAGCCAGCCAAGAGCGGCCATCCGAGAAGACAAAAGGGAAACTCGGCCCATAAATATTAATACGTCCAATCAAAATGTATGACAAGAAAATTATGCGAGGCACAAATAAATGTTTAAAATTCAACCAACAATTCCTGAATCCTGGGATGAGATTCTGCTGTTGGCAGCGGCAACAAGGACTTGGTGTTTAATTTAATAAATGCCACTTCAACCACTTCCCCGAACGCGGTTTCCTGCCTTTGATTCGTTACTAGGCGTTGCCCTGAAAGTAGGCTGCGAAAGTTCTGTGGCATTTTGTTAAATAAAGTTGCCTACTTTTGGGCTAAAAAACTTGGCGACCATTAGATGGATTTATGTATTTTGATTCATCATTCATTTGCCTTGCTGATTAGTTTATAACTGAGTTTTTGAAACTATTTTCCAAGTCTCCATTTGCGATTCTGCCGGAATTTAATATACTTCCAATTGGCCTTCAAGGGTTCTTTATTTTATGAGGAACCTGCCCTCTCGGATCGGAATCTATGACATCGACTTGCCGTAGCGCTAATTGTTCTAATGCGCTCAAGCAGTAAGCTGCTTAAATTTCTCAAATTGCATGTGAATGGCTGAGGAGTAAGTGGTGGGGAAATATGTCCTTCATCCAAAGGACTGCCTGCTGAGGCAGTCGAGGTCGTTAACTACATAGTTGGATTTTGTGAGCAATTACTGACAAATAGATTAAATTTCCAATGAGCGCTGATACTCAGGTGAAGTGAGACTTAAACATTGATTTGCAGAAGACATTTATATTTAAAAAATTCAATATGAAGAAAGATAACAGAACACTATATTTTTTGTGTTTATTTTTATTGGAATGAAAACTTATTTAAACTTTACATTTTAAGTACAGCTTTAATTATTTCAATACATATTGGTTCAGACAGTGAAAGTTTTAAAAACATATCACAGTTTACTGATTTTTCTTCGTTCGAAAAATCTCTCCTGCTCTAATCTTCGCTCCCTGGCACTAATCTGGACCTCTTTTCCGTTCAAGGACCACGAGGAAAGAGGCGGTGGCCGATGGTGGCGGAGGAAGGGCACTATGTGTCGGGCGCACTCCTCGGCGGCATGGAGGTGGAGGTGATGGGTGCCGCCCTCCACCTCGTGGAACTCAAAGTGCGGGTTGTTTTGTCGCAGAATGTCGAATATCTTAAAGTTGCGCGCCTCCAAAAACGGGGAAGCTCCTCCTTTAATCACCATGTAAGGCTTTTTCCGTATGCGTCCCGCCATTTCTACGGCCAGTCCATTATCGATGTCCTTGGTGTAGTAGTACTTCACCCGTCCGTCTCTCGAGAAGTAGAATTGGTCCGGATAGAGCTGCGACTTGGTCACCTGTCGGTAGAGCAGGTGCTGCGCGAACTCGGGGGCTACCGAATTGAAGCTTCCTTTGGCGAGGACCTTGCGTAGCTTCGGCAGCGAGTAGGAGGGCGGTTCGTGGAGATTAGCCTCGTCCTGGCGCTCCTCCTCAACCAGATGCTTTTCGAAGCCCTCAGAAAAATACTCTAGCTTCTTCTGGTAGTTCTTTATCAATTTTGGCAGCAGAATGTCCAGTGATATGACCAGATCGACGGTGTGCGGTGCCAGAGCTGTGTAGATGAAGCTTATGATGCCTCCCAGGGAGTGACCCAACAGAGATACCTTGGTCCACCCATACTCCTTCATTATTAGGGGTATTACTAATACATAGTCGTCAATGCTGTAGTGCATTCCCGGTGGCAGATGGGAGGATCTTCCATGTCCCGGCAGATCAATGCACAGTACCCCGAGGTAGTCGGGCAGCAAGGGAATCAGTCGGTCGAAGGTGCCCAGGTTGTCAAGCCACCCGTGGATCGCCAGAATGGGTCGCTCGCTTCGATTGCCGTACCAGCGACCCGATATGTGGCCCCATGGTACCACGATTTTCACGGCCTCGCTCTGGAAAGAGATTGTTTCAATAGAGTCTACTGAGAGTCTTCCGGAGAGCGTAAACAAAACAAAATAGTGCCAGCTCATTCTTTATCTCGTTGTATCACTCACGTCGCTGAGGGTCAAGGTTCCCATCCCGTTTAGGGGTTTTCTGAACTTTGCCCGACGCCAATTTCCAGACTGGATTCAGAAATTGTGGCACCACTACCCCTATTATCTAGAGTATCTGGCCCGCAAAGTAGCCTACTAAGTAGACGATCGTTCTCCTCCAAAGTTAAGCGCTGACTAACTTGTATTTTTATGCCCCATGCTTTTAGAAGCCGAAGAGAATGCCGAGAGCGAGCTTTATGGGTTGAGAGTGGGTACAAATGGGCTTTAAGAGAACACTATATGTTGTTTATAAGAAAGGGTATATATTTTCGGAGTCGTCATCTGTAGGATTGGTTTTCCATTCAACGTATCTTTTACAACTTTGAAAAAAGAGTTTTAAATTAAATATAGTTGGTTTCTTATCTATTCTCTTTGTATTAAAAATGTATCTGTCTTTTGAAAATGCATATGAGCGTGATTATAACATTGTCTTCATGTTCAATGATTAGCGCAGGTCAACTTCTATAGTACAATAATCTTTAGATAAGACGGAACCTTGGTCGCTCAGCCCATAATCGGACTATGACCCACTAGTAACTAGTTCATAGCTTGCTTCGCCTTTTCTTGCCCCAACCGAACAGGCCGTTTCTTCGACTCTGTATCTTGTGGCTTCGATCCTCTTCTTTTCCATTTAATGACCAGGATGTCAGGGGCGGAGGGCGATGGTTCTGGATGAAGGGCACTATGTACCGGGCACACTCCTCCGCGGCGTGCAGGTGGATGTGGTGGGTGCCGCCCTCGATGCTGTGAAACTCGAAATGGGGATTGTTTTCGGCCAAAATGGACATTGGACCCTCCGCAGGCACTCGAGATGGAAGATACGGTGACATGGCACCCTTGATGATGAGGAAGGGTTTTCTCCGGAGCTGTCTGGCCATTTCCGCATCAAGTCCCGGGTCGATGTCAATGTAGTGGTAGTACTTGACCCTTCCGTCGCGCGAGAAGTAGTATCTCTCCGGATAAAGTTGCGATTTGATCACCTGCCGATGCAGCAGGTGTGGGGCGAGTTCGGGGGTCACAGAGTTGTGGCTGCCTTTGGCGAGAAGGGTCCCCAGCTGAGAGAAGGTGTAGGACGGCGGTTCGTGAAGGTTTCCCTGGTCCTGACGCTCCTCCTCCACCAGGAGCTTCTCCAAGCTGCTAGCTATATTATCAATATCCACTCGCAGTGGAATCAAGATGTCCAAAGATATTATCATGTCAATGGTATGCGGGGCTAACGCCCCGTAAATAAAGCTCAGCACTCCGCCCAGGGAATGGCCCATCAAAGAGACCTTCTTCCAGTTGTACTCCCTCATTACTCTGGGTATGATGTAGACATAGTCGTTAATACTGTACTGCACTCCCGGCGGCAAGGGCGAGGATCTGCCATGGCCCGGCAGGTCGATGCAGAGTACTCCGATGTAGTCGGGCAAGAGGGGAATCAGCCGGTCGAAGGTGCCAGAGTTGTCGAGCCAACCATGGAGAGCCAGGATGGGACGTTCTGTCCGATTTCCATACCAACGTCCCGATATGTGGCCCCAGGGTGCGGGTATTCTCACCTCCTCGTACTGTTCAAAAGGATGATCATTTAATAAGACAACCATTAATATATCTGCACTATACTCTTACATCCTTCAAAGATAAAGTTCCCATTGCGGCGAAGATAATAAAATATATTTATAATCTTTAAGAATGAAAACCGCAGACTTTCTTTGCGTCTTTCTGTGGTAACCGCCTTTAGGAAACTAAATCATGCCAATGGTTTCTTGTTCTGGTGCATCAACACTGAGATAATACTTGTTTTTTTTTTAAGAGAAGTAGACTCTCTTTATTCATGGAAAGAGCCAAATATCAATTGAATCAAAAACAAGAAATTATTTATAAAGCACGTGCATTAAGAAGCGTTGTCGGTTCAAAACTCAGAACAAATCAAAGAGAAAACTTTTTAAACTCTGGCAGAAACCAAATAATCTTCAAAGCTCTCTCCTCTCATAAAATTGGTAAGCACTGCAGGAAATTATTTTACATTATAACAAATTTATAATAAATTTATAAATGTGTGACAAATTAAAGAAATTATGTGTAGATTTTCATAAAAAAAAAATTTAAGGTTTTAAATAAATTTAAGGTTTTAAAAAGACTTTAAGGTTTTAAATAAAAATTGGCCACCATAGCAATTATTATTTGTTTGTAGATTTTGATGCAGATTGGTCGAGAATCGATCTAAAAATCGATTAAGGTATGCCGCTTTAGAATCGGATAAAAATTGGAAAAGATATAGCCATCGCTAGGGGCCACTTTGGCGTTTCATGCATTTTTCAAAATTTTGCAGCGGACCCTCCAGAAAATTTGACAAAATATCTCAAATTTTATTTGTATGTAGATTATGATGCAGATTGGTAGAAAATCGATCTAGAAATCGATTAAGGTATGCCGCTTTAGAATCGGATAAAAGTTGGCAAAGATATAGCCATCGCTGGGGACCACTTTGGCGGTTCATGCATTTTTCAAAAATTTTCAGGAGACCCTCCAGAAAATTTGACAAAAAATCTCAAAATTTATTTCTTTGTAGATTTTGATGCAGATTGGTAGACAATCGATCTAGAACTCAAATAAGGTATGCCGCTTTACAATCGGATAAAAATTGGCCAAGATACGGCCATCGCTGGGGGCCATTTTGGCCTTTCAGTCATTTTTCAAAAATTTGCAGGGACCCTCTAGAAAATTTGACAAAAAATCTCAAAATTTATTTGTTTGTAGATTTTGATGCAGATTCGTAGAGAATCGATCTAGAAATCGATTAAGGTATGCCGCTTTAGAATCGGATAAAAATTGGCCAAGATACGGCCATCGCTGGGGGCCATTTTGGCCTTTCAGTCATTTTTCAAAAATTTGCAGGGACCCTCTAGAAAATTTGACAAAAAATCTCAAAATTTATTTGTTTGTAGATTTTGATGCAGATTGGTAGACAATCGATCTAGAACTCAAATAAGGTATGCCGCTTTACAATCGGATGAAAATTGGCCATGATATGGCCATCGCTGGGGGCCATTTTGGCCTTTCAATCATTTTTCAAAAATTTGCAGGGGACCCTCTAGAAAATTTGACAAAAAATCTCAAAATTTATTTGTTTGTAGATTTTGATGCAGATTGGTAGACAATCGATCTAGAACTCAAATAAGGTATGCCGCTTTAGAATCGGATGAAAAATGGCAAAGATATAGCCATCGCTGGGAGCCACTTTGGCGGTTCATGCATTTTTCAAAAATTTGCAGGTGACCCTCCAGAAAATTTGACAAAAAATCTCAAAATTTATTTGTTTGTAGATTTTGATGCAGATTGGTAGACAATCGATCTAGAAATCGATTAAGGTATGCCGCTTTAGAATCGGATGAAAATTGGCCAAGATATGGCCATCGCTAGGGGCCACTTTGGCGTTTCATGCATTTTTCAGAAATTTGCAGGGGACCCTCCAGAAAATTTGACAAAAAATCTCAAATTTTATTTGTATGTAGATTTTGATGCAGATTGGTAGACAATCGATCTAGAACTCAAATAAGGTATGCCGCTTTAGAATCGGATGAAAAATGGCAAAGATATAGCCATCGCTGGGAGCCACTTTGGCGGTTCATGCATTTTTCAAAAATTTGCAGGTGACCCTCCAGAAAATTTGACAAAAAATCTCAAAATTTATTTGTTTGTAGATTTTGATGCAGATTGGTAGACAATCGATCTAGAAATCGATTAAGGTATGCCGCTTTAGAATCGGATGAAAATTGGCCAAGATATGGCCATCGCTAGGGGCCACTTTGGCGTTTCATGCATTTTTCAGAAATTTGCAGGGGACCCTCCAGAAAATTTGACAAAAAATCTCAAATTTTATTTGTTTGTAGATTTTGATGCAGATTGGTAGAGAATCGATCTAAAAATCGATTAAGGTATGCCGCTTTACAATCGGATAAAAATTGGCCAAGATACGGCCATCGCTGGGGGCCATTTTGGCCTTTCAGTCATTTTTCAAAAATTTGCAGGGACCCTCTAGAAAATTTGACAAAAAATCTCAAAATTTATTTGTTTGTAGATTTTGATGCAGATTCGTAGAGAATCAATCTAGAAATCGATTAAGGTATGCCGCTTTAGAATCGGATAAAAATTGGCCAAGATACGGCCATCGCTGGGGGCCATTTTGGCCTTTCAGTCATTTTTCAAAAATTTGCAGGGACCCTCTAGAAAATTTGACAAAAAATCTCAAAATTTATTTGTTTGTAGATTTTGATGCAGATTGGTAGACAATCGATCTAGAACTCAAATAAGGTATGCCGCTTTACAATCGGATGAAAATTGGCCATGATATGGCCATCGCTGGGGGCCATTTTGGCCTTTCAATCATTTTTCAAAAATTTGCAGGGGACCCTCTAGAAAATTTGACAAAAAATCTCAAAATTTATTTGTTTGTAGATTTTGATGCAGATTGGTAGACAATCGATCTAGAACTCAAATAAGGTATGCCGCTTTAGAATCGGATGAAAAATGGCAAAGATATAGCCATCGCTGGGAGCCACTTTGGCGGTTCATGCATTTTTCAAAAATATGCAGGTGACCCTCCAGAAAATTTAACAAAAAATCTCAAAATTTATTTGTTTGTAGATTTTGATGCAGATTGGTAGACAATCGATCTAGAAATCGATTAAGGTATGCCGCTTTAGAATCGGATGAAAATTGGCCAAGATATGGCCATCGCTAGGGGCCACTTTGGCGTTTCATGCATTTTTCAAAAATTTGCAGGGACCCTCTAGAAAATTTGACAAAAAATCTCAAAATTTATTTGTTTGTAGATTTTGATGCAGATTGGTAGACAATCGATCTAGAACTCAAATAAGGTATGCCGCTTTACAATCGGATGAAAATTGGCCATGATATGGCCATCGCTGGGGGCCATTTTGGCCTTTCAATCATTTTTCAAAAATTTGCAGGGGACCCTCTAGAAAATTTGACAAAAAATCTCAAAATTTATTTGTTTGTAGATTTTGATGCAGATTGGTAGACAATCGATCTAGAACTCAAATAAGGTATGCCGCTTTAGAATCGGATGAAAATTGGCAAAGATATAGCCATCGCTGGGGGCCATTTTGGCCTTTCAATCATTTTTCAAAAATTTGCAGGGGACCCTCCAGAAAATTTGACAAAAAATCTCAAATTTTATTTGTATGTAGATTATGATTCAGATTGGTAGAGAATCGATCTAGAAATCGATTAAGGTATGCCGCTTTAGAATCGGATGAAAATTGGCAAAGATATAGCCATCGCTGGGAGCCACTTTGGCGGTTCATGCATTTTTCAGAAATTTGCAGGGGACCCTCCCGAAACTTTAAGAAAAAATCAGTTTGAGAATCAGATGGATGATGATGAATTGATTGGTAAATCCTTTAAGGTTGGCAACTTCAGAATTGAAGATATAAATATAACTGATTACCATATATTGGGGCTTCTAATTTTTGTTTTTCCCTGGACTATCTTTGTATTCTTAGCTCCTAAACGAAGAGGATATTTTATTTTTAAATTGAGCTCACAGTTTACTTTTTGTAATTTCACTATTCCTGATGATTCTATTTGTCGCAGAGCGGTGACTCCGAATGAAGGGTGCTATGTATTGGGCGCATTCTTCGGGCGCCTGGAGCTGAACGTGGTGACTGGCGCCTTTCACCTCGTAGAAGTGGAAATTTGGATTGTCCTGCGACAGAATAGACATGGCCTCATCGCAGTTGTGCCCCACAAACGGCGAGAGTCCTCCCTTGATGATGAGGTAGGGTTTCCTTCGAATGCGTTTGGCCATCTCCGCGGCCAGCCCAGGCTCGATGTCGAATATGTGGTAGAATTTGACGCGGCCGTCCCTCGAGAAGAAGAGCTTGTCCGGGTATATTTGGGACTTGGCGACCTGGCGATGGAGCATATGATCAGCCAACTTCAGGGGCACCGAGTGGTTGCTGCCCTTGTCGAGCGCCACTCGAAGCTGGTTGAGGGTAAAGGATGGTGGCTCCTGTGCGGCGTCCACCTGTCGTCTCTCCTCCGCCAGACATTTTTCGATGTCTTGTGTTATCTTGCTGGGATTAGTGACTCTCCGAGGTAGCAGGACATCCAGCGAGATGATCAGGTCCACGGTGTCCGGAGCCATACTCGCATACATGAAGCTCATGACGCCACCCAAAGAGTGTCCCATAAGGGAGACCGTCGTCCATCCGAACTCCTTCATTACCATGGGTATGATGTAGACATAGTCGTAGACACTGTAACAGATCCCAGATGGCAGGCGGGATGACCTTCCGTGACCCGGCAGATCGATGCAGAGCACTCCCACGCAGTCTGAGATCAGGGGGATCAGGCGTTCAAAGGTGCCCAGGTTATCCATCCAGCCGTGGATGGCCAGAATGGGCCTTTCCGCTCGATTTCCATACCAGCGTCCGGAAATATAACCCCAAGGCGCTGGGATTTTCACATCCTTGTAGTGCAAAGTACTCTAAAAATATGTATAATCTTTTTAATATTTTGTTGTTTGTTATACTTCGCGGCCTAAAATTGAAATAAACAAAGTAAAACCCAAAAAAAATGCTAAAATAAGCCAGACGAGATAAGAAATTCTTATTAAGAATGTACCGCTTATATGACCGAAAAAACGTCACTGTGGCGCAAAAACATAATCGTGTTTATAGCTATGCCCTGGAAGGGGGTGTTTTTATTTGGTCTTTTACTTGAGACTTAGATGGAGAACTATCATTGTGATATATTACTATCATTAGCTATTTGATTAGCAACTTGTATTTCAACTAAGAGTTTAACTCTTTCTTTCAATTAAAAAAAAAGAAACACCCTATACTCACATTTCTTGCAAAGCTTTCCATACCGACTGCAATCTTGTGTTGTTTTTCTTAGTGTAGATGGATTCAAATATATGTTCTCCGATTCTTTAACTGCACTTTAGAAACCGCAGTTTTATGTCCTTTCGCTTATTTAAATTTTACTTTCGAATACGGTCACCGAATACCAATAACTCGTAATAGTTAATGACCTGTTAACTTGGCAGTTTTGATTTGTTCACCAACTTACAGATCCGCTTAGTTCATCAATTTCAGAGTCTTGACGCTTGGACGGCTTTGATTCAACTAAACTGCGTTGCTTCCTCCTCGTTCATTGCTTTCAGTACACAGATCTGGTGGCTTATCAAGCAGATTGCCAAAATTCTGCGATAAGAAGTGAAGCAAAAAAATAGGAAAGTATATGTACATACCTGCCGACTTGTTTCCTATTTTTAGGAACGTTTCTATTTTTAGAGGTAAATTGTAGACCTCTAACCCTTCGACCTATCGATGTCGGCAGTCAGTGTGTCGATGGCTACGTGATTCCCAGATCCCATAAAGTCCATTATGTCCATATGTCCACATCGTTGCACACGGTTACGCTGCCATGGCTAGGAGTGGTTTTGCCTTTGCTTATTTTTTAAGCTTTTTTTCAAAAGTGCCCTTAGTACGTGCTGAATCCATTTTTCAGTGACCCCTTCTTTTATTATTAAATTAGGCAGTTATTAAATTAGGATTTCTCTCGTTTAAGTTTTAAATAAAAACCCTGGCGTGGTTGCCTTGAGATCTCTTCCTACTCGGTTGTGTACCAAGTACCAAGTGTGATTACCTTCCGCTGTCTTTCCCCTTGGCTGCACATGACTTGTACACCCCACACTGGCAATGGGGCTAGGTTGACCCCTAATTTGCATTCAACCGATTTTCCTATAGCATTTCAATCGTGTATGCAGGAGGCTGCAACCATGATTTATCTTTAATTTATGTTTCAGTAATTTATCATGTCTGCTGGGGTCATGCCAACATTTCATCTCCTACATCCTACAACCTAACTTCCTCCTACCAGTAGCAGGCACCACTTCTGGGCCATTTCCCCTGGCACTAGCTCCCTGGTCCCTCACCTCTTAACCTCGCCATGCAAATTGTCTTGAGCATTCCCCAAAGTGAAAGTGCCATTTCACAGGCGGAAAGCGCTTTCCCCCTCCACAGCAAGGAAAGTGCGTGTGTATTGGCCTTGAATCCATAATTTGCCTGTCAACGGCAGCAATGTCGTTGTCGCCACGGCCCCAAAAATGGTGTGCTCGTAATTGAGTTCAAGCATTTGGAAGCCAATTATGACTTCCACATTTTCACCCACTTTTCGCCAAAAGCAGCCGCTCCTTTTGTGCTTTTCTCCTGCCAATCAAAAGAGTGTGAGACGGCGTCCTTTTGTTATTCCCTTTTTAATTGCCTCTGCCACTTAACATATGCAAATTAAATTTAATTTTTCTCCCTTTAATCAATACATTCTTTGACCCTTTTTCGGTTCGCCATCTCCGGATGGCCACCTTAAGTGAGAAAGCAGCTCACCTTCAGTTTGATAAATATTTATGATGGCCAATGAACGTGGTTTCGGTCAAAGGAACAAAGAAAGGGTTTCCGGAAAAAAGAGTGTAAGAGGAAAGAAGAAAAGAAAATAAATAAACAATATTGTGGAGCACTCGATGGAGCTCTACGCTTTCAACCCGACAACCTGAAAGCTAAGTGTGTGAGCCCCCAGGAAGAAATAGCTTGAGCCGGGGATCAGCTTGACAAAAAAAAAAACGGCCGGAAGTCTCAAACTGATATGCCTGGAACTGGAAAAAATAGTAAAATGGATGATGGTTGAATGGAAACGACTGCAACGACTCTATTGTCAGTCCAAATCTCTGGATTATATTCAGTTTTTAAGTGGCTTAGCCATTACTACGTATACCCGTCCAGAAAGGGGTATCGAAATAGTGAGTATGTGGGGTGGGAAAAAACCCTGACCCTCCCGGACTATTAAGGCTATACGTTGCTACTTTTTTCCCGGAATTTCTTTGAAGGAAAAGTGCGGGAGCCCGAACAATAGGGCTGGGAAAAAGCGCCGGCAGCACGAGTGCGTGTAAGAAATTGCATTAAGAAATCATTTTCGTTCAAGTCTTTATACATACATATATCCCATCCAGGATAGACCCTTTGCTTTCCCAGAGTTTTGGAGTCTAATTCAAATGAATTATTTGAGCCAGAAAGTTTTTCTCTTTTCATTTTTCTGGGTATGCGGTTATAACAACATTTCTTTGGCTAATGAATTTTGCTATTATATTATATAAGCCAGTGGGACGTGTGCGTTTGCATATGCATGTGGTGGGTAGTGTCCGCCTGTGAATGTGTGCTCATATAATTGTGTTTCCTCTAATTATAATGCAGAGCTGGAAATTTGCATTTGAATACATTTACATGCAGTTTTCCAGGGCAGACCCTGGCACTACCAGCTACAACTAGCACACCCATATAACAATTAAAAATTCCTGAAAATTACGTATGTAAACCAGAGCTTTGTGGTATGAAATTTGATGCTGCACTTCTGATTCCCAACGTGCATCTTTATTAATTGAAAGGTAAATTGTTAAAGGCTTACAGTTTTTAGAAGAAAATTAAATAGACTTTAAAAAGGCTCAAGTTTTCTTATAACAAACACATGATATGCCTTTTAATTTTTGTCACCAAATCATTAATAACATACACATTAATGATATATCATCGTGTCGGAAGACAAAGGGCGGTAGTTACTACAAAAATACTTCGCTCGAGAGCATAATGAGCTCCACTTGATTTCCAAGGTCACGCCCGAAAGCCTGCTATGATTTATGAACTTCGTCCTGCTAATCCGCTTTATTGTTCCACCTAAGCATCCAATTGTTTATGTTGATATTTAGTTAATCAAGTGACCAGCACGTGGCTATCCGGCTCAATCCGCCTCCCAATAAATTAATTAACCGTATAATTTATGATTATTGCCGCATTGACTTTGGCTTTATATTTTTTTCTTAGGATTCGTTTCACTTTCCGTTTGTGTTAGGATTCCGTTTGTGGCCTTATTTATTAATTTGTGGCCAAATGTTTCCGCTGGCAGTTCATAAATAAGTCGCATAATTTATGCATTGTCATATATTGACTAACGGCTGGGGTCAGGGTCGGAGAAGCGCAACTCCCTGAAGTTCCCGGGATAAACCGACTGTTTACACTCTCGAATCGAAAACTCAATTGCCTGGCACTCAATTTGCATCGGAGGCAGAACGGAACGCAGAAGATTTCATAATTCAAACTCTTCGATTTATGGCCAGCTGGTCTTTTCTGGCATACTCGGGGGGCCTCCAACCAGCCAAACATAGCGCACTTGAGTCGACTCCCTAGCAATCATAATTTACGGTTCTGGAACCCCAAAAACGCACTTCACTTGTGCGTAATGCCAAGACAATTGTGTGCAAAAGCTGCAGACAGGACTCGCCAGTCCACAGGGAGAAATAGTCTGGGGAGAAAATATTTGGCCAAATTATATATGACAAAATTGGTAGGCTATCTCACACAACTTCTGTCTTAAGGAATTACTTAAATTTTAAATATATTTTCTGAACAAACTCACTTATCATTTCTGTGGAAAAGTCACCCGATACATCCTGCCCCCCTTCGACCGTGTGTTGTTACCCTATATCGGATCTTGTCTGGTCATAAATTTCCGTTTTTGGTTAACTCCTGCAACTGCTGCTACCAACTTCCGTAGGTGGTAGATGCACAATAATCCCCAGGAGGGGCGTAGAACGTGTGATTCCCTTGTGGGCCTGTAGTGTTCTCCGAAATTAAACTGGCCCCAGCATTTTTCTGATCCCTCGTCCGTAATTGGAGATTGCAGTTGAAAAAAGTTAGCCGTTCAAAGTTCACTTTTTGATTCAGTTTTCAGTGTTGTGACATTTTCCAATTTATCTATAAACCTACATATTCTCGGGTTTGTGGATGTGGCTGTGACTGTGGATGTGGTTATGGCTGTTTGTGGACGCTTACCGAGAAACTTTCAACAGTTTGGCCAGTAATTGAACTCTGAAAAATGTCACAAACACAGCTCAAAGCGGTTCTCTAATTACAATCTGTCATTAGTTCATTGTCTCTGTGGCATGCGGATACAAATTTACTGGCTTATTTCGGTTTTGATTGGGATCGAGTAACTAACCAAACCATAAATCCATTGACGGGCTCTCAGGGTTAAGTGAAGTAGCATTTCCTTTTAAAAATGGCCACTTGCTAGTCCTGCAAATATTTGCCTCTTTTGGCATTCATAGTTTCTGTTGGGCGATCCGAGCAAGTTTTCTAATTAAAAACAAATTCATGAATCCAATTTGCATGAAATTCAATTAAACTTTTTGTCTCCGGTTGATCTTGATATGTTCTCGGCTTTCCTGCATTAATCATACGCACTGTTGTCTCTCATGCTGTGAGATACTGTGTGTGCCAGCAATCAAGATTCTATCTAAGCCTGACAAGCTCACATTAGTTGGAACAACTAACCCCTTCCACCACAACCTGATTGAAGCAAAAAATGCAAAAAAAGGAGAAAACAAGAAAGGAAAGCTAACTTCGGGCGGAGCCGAAGTTTATATACCCTTGCAGCTAAAACCGGATATATATCGCAAACATCGGATATAGTTGGCCGATCCTTATGAAATTTGGTAGGATGGATCAAAATATAATCTGTACCAAGTTCCAGCTTTCTATCTTCAAAAACACAAAAGTTGGGTCATTTCCGATCGTTCAGTTATATGGCAGCTATAGGATATAGTCGGCCGATCCTAATGAAATTTGGTAGGTTGAATCAACTAACCAAAAATAGAGTCTGTACTAAATTCCAGCTTTCTATCTTCAAAAACACGAAAGTTGGGTCATTTCCGATCGTTGAGTTATATGGCAGCTATAGGATATAGTCGGCCGATCCTAATGAAATTTGGTAGGTTGGATCAACTAACCAAAAATAGAGTCTGTACTAAATTCCAGCTTTCTATCTTCAAAAACACGAAAGTTG